ATTGGAGATCTGAAAGAAATGCCGAGCATGATAGATCATGGTCGTCTGAAACTGGTCCTTCAACGATCATGAACTACTTCGAGACCGCCAAACGCGAGGGCGCGACCCCGATCACCTTTTGGCTTGGGAGGCTTGAGCCTCCTAACTCGAGAAGAACGTGCTCCATTTTGGACTTTGCTACCGCTGCCTAGATCAGGCGGCCTGTTCGACACGACCCGGCGAATCTGAGTGCTCGGACGTCCATATGTGACGATAAGATGATGGGAAGAGAGAATTGAGTTATTGGATGGCCCTTGGTATCGGAAAGGTCGACCGTTGATGGTAAAACTGCCAGTCGATAGGAGCCAGGCCTCGAAAAGATACCCTGTCCTTGAAAAATTCGTCGGCTTGAGAACTGGAGAAGGACGTGTACGAAATTAAGTGCACCTAGAAATTCCTCCTTCGCAGCGTGGTTTTTGATACTGTATCGATAAGCCTGATACAATACTAGTATGAATCAGATAGTATTAGTATCATAATGATACTCTTAGCATTTCCGTACGCCAAGAGCTAGTCACGTGCACCACAAAAGCGAAAACTTTTCGCCCCCAAAATTCTTTCCTTCTACTAATCACTAATACTACCACCGCCACCGCCACCACCGCCACTACCACCATCACCACCATCACTAATCGTACGTACCCAGTCCCTAATTATCAGATACTTACTAACTCAATTACGTTAGTGTTTGTAATGGCACAGTGCGATCTAATCCTCTCCCCCTTCAACAGTATACGATATTAACAAAGAGTAGGAACAACGATAGATTAGCTGTCGTCCGCTGGGATGCGGCCTAGGCCGCTACCGCCCTTACTACCGCTAATTTAGTATTGCAGCGAGTACCGCTTTTACTCGTGGGCGGGTAGGAGTTAGCTCCGTACGCCCACAGTCCTTAAAGTCGTTAGGCCCTAGTAATGCTAGGTCTTGATGTAGCCTTTGTCCGTAGCTATATCATACCTAGGTAGCTTAGGTCCCATCGGCCCTCCTACATTAACGCCGTATTAATTCAATTACGTAGCGTACGACCAGTTCGGCACTGTAATCAGTGTACGAACCGTCTAACGCCTTTTCCAGAGTGTCGCTAACTTCCAGGACACTTTGGGGGGGCCTATGCTAATTATAAGTGGCGTGATTATACGTCACGTTATTCATTAACTACGGACGATAATAATAGGGAGGAGACTATAGAATTATCGTCAGACGATAAGGACGATAATAACCTTTAAATTATCCTAACTAGGGCTTCGGCCTAAAATCTAATTTAACTTTAGGTACGTACGAGATTTCTTTTTTATCTCTCTATGCGAGTACGAGCATAAGTATAAGCACATATTGTATATACCTAGTCGCCTAGGGTTATTAGCGATACCTACCGTAACTTATGTCTCTACATAGCGGATAGGATAAGTAGTCGAAAGACGAAACTAAATAAGTTAAATCGTACATTATAATCTTAATTAATATTAACTGAGATTCCACTACGTTTCTAATGTTTCAAACACTCTACATATTCAAGACTTTCTGCCCCTAATTGTGCCCTTTCCTAATGTAATGGGAAAGGTTTGGAGAGGACCTGAGATGCAAGGCGGGCGAGCGAGTTGATTGGTCAGCTTTTGGCTGTACATTGTACAGGCAAACGTTGCCACTCTCTGATTGGTCAGTTCGAGGGTACCACTTTAGCTTGGTAGTCTTTTCTTTTGTTATTCGCCTGGGCAGATAGAGAGGACAACAACAAGACAATCAATCAACTGCTTGACAAGATGTGAACGCGCCTGTTACCTACCGCCGTACGAGTTGGCGCCTATGGCTAGAAGCCTCGCCCCAGTTCACTAAGATATCGTACGACGTGCACCAGAGAAGACTCGTTCTGGTTCATCACTTATAGCTAGGATTGATAAAATATCAATTACCATATACGATAACCTTAGTTAACGTCTCCTTTATTCATCTTAACACCACTACCCTAACGCAGACTGTTTTCTAATATCGTACGGTTCTCTATTACTATAGTCTTCCTACTTATCTTAACTTACCGGACGCGTATATCTCCCTAAGTCTCGAGCAATCTAATTAAACTTATTAAGATCTTGAGATTAAGTAGAGTCTCCTTCGTACGATAAAGATACTAAGGAAAAAGGTATTTTCTCATGATAGGACTCCTAAAGCTCCTTAATCTTTTTTAAGACTAGTATTTACTATCTCTTTTTCTAATTTACACGAATATACTTCGTACGGTAATTTAGATAAAGTATAAGAGCGGCTACGTATAGAGGAGATTCGTCTATCTTTTTATAGTACTTATCGAAAACTTCCCACTCTTTCTTAATTCGATAACGGAATTCGTGATTAGAAGTATATTAAATCTATTATATAGTTAGTAATACTTTCTTTAATATTAGATATACGTATAAGAGCCTTTTTAAAGTACTAAATAAGGATATCTATTATAAAGAGCGTACGATTAATTATTACCTAATTATCTTAAGTTTCTAATGTTACTCGATAGAATAGTTAAAGAAATGTCTTAATTATACGTAGTTAATCCTAGGCTTTAAGAGTAAGATAATCCGCTTAAAGATCTAATAGGTGATTCTTTATATATAAGTCAATTAATCCCGCCTTATTAATAGTTACATTAAGTATTAAGTACTAGCTATTCCATCTCGTACGGTTATCGAGAGGGATCGTTCGATTTATAAGCTATTTAAATTCCTCCGTACGACTAGAAGAACTTCGAATATATATAACGATATTATAAAGTTAGCTAAGTAGTCTAAAATTTCGAAATAGCATTCGTTATTACTTAATTTCCTCTTAATCTTCCGTTAATATCTCTTATTCGTCGTACGCTTTAAGTTAACTAATTTCAATAAGATCTTAAAATAGAAAAGCCTATATAGCTAGATTAATAATATAACCTATATAGCGAATTCTTTAATAGATAGGGTTCTATTTAAGATCCTCTTCTACTTATAAGTGATCGGTAATCGTACGTAAAAGTGTATTATTTAAGGTTACATTATTACTAATAATTATACTAAGCTTTCAGACGATCCTATACTCTTAAAGAACTAGAAGAAAAGTATTAAATTATTTAGATTTAGTATAACTTAGAACCGTACGAAGAGCGAGAAGAGCCTTTAATATAGTATTTTAATCGTACTATATAAAATAAGTATAGATTCCTAGGAGTAGAAGTTAATTTAGTAATATCTAGATATTAACTAAGATATAAATATTTAAGCTTACTAACTAAAGTCTTTTTCGTACGATATCTTTCTAAGTAAGGTATAATTACTTAATGAGATATGGAACTGTTAAGTGTACCGTATAAAGATAATCCTTAACTTCTAGATTAAGAATATAATAGAAGGTATAAAACTTAGGCGATTTAACGATTCGGAATGAAAGATTTCGTACGATAATTAATGAAACTAGTGCCTTATTAAGAATCTCTTAATTTAGGACTTTTAAAAAGACTTTAGAGTCTATTTCGCCCGTTTAACCTTAAATCGCTGCTTATTAATAAAGCTTTTGAAGATTTTGAATTATTAATAACTGAATCGTACTAATATCCTCTTTAATATTAATATTATGCTTTAATTATAGATATTTTCGAAAGTTTATAGTAACTGTAGTTTTATACGACGAGGTAAGAGAACAGTAGGCATAATAGAGATATCGAACTCTATCTTTTGATTTAGGTTCGTGTTAAAGTGGCGTACGAGTATAAGCCTATGTTTTTGGAGTAGATATATCTCTTTTCGAGGTTATTAAAACTAAATCTATAATAGTAGAAGGCTCGTGAAGAGATGAATCTACCTCAGAATCCATATTTTATTCTTTAAAAGAATAAATGCGTACGAAGAAAAGAGAGGGAAAGATTTTTGAAGAGCGGTGTGTACGGTGTGTGAGGAATGCTAAGAAGTATCATGATACTACTAATACTAGTAATATACGCTAATACTAGTATCGTAATGATACCTTTCAATACCCGAGGTATCAAAAACCACGCTGCTCCTTCGTCTGGTATGTCTTGTCCTCAAAGGGCGTCGTGAAGTAAAAGGGAAGGAGAAGAATGTGTCACCATTCCCAGTTTTGAAAATTCGTGCGTACTCTCGGGAATCGTCCATGCTGCCGGCGAGCCAGGAGAAAGACCTACTAGTTCCATCTCGCAAGCAGACTACATTGGGGACTATGGGCCGACTTCAACCTCGGTGTGGATCAGGGGCAGCAACAGTCGCCGCTAGATACAGACCGACAGGAGGCGACGAGTCTGGCTCAAGTCACAGTCAGCCTCGCTCAACTGTGCACCCAGATCAGTGACCTTCTCGACATACACTTCTCGACGCTTCCGGAAGAGGTCTCTGCGCCGCCGTCACACCCGCCAGACGGAGCGGGACTCACGGCGACTCTGTACTTCGCCAAAAGCCAAATCAAGCAGATTGACGGGGTCGTGGCGTGCGATCGAAAACTACAGCCCTGCAGAGGCGAAATTGTAGAGAAGCGGCTTGGGTATCTAGTAACTATACTCAAACCGTGCCTTGTAGAAGAAGATTGGGACAGGGTTCGTTGGTATTTATTTGGCCGCAGATGGAAAGCGTGGTAAAGAGTTGAATCGTGACAAATGCATCAGAGGGGAAGTTACGATAATGGAGGAAAATGCGCAAAGCAGATCAAGCAGACTCGTTGGACAAAAAGGAATTGGAGGAATTGGGTGGATGAATCATGTAACCCCTTGAGCAGATATCATATGTTCTGCAAAGGTTGCCATCGCTGATTGAATACAAACCAGAAAAACTCCCGCTAAAGCTGAATACTATACAAAATGAACAGAATATTAGCTGAACCCCAGAAACCCCTTCCCTCGATCTTTGATCTCACGGTACTACAAGGAGACGCACAAGCGGCTCCGGAAGGCGTGCCGCGCGCTCCTGGAGGAGCACCTGCTACCGTACGCCATGGAGTGGGAGCGCGAGGAGATGGTGCCGGACCACCTGTTCCAGACCTTCCACAAGCACAACATGCTGACCCCCAACCTGCCCGCGCCGCTGCCAGTCGAGTGGTTGCGGAGGGTTGGCGTCTATGACATCCTGGGCACCCCAGAGGAGAAAATACTGGAAGCCCAAGGCAATCAGCAGACATTGTTTAAAGTGTAGACATACATAATGCCGCAGCTGTGCACAACTCGTCTTTACATACAGAGCCTTGTCTTAACGTCCCTCTCTCGGCCTTGCGGGAATTGGGTTTACCACCAGGTTGTTCTGTAAATTATCCAGGCTGGACGGAATGACCCACACGAGAATGACGTAAAAATGGCATTGTTCCTCCTACAAGCCTTAAGCCCTTCAGCGACATCTTCTTCAGCTGAACATATTCTTAACCTCTGAGCCCCACCGGTTCGCCCCCAAGATGGCAGTTGGTCGAATTTGAGTCATCTGGCTTCCGAGTTGCATAGCTGCCCTTTGTATATCGCGGCTGCCAGCAGGCTCTGGCAGAGTGCAGGTGCACACGAACCACCGATCGCGGCTGTCTACACGAGGAGTACGGTCCTGTAGCATAAGTTAGGCCGCGAACCCTATTTTGAAAGCTGCTTATTCCAGAGGTTACAGGAGTATTTCCAGTGTTGCTGACAGTCAACTCCACAAAGTGTCCTTGAAACCCCAAGGGCGTCTGTAAGAGAATACCTTGTAGCTCTCTTAAGAACTTGGGGCCAATAGCATCGATGTGGCTCATACAGGGTATCTGTGTGGAGAACGGCGGGCATACAGCAGTTACCAGTAGCGTCGACCTGGGATCAGGCTGAGGTGCTTTTGTATGAGAAGCATTCGGTACACATTGGTGTACCTTGTGGAGTGCCGTTGGAGTGAGGAGCTCACATCGAGGGCTGAGGGTGGAAGACCCGTACGCTACCAAAGTAACTAGTGAGTAGCCGGCTGGCTGGCGGGAAGGCAAAGGAGACGGTCTCGAGAGGCTCAACAGAAGAGATGCTAGATTGCTGGCTACCAGTGGTTTGAAGTGGAAAAGGAATGCCGCGCTCAAGTACCGCCGCACACATTGACATCATATCTCAAGAGTCAGCTCGGTGTCGGGTCGGGAGATATCTTTACATTTCACGTCCAAATTCTTCGGCAAGACGATGGCTCCGGTCATGATCAACTTCCAGATCAAGTGTGCCATGGCTGATATGTGGCGTGAGTTGCACAAGGACGTTCTTGAAGAATTGTCCAGCATGTATTCGAGCGTGTACAGTGGAGACAAGCTCAAGAACTGGCCCACTATCTTCATCCTGGCATTGGTCCTCTTGGCTATCTGGGAGTGCATGCAATTTGACTGCCACCTCCGAGGGGTGTCTACCTCGACCCACCTTTTGTTTCGTTTGATTGCCTGCACCTTGCCACTCTGTTATTATATCCTCTTTCGCTTCTGTGTTTGTCGCGCCGCTCAGAATATCGCCATGTTTGTGATCGCGAGAATCATCATGGGCTTCGGCACCGGCGCCTCGTCCATCGCCGCACCCGTGTACTTGTCGGAGACAGTGCTTGCGAAGCTCCGTGCTGTTTCGCTGGCCCTTCTGTATGTCTTTTGGTATGTCGGTAAGTCATTGCTCGTCTTCTCCTCTAGCAGATTCTGGAGTGATGGAAAATTGACAATTAGGCTTCATCTTTTCTTGGCACCAGCGAGAAGATGGAGATGAGCAGGGTGGGCGACGCCCAGGCAGAGATAACGCATAATTGATCGAGCCATCCTGCCGCAATGCCTCCCCCGCAATGAGCTTCCTAGTCTGCATCGTTCGCGTCAATTCGTGAAACATGGCCATTTCCAGGTATCCAAACCCCTTTGATTATTCAAAAGCTTCCCAGTAGCGACGATGCATGTTGTGCGCATGATCTTCGGTGGAGAGTAAGCAGAAGGCACTATCCTCGCCCTCCACCCTGTCCTCCGTAAACTCAAGGTCTGGCGCGCCAGAGGCCTTAGACCGGGTGAGTGGCAACGAGTCTGCTTGCCAATAATAAGATGCCAGAAGTCATTCAAAATATCACCAAACAGGATATCTCCCTGGCGCACGGTCAGATACCCAGCACCTGCTGCATTGGGCAGGCCCCTCCAAGGGCCAGAACATGTTCCCTTGCTCGTGATCGACGAAGCATAAGAAGTATCTGTTCTCGAATGCTCCTTAAAAGCCATGGCACGGCGAAAACACATCGGTCGCATCGGCCAGGTCTGGGCGTATCGATGCGGTGAAAGCACTGAGAATATAGTTGACTGTCAGCCCCAGGCCCGAAAGGAGCTTAACTCGGCCGACAATGCGCGGTCGTGGAACGCGGGCGCCACCCAGGTGGGAGCCATGGCAGTGGATTCAGAGGAAGTGCTTTGGTCAACCGAGAGCAGTGCCTCCTCACGGTGGAGCCAACTGTTCCGACGGCCCAGCTCCAGCTGAAAAGAGACATCACGGCAAGAAACAGTCTCTTGTGGTAAGCAAAAAACATTCCTTGTTTTCTACAGCTCTCTGTCCGAAGCGGCGATCCGAAGACTTCACAAGAACTACGTGGACTTGCTGTTCGCACACAACAGGAGCTTCCTGATGCGAGTCTTCCCGTCCGGGCGGAAGCCTGTCCTTGTGCGCGAATCTTTCACTGTTGCACAATCTCTCTTCAGCGTGACCAGCACCGCAAAGAAAGCCAGCTTCGATTGGCCAAACCAGCCCTCGATGTGCAAGGCCACCCATTCTTTGTGGACTAACTCCCATTAGAAAGGCAAGGCGCCCTCTCATTCGCGCTTTCAGCTTGGGAGTGGCTTTGATACTCTCATGTGGACACTGATTTGCTTACGGCGGTCAACCGACGCCAGGTGGTGAGGCTGAAATGTACCCCTGAGAAACTCGTATCCCTTTTGGACCGCCTTCCCTTCCTGGTACAAATTTATAACCTGCAAAGGAGATATTGAGCATCGCGGCCTGCGCCGTTAGCTTCAGCGTGCACAAGGGGCATACAAGGACAACATGGCTGCCAAGAAGCTTTCCCTCACTGGGTTTGGCGGAATTAGTACAGCCATCCAAGCTGGAAATACCACAGGTAACATAGGCAGAGGAAGCTGGGCCCGCCGAAGACGAAGACGACCTTGCCGCCGAGGTTGCCTTTGTCCGGGTTGAACATGTAGGGCAGGACGAATTGCCACATGACCTTGACCGAGTTCTGCAGCGTGAGGCCGATCGCGATGGCCTTGACGCGGAGACGAGCCGTGGCAGTTAGTAAATACCTCCTTCGAGATATAGAGTACGATATCGTGTAGAGGAAGTTAAAGACAATAAACGCTAATAGGACTCTAAAGAAGAAGAAAAAGGTACTTATATCCCTCAACCGAAATATGGTCCCATGCTGGAGAATCCAGAAGCGTGCCTTTATCTGGACTGTCGCGGAGAGCACCTGTTGCAGCCTGGCTGGTTGAAAATCTACCCAGCTGAGAACAGATTCAACTCCACAATTTCTACCCTCTTTCGTTCTCGAGTAATAGAGGTACCTATGTAGACTCACAGAGTGAGACGAGGCTGATGCTGCCCTGTGCTCATGAGCGGTTTAACCGCTCTTGTCTCCTTGTTTGGCAGGCACATGCCTGCTGGGAAACCTATTTTACTGCAGCGTCTCGGTGACGATCTCTTTCGCGGTCAGAGTCGTAGCGCCTGCGATCTCGGTCTCTGTCTCGATTCTTCCTGTTGTTCCACGGCAGGTCGATCGTGAAAAATATTTTGTCCTTTGCATTTCTCCTGTGCCCGCCATACTCAGGGGCATCTACGAGACTCGAGCTGTGCTAGAATGCGTCTTGGAACTCTACTCAGGGTCATGTACTCCGTACGAGGTAAATGCACACAGTTGCACCGATATATCCGCCGCCCAGCATGAACAGGCCGAATGCGGTGCTGGCCAATTTGTCTTTGCCGCCCTGATTCGGGTTCCAGCCATGGATCACTAAAGAGAGTTGCAGCCACGAGCGACCGCAAGCCGGTTGGTGTGTCAAGGTCTGCCGCTTCAGGGAGTCTGAGCCGACGACTAGCCATCTCCAGTGTTAATAGTGGCGGCCTGAGTGAGGACGCCACTTCGAACCGTCCTACGGCAAGTGGTCAGGCCTTCAATCATGGTGCGGAATCTGTCGATGGAGTTTTCGAAATCGTCGTCCAGGTTCGAGTGGGAAGAAGGACGAGTCTTGAGTGGTTGTGAGACGTTGCGATAACATGTTCACTAGCGCGCAACCTTCACATCCTTCAAGGATTTCTCAGAAGTGAACACCGGTGCGTTCTCCTTGAATGTTTGTTCCTTACATGCCGAGATCGTTCAGGTCGGCCATTGGTACTGCGGCCGGAACGGCCATTGAACAACTTGGGGCCCCACTGCGCCTTTGCAATGGAGCTTTTCTTTTCTACGCAAGCCCCCACGGGAAGAGTGCTCTATACTCCTTTCTCTTCTTGCGGACGCCAGTCAGCATGTTAACTCTGGCTGATGGCACGATATCCGGCGATGTGGACGGAGCCAAGACCCGGGCGGCACGGCCATGTATAGAATGCCCAAATGAGGCCACCATTGACAGCTCCCGAGCTTTGTCGACCCAGCTTTTTGTGGCGTCTGCAGCGAGGCCTTCGCTGGCAAGGGGCTGGAAAGATGAGGAGGCATGAATGAGAGACGAGTTATGCAGCAAGAGCAATTGCTTGTGTCTTCTTTCCAAGAATCCATTTCGCCTTGGTCTTACTGCACCTCCTTGGGAGTAACTGCAGCACAAAACAATTGCATGCCTTCAAGGGCGAGTGCAAACGTGGGGATTGAGAAACGCTCCGAACAACTCGAGTGCCCAGATCCGTACATACCAAATTCATGTTCCAGGAATGCGTCTTCCAACTTTCGATGGAACTCGAACTGATGATCGAGCCGTTAGTCTGAAAATCCTCCTCCTTCACTCGCGACTTGGGCTTCCTGCGTCGGGTGCTCCCACTGCATCAGATTGGTAGGCGGAGCGGGCAGGAGAAACACAGAGGCTGAGAAGAGTGTCGAAGAGATCCTTTTCAAGCTGACGCGCAAGACCCGGAATCATGGGAGAGACCTATTCTGTACGAATATCACCACAGCCTTCTAAGTGGCACCGACTAGTCCACCCTCCTCCTCCCCCTCCCCCCCCTCCAATCGACCTCGAGGCTATTTGCGGGTGGTTGCAGATGTTCTTGCAGGTATTGCGCTGCTTTAGCAAAAGGTCCGGCTTCCATAAATGATCACCAACGAATGCTATCTTCGAGAATGTCAGCTGTGCCATTTTCTCTCCCTCATCGACACCGACGCAGGTCAAATTGGTTTTTAGGTTTAGGTGCAGCTCGTTGATGGAATAGAACTCTGAATAGAGAGAAATGGGTGGGAAGTCTGGCCACAGGCCTGAAAAATTTGTGAAGCGGAGTGCGAGTGGAGTTGCTGAGCATTCCCTGCAGGGCAAAGGTTTTAATTATTGATTTGTTTGTAGGTATGCCACTCGGGCGACGACGGAGCTGGTGAGGCCTGTTTGGGCGAGTCGCGGCAAGGACGTCACTGGGCCGCGACCTTCTCAGTTAACTCTGAGATTCTTGGACCTATGTAGCTCAATTGCTGGCGCAGAGTGCGAGTCGCTTCCCAGCGGAACTGGCGCATCCGCAGACGAGCTACTGTCAACTCTTCCTCGCTCTCTTTACAGCGCTGCAGCTGTTCGAGGTATGCACACAGCCGAAAAATCACCTCAGCGGCCTGCTTCTCCCATGATGGATGTAAATTCGCTAACAAGGCCAGTACGTGAATGACATGGGAGAAACTCGATCAGGCTTCCTGACGCACCACGAGGGAATGCTCAAACTCTTCCAAATTTCCGGGCCTGAATCCAAAGATTAATCGTATCCGTCCATGGCTCCTCAAGAATGGCATCGCGGATTCCGATGCCATATTCAGTGGGGGTCGAAGATCAAATTTGCGCTGCGCAATAGTGCACCTGACGCGGTATACCGGGCCCGACATTGTCCAGAGGCAATACGTTGAAGGCAAAGGCGTTCACTGCTGGAAGCTCACCCAAAATCCGATCCAATTGACATTGGTGTAGTTTCCGTCCCGAAACAGAATTCTTCCACAGAGAAAACTTGTCGAGGAATTCCTCCAATCCTTTGGGGTCTTTGAAGAGATCACCGTGTCTTCAGTTCGGAAAGAGAGGTGGAAGTCACGCAAGAAGCAACGGGGGAAGCATTCGCGGCATTCACCTGATTCCCATGGTTCGCAAAAGGTGCAACTGGCAAGATAGTCAGTCTTAAGTGAGTGGCGAAACATCATCTCGCAAGTTACGGGGTCCACCGGGTCAAGTTCTCAAATAAGTTTGGTCCGCAGCTGGCTCTGTCACGTTGGAAGATTGTCAATTACACCAGTGTGTGCAACTCGGCAAGTTTGAGACAGACCGGACCAGATCCTTTGTCCCGCCCGACGAAGAGTTCGAGCTGATGCTACTTTAACTGGAGCTTTAACCAAGATGTTGGCGGTCATGGACATCCTCCGCGACATCCAAGTTGAGATTAATGTGTGGTACAACGATTGGAGGAAGATTATGCTGCGACTGATGTCTTTCGTCGATCTGGTCGGCTTCCAGGTATCGTTTCGGCGCTGCGCTTGGTCGAAGGAACTAACGGAAAATGCTTGTTCAAGGGCAGATAAGTGAAGGTAGCATTGAAATGATACAAGTATTCCATTTCCCCTCCGAGTGCTAGAACGTTTTGAATCCAAACAATATAATCTTGGTCCGTGTTTAGAAATGTCGTCCCGTAGCCCGCTTGGGCCAGAAACTCCTGGGGCATCCGAGACATGTCCGAGTCCTGCACACGATGGTGCTCGCCGTGGCCGCCGCGGATGCCGCTCGTTTTCAGATTCATTTCAAGAACGCACAAGCTCGTCCCAAGGCGTGTTGCTCCCGGAGGCGTCTACGTCGCCTACGACGTGGAAGGCGACATCCTTGCCCAAGCCCGCGCCCATGATGGCCGTCGGCCTTGGGCGTCGAGTTAGGCTTGGGTTTTTCCATGTCAAGATACAGCTGCCGCGCTTGTCGGTTATGTCTGCCCTTCGAACGGCAGGCAACACATACCGCTCCCGCTGGCGGTTTGAGATCTGGCCTCGGGTCAAAATCATCGCTCTTTTCAATTGTTTGGCGTGTCTCGGCTGGTCTTCTGTCAACGTCATCGTGGGCGCTCAATTCCTCCGCGCAGTTAACGACAACGTACCGCCGGCGGCTGCCATTATCTCGCCATGGTAATATGGCGTAAACAGACCGTCCAGTATGCTGCTGCTCTCGCTTTTGAAAGCGATGGCTGGATTGGCTTCGACCCGTGAATGCTGGGCCACCAAGGCATTCTCGATAGGCGCGGCGTGGCGGACAAGCCAGTCCTCGTTTTCACTCGGGCCAAAAGGAAGCCCGATAGCGGCTTGAATGCTTCAGCTAATCTAACGCTCGTTGTTGAAAAATTCAGATTGGAACTCAACATTTCATCTCCTCATCATCGTCTTCGGCTCTTCGAAGTCGTCGTCGTCGTCCCTGCTATTCGGTACAATCCCACGGCCGCAGTTGAGCTTCGAAGCATCGCGCGAAAAATCCGAACCATTGCTGCCCACCGCCAAAACCCGCACACACCCAACCCATTTATACCTGGTTCTTCCTCCCCCTCAAGAGCTCTGAGCCTTTCATTCTTTCAAGTTGCAAGACTGAAGATTCAGTCTGCCTGTTATTGGTAATCCTATCTGCTTTTCCTCCCGTACCTCTCCCATGACCCCCGGATTCTTGTCTCATGACCTCAAGACTGTTACTGCTCTGGCTCAGGAGTGGAAGAAAATCGGTGGCATTGATGAAAGCCATTCAGAGGCGAACGCTGTAAGTCGAAAGGCCCGTCCTATGCTATGGGAGATCCGAGGATACATCGAGATTTGTAGCTTTAACATAAAGGGGATGGGGAATGTGTGAGAGAGACTTGGGTTGTTGCAACTAGCAGCTTCATCGTTGGGCTCGATGCTCCTCGAAGTACCCTGGGGGAAGGGTCCTAGAAAATCCTCTAGGTGCACTGGTATATGCTCGAAGCCATCGCCGGAATCCTCGTACTGGAGCGTTTCTAGGTCACCGTGTTCCCGTCAAAAGTGCTGCTCAAACGTGAACTGGGTAAAAAGCTCTTTGAATATATTTTCCCTGGCGAGCTGGTGCTCAAGGTGGCTGAATTCAATGGCTACGTTTGGAAAGACGGTGCTTTCTGACTGCACTACTCGCTACCTTTGCGAATTCTTTTGGTCTGACACGTAGTCCAATTGGGCAATCATCCACATCAAGTTGGCGTCGGCGTTGGTCTCTCTTCGATTTGGAGAGCGACACAGGCTAGAGCTACGAGAGTGGACGGAGGTATACTTGTGCTGGTAGCCGGTCTGGAGTTGGATGTCACGGCGTATGAAGAGATTAAGGGAGCCAGAAACCCCGATTATGTAGAACTCGGCATGTTGTACCCGTGGATAGGGATTCCCAGCCATATGGGCGGCCTGAATGTAATGGTCCTGACGCATCCCATCCCATCCCATCCGGTTCTGAATGATGACTTTCCATTTTCCGCTCTCCCCTTGCCACACAGCCTCGATAACTCTGTGTTTGAACTTGATATCACGATTCAAGTTCCACTTTTTCGTTGTTGCTTGCATACTCGTGAATCTGTATGTTTGGCCTATGTTTGGCCTGGTGGCCCCAACCCTTACTTAAGGCCGCGACAGCCCGGGAGCCTCACTTCCGGGCCACCCAGCTGATTGCCGTTGCCAATCAATCGATATGGCCATCCGAGAGGGGCCGCCAACCTCAGTCAATGCGAGCTGACTTTGCTTACTGTGCTCTATCATAGCCCGTGATGCCCCGGAAGGTCCAATTCAGGGAAATGCGCTTCTCGGTCTGAGGACTAATCCATCAGTGGCATGCCTTTCGCTTCATGGCATACCCGCAGAACACGTCGTCAGTAAAATGCAGATCTACCTGTCGATGGTGCACATTTACTTAGTGAGGTTGTCTGGTTGTTAATCCCTTCTGCTACTGCCGGATCGGCCATTTTGAGCAAGCAGGGTCGTCCGAGATTGACATGCGGACAATTATATCTCCGACCCCTGAATGCCCAGACCAGGCAGTTGTGGCGTCTATCTACGCCACGACAGCGCCACGTTCAATCACACGACATCTGCACCTCCCGCAGGCATCTCCTTTCTTTGAGTGAAAGTGCACCATTATGGCCGAACGGCGAATGCAGAAGGAGACGAGGCAGAGACCGAGAAGTCCTTGGGCACGCAAAACACCAGTCGAACGCAAAAGTAAGAGATCAGACGCTGCGCTCGAAAAACCAGAACGACATATGAGATCCATTTCTCGAGCAGACCGAAACAGTCCTTCACCATGCCGTCCTCGTCAGGGCCAAGTCAAGCTCTTTGCCATACGAAGAGCGTCCAACGACGGACGGGACTTTGGTTGGAATCATCCTGTCTAACATGTCAGATCTCATGATTCGGGATATCAGGTCGACTTTGGGTGGGACAAAGTATTTTCGGCCCTCAAATAGAAAATGCCCGACGCCGCTCTCCATTTCTTGCCCACAGTCCCTTGGGACAGCATGAGAAGCGGCAATGGATACTGGAGCTCCGAGGAAGACAGCTCCATTTCCCAATCCATTTATCTCAAATAGCAGGCTCTGATCTCTTGCTGAGGACAAAGTGACGATAGATCATCTCTACCAGCTTGTAGGCGGCGAGGCCTTCGGAGAGGTTTGAAGGGAGTGCGGCTTGCCCGCCGGATTCCCGCAGGCTCCATTGCTATCCTGCTGGGCAAGTTCATCGATGGTCATCATCGAGTTGTGTCGTGGTCTGGAGGGCTGAGCGACGAGATGTGTGGACCTGGTGGGGGCGCTAGGTAACTGCAATCTACACCTAGCAAGGTAGAGGTAGGTAGGCGAGTTTTTGGTAGATAGGTAGGTAGGCAGGTGCCCGTGTGGAAGAGCACTGTAGAACAGAGCAGACCTCCGGCCTATATATATATACGGATTTGGACTCAAGAAGTGAGTTCCACAGAGCCTTATGCACAGTCCCGTCGTCTGTACCCAACATTGGGACGGGTCTGCTCTTGCTTTTGCCCGTTTTATGTCTCCGGCGAGGCCGATCAATGCGGCCGTCTCCATGCGCCAACACGATGGCCAGCTCCTCAATGAATCATCGGAGTCACAAAATAGCCGGGAATGCGAACATGTCGCTGGCCCTGCACCATCTCCTGTTCATCCTCCAAGGGGCCTTCCATCTTCCGGTGTCCAGCCGTAGCACAACGTGTGACAAAGGCCAGTACGGCTTGCGACAAAGGCCCGAGCGGGTAGTGATCCCACGGCCCAAAGCGGCTCACGGTGATGATGCGTAGCTATTCTTGGTAGTAGCCGTAAGGATTCGCGAGTACAATGTTGAGGCAGATGCATCTGAATGGCGGCAATGGACAAGGTAACGTCCAAGCGCGAGAACGCCAATCGCCGTAGCCAGGCCATGGGCGTCTAAGGTGGCGGAGCATGGCCGCTTATGGCTTGCGGCAAGAGGCACCGACCATTAATTCGTCCTCCCAGCACGTATCGAGGCCGCTTGCATGTGACAGGCTTGCAGATGGCAGGATGGCGGCAGACGAGGCCACGGCGTCACAGTCAACCGACACTCTCACACGCCGCATGGCGTCACGCTTTGCACTTGGCGGTCGAGTTGCAGGCTGTCGTGCGGCAACTTTGACCAAAAGCTAGAGACATGGTCGATCATCGGGCAACGGACTCGCAAGGCGAAAGGACAAGTATCTAAGCGTCTGCCCGCCAGTCATCAGGGTCGTCCGTCGATGCATCCCAGCAGCCCGGTGACGGCGTCGATCGGGTGCCGAAGCATCTGGGTCATAGTATGCGTTCCAATGGCATCGCCCCTGGTGGTTTTGGCCGGAGCGAGTTCCTTGATGGTGTCGACAAGGCCCTTGTATCTTCGTTGAGTGCATCTCCGCGACTGTGTACGTCTTGAAAAACCTGCTGTGCTCGTCCAGGGTACGGGCGGATATCGTCGACAGCCTTGTTCGCCTTTCCCTGGACCAAAGGTCCTTCGGATGCCACAACACTGCTGTGAAGTTGTGCTTGCTGAGCAGCTTCGTGTGGCACTCGGTCGCCGTGTTGGCCTCGATCGCGTTGTTATCGCGATTTGCTTCTCCGATTTCTTAACGGAGCTCGGGCAACCTTTCAGTAGGTTTGGGCCAATCTTGAAGCCTTTGGTCAAGACGGCTCTTGGCAGCCCCTGCGTTCTTGGGAGCAGCCCCTGCACCTCATGACGTCCTCACTCTTCAAACTCTATTCTGCCAAGCCCGCACCTGCTAAAGGCCCAACTTTTCTCTTCTTCTCTTCTTCTCCTCTTCTTCTCTCTCTCTCGCGAAATCTGGTTTGTCTTGGTCCCTCGACCTGAACACCGCGTTTCGGCCCTCACCTCGATCCCACCACCTTCCCTCGTTCGTCCCTTGCACCCTTTTGTTGCATCTTTTCCTGTCTCATTTCGTCCGAGTCCCCCAACTACCACCATGGCTTCTACCAATGGTCCTGAAGCAGAATTTTCTGATCCAGAACGCATTCGCCTGATCCAAACTCTGAAGGACAAAATGGGCGAAATACAACCGACGGCCTGGGCTTGTCTCTGGCTTTCTGATATCGAGAAGCTACGGGGAGCTGCAGGAGGCTGGCCGACGGCGCTAATGGCAATGGCATTCCATAATATGGAATGCGACACAAAGCTTGCTCAAGCATGTACGGTGACAAGACCAAATCGAGCACTGTAAATTACTAACAATACTGTTTAGGGGCTCAACGAAAGCGAGCACCAGTCTCTACCGCTTCTACCCCACAACGCGTCCCCACGCCGCAGGCATCTGCTACTCCCATACGGCCTCCTCAAGCACAGCCATCTTCAGCACAGTCATCTCCCGCATTATCACCTCTGGCAGATGGAAGACGTGGACAAAAGCGAACCGTTAGTGGACGACCGATTTCGACCCCGTTGCAACCAATTGCTCTAGGGTCGCCATCAGCAAATCAGCAGTTTTCGCCATCTGGTGGTCGTTCCAAGAGCCAGCGAGAGCGAGTAGGTCTATTCTGTTAGTTTCCAAAGTTTGATTTATGCTAATAATGCCCAGTGCTATCAGAGAGACCAGATGAAATGTGTTCTGACAAAGGCTGGCGACCCAATTGAGGTTGCCCATATTTACCCATTCTCTCTGCAAATCGAACTCCGCCCTGCCTCGCAACAGAGTGGAACGTCCTTCTGGACCATGCTCCGAATGTTCTGGTCCGACGAGCGTGTGGATGCTTGGTTCAACGCACTCTTTCCTCACGGTACTGAAACCTGTCAAAATCTAATCGGTCTTTGCCCAAACGCGCATGCATACTGGGGAAAGGCGTATTTCGCCCTGAAGCCGATCCAAATGTCAGATGACAAGAAACGGCTGGATATTGAGTTTCATTGGCTGTCCTCAAACCCATACGCTGAACGCGTTGACCTCGCTCAAGTCCCTTCTTTAGCGATCACAGATCACGGTCCAAACGAAACGAGGCTATTTGACGTTCAGACTTTGGAAGTCATCAGTTCCGGACAACAAATCTGTCTCACAACCGATGACCCAGAATTGCGACCGCTACCTAATATGAAGCTACTGGAGATGCAGTGGTATCTACACCGCGTGACGGCAATGAGCGGAGCAGGGGACCTCCCAGACGATTTTTTTCACCAAAGTGACGACGAGGACGATGTTGGGGTCGATTTCGAAGACGACCAGGGAAGGGGTGATACTGAGAGCGACTATGAATGGGATACGGACAGAGAGACTTGGGCACGTTCTTAGGAGCAGCGTTTCCCTTTTCGACTACGAGAAACCCCAGTGCTCCAAGGAATGATTGGGCTCCGTGGTGGGGGTGGTGATAGAGGCCCCGATCCAGATTACAGCAGCGAAGACGATGAAGAAATTGATGAGAATGACGGGTTGTCAGGTTAGCTGAGCTCCACGAATTCCTCGAGGATAACAGTCATACCTATGTATTTGTGCATACGGACTAGATATGGGTAGCGAAGTAGAAGAAGGTAGTTACAAACATGACACCTGCAAGATGACGGCATGGTGCCTGGGGTTGGCGACGAGGACTTCACAAAATTGTGCCGAATTCCCCATCGAGCTGACTCGCGATTCAAAAACCCAAAGCCCGGATCGGCGCAATGATAAGCAGAGTCTAACGCCTCCAAATCCTCCAATAAATCGAGATCAGTCAGATGACGACTGCTCAGGTGGTGAATGATGATGAAGCCAAAAGGATGTGGACACATGGATGGTAAGAGGGTGATCGCGCGGGAGGAAGCTATGGCTAGAATACGCGCTGCGGTGGAGGAGCGTAACACCGGTATGTCCTCATGTCACCTACCACAGCACTTTCACCTAGCGTGGCTTCACGGGACATATTCATTGAAGCTCGTACGGACGCGCGCTGCGTGTCATTTGATTCGGTTACGTTTCCTGAGGCCCAGGATGATTTAAAGCAGCGCCGAAGGTCTTCTGCTGAACATGCCAACTCAATCAAACCGCTTTCTCATGGTCCTGAACACCAGTTGGGCTCGCCGCTGCAAAGAAAGAAGCCGAAACTCGTAGAGAAAAAGACTCCAGTTTTTGCCATCGGCTTGCTATTCTACTTGCCCCGCCCTCGCGACGTGCGTCCAAACACTTCATCAGCCCGCCCATCATCACGAGCCTCGTTTACGCCGTCGCCACCCTTAGAGATCTCATAACAGGCGGACAGTGATTATTCAAGACACCTACAAGTGCCGTGCCCAATATGGAAGATAAAGGCCCCGACAAATTTGACGATGCAGCGGAGACCAAGCTTGTGTAAGGCTATCCCGAGCAGTGGACGACCGTATTCTTCGTAACAGAGCGAAGGACGGATCTTGACTTGACTGGACAGCGAGCGCCGGGCCTGCCCTTGCGCCTGACGGTTGGGAGCCCGTGGCGGACGGATTTGAGTCTGCGGTGGATGGTTGCGAGCCTTTGCCTATTGTAATGCCCGTTGCTGGTGCATTTGTTGCATTTGCTGTTCCGAATTCTGCTGGGGCAGGACACCGTTGAAGAGGTTCGCGAGGGGGTAGTTTTGGACCATGTGGGCTGCATGCCACTGCGCCATCGCCGCCTTCGGCTTCCTGAGTGCTTTTCTCAGCCCCTGGATAATGCCTCCGCCTCCGCCTACGCCGCCCATGTTGTGCTGCTATGGAGCTAACACGGGAGGGGGTTTTGCAATGGCCGGTCGTGGGGCGGGCGGTGCCACGGGTTGCGGACGGAAGCCTCCTTATTGTTCCCAGGGAAAAGGTAGATCCTTTTCGGTTATTCTCATCAGCTTCTGCCATTTATCGGCCTCCTTTTATATCAATCCTTGCACAATCTCGCGAAGTTCATCTTTGTGGAGGTTAGCGTTGGCATAATGCCCAAAGATCTTGGTGTTCGTGTTCATGACGGCGTGGGCTCGGTTCTTGCAGTGAAGTTGTCTAACGTCGGAATATAAAGGGCATTTCCTTCCAACTCTCAGGACTCCCATCTGACTGCGATCATAGTGTTCATGGGTAAGTCTGTTGGCCTGCCACTTCCAGGCGTCGAAGTTGGACCGCTGTAGGTCTACATTATAATTGAGCGGGAGGAGGGATACTTTACAAAGTAGCGAGCCGTCCAATGCGTCAGCTCACACGATCCAGCAGCAGCCCAGACAGAGTAGATGCCCAGACAGAGTAGATGAGACCAAGCGGGGGAGGGATTCCTTACCATTGATAGTGGCGACATTCCTCGTTCTTGCACATGATCTTGTTGCACCCAGCCTCGAGCTCTTGCCCACTGTCGCATTGACTAGAAGCGGAACCTGTTGGCTACTTATCGCTTCTCGGCTATCGTGTCTTCAACTCACTTGCAACGGCGCACCCTGGCAGCCGACATGGCGTCGCTCAGCAGCCTGTTCAGCTGGATTCTCTGCTCCTCGACGTCTGGATTCAACTGCGGCATCTTGGCTTCTTCACACGTCTGGCCTGGATGCCATTCGCAGCAGCACTGCCGACAGCTGACCTGGGCACACTTCTGTACCTTACACCAGCAGCGTGGTTGGGCTTTCTTATCCGGGAATTCTGAAGGGTCTTCGATGTAGTCACAGACGGGGCAGGTTTCGAGGCCCGGCATTGAATTCAGGATGTCTTCTCTCTCCTTCAGTTTCACCAACTGATCGTACTGCTTCAGGCTATACAGCCGGTTTTTCTTGCCGATGCGCGTCATTTCTTGGCCCATAAAGCCAAATTTTTCCGCCAAAAATGCCACACCACATGGAGGGGGACACTTGACTGGGTCGCTAGCGGCCGCCACATTCACTGCTATCTCGTGGAAGCACTTGCGGCAGTAGGAATGTCGTGTTTCGGCCGTACACACCACAAACCATGTTTCGGGGATATGGTCGAAAGAAACTGGGCTGAAAGTCTCGATTAGGCGTTACATCACGGTGCTAACGCTAGGGGGCAAGAACGCACCATTCAATCCGAGGAACCCCTGGTTGGTCATGCCCATCATCTGCCGGTTTGGCTTCTTGATCGTTAGCTTCATCCGCTGGTGCCGCTAGCTCTCCTCGCTCCGCGGGGTCATCTATAAGAACGACTTCCTGGCTAGCATTGCCTTGTACCTTTTACGAATGTGAATATCGTGGCGAAAGACTTATAAAGGTCCACCACATGCCTTGAGCTTTTTTGCACTTCGATGCTCCAATATGAGGAACCGCTTGGCAGCCAGGATTTCATCCTGAGTCGATCCAAGTCTTGGTTGCTCTTGCCTGTTCTTCTGCTCTAGATCCGCTTCCAGTTTGTCGGCAAGTGATCCTTTTTTCTTCCCCTCTACCCACTTGCACAGCTTGATGAAGGCATAGAGCACCGTCTTATTTCGCAGCGTTTTGCCTGCTTTCATTGGCTTCAGGTCGTAAATTCTTTCGAAACCCTTAACCAGAGCCTTTCGACTACAAGAGCCACAGTTAGCATCGTTCTCGTCGTAGATGAGCGATGGCAGATAAGCACTCTTGATCGTGTCTGTATTTCCCGCGCGCCTTATGGGGGATCTTGACTAGATAGCATTTGATCATGCCATCTGGGTCGTTGTCTACGTCGACACTGCCTTCAGCAACATCTACATTGACATTGTTTGCAGCAATGACGTCCGCAGCAACATTGCTGACCTCAACCACGGGCATAACTGGTGGTGGTAGAGAGATGAGCGAACGAGCGGCTGCTTCCGCCCGCGACGACGGTTGGGGGACGGGTCGAAAAACATGGTGGTCAATAAGAAAAAGGACCGAAAGACGTTTTTAAGGAGGACAACTGGCCGGATAACGGGAACCGGTGGCCGCTCTGCCAAACGCCTAAGGTAGCAGACGCGTGCCATGGCAGGACGCGGACGATCCAACATTGTGCCCAGAGAAAGAAAGCCTCTAATGGAACACCAAGCGCCGGTTGCATATCCTTGACGGAGCACGTAGGGCTGGGTCAGAGCTCCTATTGGAGCAAGAAGTGAAGTGCTGTGTACTTTTGAAGATCCTTCGTAACAAATGGAGGCTGAGGGACGTCTAGAGGAGCCTCGGGCGGAAGTAAGCTGATGATATTTCGAGTCTACGTCGAGAACAAAGTCAAGTCTAGGAGTGCGCTACTAGGTGCTGAGTGCTGAGTGAGTCTACTGCATCTCGTCTATCTTGCTCGCGTATCTTGCGTTGTCATAAGCTTACCAAGCTAACCTCGCCGTCGACACACCTCGTTGTCGATCCAGTAATAGAGTCAACGGCGAAGTATCGACGGCGAGGTAGGCTTAGCTTGACGTCTGTATATAGTAGCGAGATGTAAGATATACGGGCTACACGATACACGAGATAGAGATCTAGAAATCCGAAATCTAAAATATTCACAATGCTGAAGGGCAATGAAGGAGCTGCTCGGTAAATTATTCCTGTAGGAGCGCCGAAATGCACCGCTCACGATCGGCTGGCAGGTGCACGCCCGAGCGAGACCCATTAGGTGCGAGGAAGGCCCATCTGGCCGGCCACCGAGAGGCATGTAGGGACCCTGTGTCCGGCGCCTAGTCGAGCAACGTGTACGGAGGGGGGGGGGAAGGAAACGGGGAAAGGGCAATGGCGCGCACGCATACACACGGGTGCGCAGGGCGGTGCGCTGAAGCATTTCCGGCCACGGCGAGCACGCAAACAACACAAATCTCGTTGTCAGTTGCCCATCAGGTGGTACTTGAGCTACGCGACGGCCACCGGGAAGTTCACCGGCTGGCCAAATAGGGCTTGAGCTGGCCAACGCTTGGTTGGGCAGAGGGCCGTGGGATGAGGCGCGTCATTACGAACCTGGACTCCTGTCGCTTTCTCAGGTACCGTGCCTATCTCAACCTACGTTACTCAATGCTCAAAACCTCTCTCACAGAACATCCTGTCTACAAATGGCCATCTGGCTTCACCCTGTGACCTTTTTCCTTTTTCTTGGACAACTCCAATGGTGCTGCTGCGCTGCAAGCGGAACGCGGTGGCAGGCAAGGCAGGCGGCCTGATGGTGCCAACGTCGTCACCGGGTGCCAGGTCTTTGCGGGCAGCGTGTGGCGCCATAACGCCTTCTTTCTGATCACCGTAACACCATAAGCACTGATAAGCGACGACCAGCACCCCAAAATGCCCCAAGACGCAGGCATTAGTTTTGCACTTGGACCACGTTTTGGCTTAGGCAACTTTTGTACGTTAACCACCTTTTGTCTTGGGTAACTTTTGGGCTTTTCGTCCCAACACCACTCGTGTCTAACTGTCGACTAAAAACACACTTTTCGTCCTCCTTGAGCGTGTGAGTGTGTTGGAGTGTTTGATTGACCAACTTTTAGCATTGGCAGCTTTTGGACTTGGGTAACTTTTGGCATGGACAACTTTTGCACTTTGACCACCTTTTATCTTGGGCCACGGTGTCGACTGTGCCTGTAGAGGGCTTAGAGCCTGGTATTTTGATGCATCACAACGACAGCGGCAGCTGGTTGACCAACGTGGCGTGGACGCAGGCACCTACTGACCTGAGTGGAGTTCGCAGGGAGTTCACCAGACGCAAGCAAGTTAGTGCGCAAGTGGTGTGCAACTTGGATTGTGTGTGTGTATGTGTGTGTGTGTGTGTGTGTGTGTGTGTGGTGCAGACAACAAGTTGAAGTAGCTGCAAGACATGGGTGTGGGTGTGGGTGGGTGGGTGAGTGAGGGAACAAAGTCCACGGGCTGGGATTTCGCACGGCTACTACTGACTTTGTGCCTGGTTTGGAAGGTATTGAGGCTTTCCTCCAACGACTTCATCTGATCAGCCCCCATGTGCTAGATCTTGGACTTGATGTCGTCTTGGAGTCTCTTCACTTCTTTCTCGGTCTTGATAACAGCCTGCAAGAGAAGGTATCGAGGCTTTCAAGCTTCAGGCAGGCCATCGACATCAGATCTTCGCAAGAGAAAGCAGTCGGAAAGGCCGAAAAGATGGTGGATCGAGGCCATGAGCTTCACGACGCAATTCTGACCGAGGAGGAAGGCAGGTGGCCTGACGAGCAGTGGCGTCATATTGTGGCAGTATACCAGGGTATCGTAACTCCTTCCGGCCTCATAGCCCGGAAACCCTAGCACCCCAGCGGCTGCCGAAATCGATCAGAGCTGAACTTCAGAAACTGTCGCAAGGGACATGGTCAAGAGAACCCAACTTGTTCTTCTCCTCATTCACGTCGTGAGATCCCGGGTCTGAGAAAACCCCCCCGTGGGCGCGTTTGCAAAAGGGGTGGGCAGGTGGCAGCACCACCAGAAGAGAGCTGCCTGTCCTCCGCGTCGGGTAATCGTGAGAGAGAGAAAGAGAGCAGTCTGTGTTGAGTTCAATCGTCATCTTCTCGTTGAATTCTTTGCATGCGCTCAACACATCGCAGCAACACTCGTTTTCACAGTTTCCCACTTCTCACCTTGTACCAATCACCACAGCAGACGGCTTGCTAGCCACTCCTGAGCAATTATGATCAGGTACATCTACCGCCGTGATCGCTCTTTAACGGGCAATCAGTTGCTTCATGTCCCTGTCGGCCAGGGGTCAGCGATTTCAGGCTCGCAGCGCTGGGACATGTCTATATCTTAACAGCAGAGCACGGCAAGAAAATAGCAGTCATTTTAAACGGCATGTGGTTGCCCTCCAATCTCCAAAGGAATATTCCGATCAACTGCTTCTATCTTCGGTCAGCCTTGATCTTCGATGATGGATTTTGTTTGCTAACGTCGTCACAGGAGCTACAGACCAAGCCACTCACATTCGGGCGTCCGAAAAGCACCAGGATTTGGAAGGAGAAATATGATCCACCAAAATAAGACCGTGGCCTTGGCCATCCTCAGTAGCATGTCGAGGTCACTTCCGCGAATGTGGCGTTGTGGAGAGAATCGCGGGTGATATCTTTGCCAACGGACTTCGTGGCCAGTAAGGACACATCCTCTTTACTCAGCCTTCTCTGTGCTAGACTCGGGCGCAGGCGCCGCCTCGGACTCCTTGGGAGCTTCGCTTGACTGAGCAGCTGGTGCCTCTTGGGACTCGGCCTCGGAAGAGGTCCAGAGAGTCTATGGGGTTTGAACACCGAATGAGCCTTGCCGTATGGATCGAACAGATTGTTCACCGAGGGTCTACGCTCAATCTCCCTTCGAATGAGTGTTTCCCTTGTTCGGGCAGACATGACAGTGAGAGAATCAGAAAACATGAAACTCCCCCCCCCCCCCCCAAGTTGACCATGGGGTGATGTCATTTCAAAACTCGACTCTGTGACTCTCGAACGAGTCTCCAATGCCAGCTTTTTATCAGAAGTTCAATTGACATCGCGTCTTCTCTATCGGAGTTTTATGCCAAGTCGTAACTAGCTCAGCATCTTCTCTCCAACTCAAATCGCTTCCATCATCTTGATTCGATCGGCCACATATGCGAGGATGCCTAACAGTTGCTGGTTTCGCTTCACCAGCCTCCCCCACGCTTCTAGTTGATGGGCACGACCTTTTTTCTTCAGCGAGCCCCCTTGGATCAGGTACCGACGAACTGTTGGTCTCCGAAACCAGGCAAAAAAAGAAAACAAAAACTTTGTACACCGACAGTCGGGCGTTCAGCATAAGACCCACCGCCACTTTGCTTGTGCATAATGGGGAGGAAAAAGGAGAAGGAGAAGAACACAATAATGATGAGGTAGATGAGGCCGATTGTGACGGCCGGTGTGGCCTATGCAGGTGTGAAGGGCCGGAGATCGAACAAGGAGAAGCTAATTGTCGGCTTCAATGCTTGCGGTGCATGAGAGTACGTGTTTGCTTTGGACCAGGTGCGACAGAGACATGCTTTCGCTAAGAGTGTCAATGTGACTGACCAACATAACCACCCTGGAAAGTATCAACGCCCTCAAGCTCCCTGCTATACTCGAATGCCCCAGAATTCGTCAAAGCAACTGACTCGACTCGAGCGAATGGAAAGCATTCAAGCATGGTTGGCAGGAACAAAGGGACGCCGTAAAGAGGACAACACTGTCGTCAACTAGAGTCAGCGCAAGGCCTGGAAATCGAGACACCCAAGTGAGGAAAGAACTCACTGCCGCCCAATAGAGCAAGACCATCATATACGTCTGCAGAAAGTAGCCAGTGGATTGGATCATGTGTGCCAAGGCAAGCGAGCTACTGACCCGAACCGCAAAAAGAGCAGATCCTTCCGCTCGGAGGTTGCCGACAACCTACCAAACAGAGGGAAGTCGATTAGCAGACCGTCTCGATTACACAAGCTCTCCAAGAAAAATGGAACAGATGCTGAGGAGCTGTCCCAATCAACAATCCGCCCAAGTGGTGACGTTTTCTATTTCGCTCAGTGCCCGGACAGATATCGATGCAACAAGAACTCGGCGAAGTTTAGACCTACTGCAGCTACTCGAGGCTGAAGGCTCAGGGTTCGTTTGTTGGTGACCAGGGGGCAGATGGCTGCTGCAATCGACAGGCGCCTTCGTGTGGTCTTGCAATTGTTCAGGATATATATCGACACCATGACGTGATAGAGGGCCCTCACTTCGACTCCACCATTAGTGACTTGATGACCACCAGCTTGAGGCCTGATATGACAGCAACGAGGGCATTCTTCTCTAGCGTAGAGAATCATCAGCCTAGGAACCAGTCAGGTCTTCGAACGTTTCATTCCGGCATTTCTTTGTTGGCAGAACAGGGACAATGTCAACAACCAATCTGACCACCTCTGAGACGACGGGCGACGCGGGAGTCGCTTACGATGCCTTGGTCATTGGAACTGGGTTTGGCGGCATCCAGATGCTGCACGAGTTGGGCAAACGGGGATCACCTTCTGCGATGCTAGCGGGATCTAGTACAGGTTGATGTCACTCATCGCTTTAACAAACCCTGGCGGCTAGAATACACAAGAGGAAAGCATGTTGCATAGTAGAAAGGATTTGATTCCGCAAGGCTGGTTTGCAGCCAAGGTCACCGAGCCATCAGTGTTGATTTCCGCCACCTTGTATACTTCAGTGCATGCGGCAATGATCTGTAGATTGACACGGTGACTGAAGCAGACGCCTCCCCTCGTCCAGATCGAGAGAGACTCGAGGAGTGCAGCGACCGAGCGGGTGGGCAGACCAACTTGGGAAACTGCATGCGGTGTGTTCGGCATTGAGAGAGGACGAAATTGAAGCGTTGAGGAGTGCGGAACGGGCATCCCGGATGCTTTTGGGTGAGGATTTTGATCGTGACTGGACGGAAGAGGAACTCGTGTCTTCACTGGGCGCCATGATGGAGATTGATACAGTCACCGAGGAGACGGGGGTAGGCGCTGGACGCAACAAGCTTGATCTGAACAAAGCAAGGACTATCGAAGAGAAGGATGAGATGAAGGAATAGAAGATGAGATGGTCAGGGGACTTTTTCTCCAAAGCTTCTCGGTGCTGTGGATGCGCAGTCTGGAGGATGCGAGCATGACGCCGAAGCATAGCTGGCGACTACCCCCAAGAGGGCGCCGAAGAGATATAGGTGTTGCAGCATGCCCCTGGCTCAACAGCTTCAGAAAGAGGCTAATCAGATGCTTGAGCGAGCGCCCAATATAATTGCACAGCCGAAGGAACTGTATCGACCAGTCCAACGATAGCGAGAAGAGCGAGCAGGTTCAAAGGATGCGATCGATCTATCAGAATGCCAAGGAGGTCACAGCTTGGCTGGGACCAAACAATCTTACGATGGAAAATGATGAAACAATACAATGTTAACAAAACTGAAAGGAGCTAGGGACAGGTCTTGGGTGACGATGCACCAGGATCAGACGAACAACATCACCCTGCGAATAGACCATGGCCACCATACGATGCGCTCTCTCATCATCAGCGAGGAGAAAGCACAGAGACTCAGAAAGAATTTGGCAACGAGCTGGCTGAGCGTGCAAGAAGAATTCAAGAGGGTCTTCCAAGCCGCAGAGTCGGAAAAGAACTTACGCTGCCGCTTTTGAGTGGTGGCGTGGGTGCTGCCTATCTTTGGGCCAGGCCTCATTGGTTTTGTTGGGTAAATACATTCTTGTGAGGTTTCTTCGCATATCATGCAGTGTGGCAGTTCGCGGCTGCACTTGGACAGCCTTGCTCAGCCTCGAAGCTCCAAATACCGGCAAGGCTGGTAACTTGTGATATCAGACTTCTAGTACACAATATACACCGCAGTTTACTATTCCAGACTGCTATCCGCTAGCAGTCAGTCGTCTCTTTTCTGATTGCACTTGCAGATACAGCCGAGGTCGAGGTCAGTCAGCGATAAGCGCAAGGATTGTTACAACACGGCGAGGAATGGACAAGAATAATGGAAGGGACGGTTGCTTATAGGGAAGCCCTACAAAAATGAAGAATCAAAAAAGCCCCAGCCCCGGCACGCAGCAGTATAGATTGAAATAATATGGTGGACGAGTGTAAAGAGCAGGCTGCTGTCAGCTTGGAGGAGGGATTCCGTCATGGTAGCCAGCGCGCTCGGGAGGACGGCCCGAGTTCGCGGTACTCTCTCGATAGCTGAACCTGGTCCTTTTTCCCTTCTTTGCAAAGTCGCAGAATTTTGATTAAATTTTCATCGTCCTGTCCTGCTAGTCCTTTTTTTCCCTTAGCATGACCTGAAAATCATGATCGTCCTGGCCTGCTTTCCTTAATGAGTATGCCATCCTCGTCCCCTACTTTCAATACGGTTTCGGAGGAGACCTTTGAATTTGCTGATGGTCACAAAGCATGTGGATCGCAGAACCAGAGTAGCCGAACAACGCCCAGACCTCGGGTTGTGGCTCCGTAGCACGCCGTCGGGACGAGAGTTGGCAATGTACGAAGCGGATTGAACCCGTCGCGCCCGCAGAAGAAGCCGTGCTATGGGGAGAGAGAAGAGAGAGAGAAGAGGGAGGAAGGAGGGGGGCGGCGGGTAGGAGGAGGGTGAGACCTACCGAGTTCGGAAAACCCCTTCACGACATATCTTGTGAGCCTTATGGAATGTCGCATGCCTCGCCAAATCCCACGCAATAATGTCCCGTATCGGATGCTCGAGCGCCTTGCAAAGTTCCTCAACGGCCCCGTCCTTATCGGATCCGCTGCCGACGAGCGGCGGCAAGGGTAGGGCGACCGCTTCCTCTGTAACGCTGGCTACAGTCTACATCTTTGACCACCGGCCGTGCTCGTTCTCGACTCATCTCCGTCTGCTACTCGGCTTCGTTTTCCCATCTCGATTACACCCTCGACCGGGACTTGGTCCTTATCAAATTGATCTATACTTATGATATGGAGATTAGCTATGGGTCACGAGGAAGACGAGTCTCTTGCTAAAGCTATCTGGTGGCCGACTATCCCGGACTAGTAATCTCGCTTGGGGATGCACATGAAACGCTTTCGCGTCTGGCAAGCACACACACGTCGCCTAAGCAAGACACCCAAGCCCAGGTGAGGCCAGTAGTGTCAGTCAGCGCACGTCCTCGGCCATCATCTCATGCAGTGCAGCCATGTGGGTGACCCACCCACCCTTGTCCCTCTCCACATCCAATGTCCCTGTCCCCTCTATCTGGTAGTGCAGCCAAGCCAACCCCGCATAGGTCGCCATCCGCGCCCAGCAGCCGAGTCGAGGTGTTTGTCGAGCACCACCACCACTGCGACCAGCAGTCGGACGACACCGACTTCGCTGGGGGCTTCGCACTCCCTCCCGCCGCCTTCATCCGGCCCTTCTCCCTTGCTCCAGCCGCCCCTCGCAATAGGTGGTGGTTCCCCACTGCCAACTGGCGGGCCAGGCAGCAGAACGTGGTGTCTTTGGAGGAGGACATGTAGACTCGGGCATGTTTGAAGTGGATGGGTGCATGGAGCCGAGGTGCAGACCGCTCTGTCGTCGTCTTCGTAGTCGTGGGGATCCTTCTTTTCTCCCCCTTTCTGTCTTTGGCTTACGCATCTGCCTGTTCGTCGTCGGAGTGGCCCTGTGTTGTATTCTTGATCTGGCTCTGGGAAAGCGTCGCCGTTCGAGGTGCATGAGAGGAAGGGGGGTTGGCGTGTTAGTCGGCGGCGCGGCGCGTTCGTTTTCGTATTGCTTTGCTTGTTCGGCAGAACTGTCCTGCTCTCAATCCTGCTTTCAATACCTGCTCATCACATGGATGCTAGCATCAGCCAGTTGCTTCTGTAGATCAATCTTGGCATGTCTTGCTCACCTTCGACACATCCGTCGACCAGTCCTCTTGGGGAGGCAGCGTTTCAGCCCGGGGTGTCGATGTTGCAGTCGGTGCTCTTGGGGTATGGTCAATTACATGCTGCCCGGCGAGCGCCAGCGGTAGTGCCCTACCATCTCTCTTCCACTCTGCGAGAATCCGTCATAAAGCTCGCAATGCGGAGCGGGGCATTCGAGCGCGTGAGGAAAAGAAGAATTGGGATGGGGGGTAAGGGGAAAGATGAGGGAGTCCTGAGTGTTAAATAGTCCTTGTGCGGCGTCCAGCTGTGTCCGGGCTTATGTGTCTGTCGGGGTGGCGACCTAGGGGCGGGTACCGTGCGACACGAGCTGCCTGTGCGGCCGAGTGGACGGCAAGCCTGGATCAATCGGAATCCTTGGGACCTCACGCGTCGTCGGACTTGCATGCCTAGAGATGCGTCGGTGCCCTATGAAGCTTGCTGACGCTAGGTTGGGCGCAATCTAATCCGCTTAGCGGCGGTGTTGCCGGTTCTGGGAAGATCCGCGTCTCTTTTAACGGCTGGGAGCCACCCACAAATTCCCAGAGCCGCCCGTCTGAAAACCCTTGCAAAAGTTCTGCTCGCTGGATATTACGTGATGCATCATCTGGCCTCAGCTCGCTCCCTCCTCGCACCATTCTCGCAATAATGCCTCCGGTTTGCCGCTCCTTCTCGTATTCTGGTAGGATGTGGCAAACTCTCATCCGCAGTTTGCTGTGCCTCCAGCTCCGTAGAGAACCCTCATCCTCTTCATCACGATTTCGCCCAGGACTCATCTTTCGGCTGCCACGAACGCTCAGAAGGAGGACTGCGTCTTGCAATCCTGCTGCAGAGTTTTCACCTGGCATCCGTTGACAGGCACAACCGGCGAGTCTCGCAGCGCGAACAACCCGTCATAGCCAGCATCCTCCTCCCTTGACACCTCCGCGTCGTCTACCCCCGACAGCTGCGGCGGTGACCGTGTTGTTAGCATCGCCAGCTTCGGATTCCACGTTAGGCGTACTTTAATTTGCGTCCGCAGTGGCGGTGAAGGGGCCGAGGCGGAGCCCGGAACCGAGCACCCCGGGAACAGGCGCTGGGAAAAGCGTGAGGGGAGCTAGCTCACGGCTTTCATAGACGTGCGCCTCTCCATTTACGTCTGGCATCCAATACCAATCCCACCAGCCGAGCCCGGTGACAAGGGCTACCAAGTCTCAGGCTTCTCGCGGGACCACTGGAGAATGCATGGCGAGTAGTATATAGCCAAGCCAGAGGGCAACGCACACAGCATGTCGAACCGCGGCCTGGGAAATGTGCGGCAAGTAGCCAGCTGCAGCTAGCGTCACGAGTTGTAGCTGATACAATGCTGCATGCATCCATCGCAAGTGTACTAGTGCGTGGTTCTTTAGTCGTCAGCACCGGCAAAGGGAATTAATCAGGGCTCTCGTCACGGGCACGGGGATGAGATGAGATACAAGTAGTCCATTTCAACTACAAATCCAACCAGAGCTTTGGAATGGCCCATGCCAGAGAACCAGGATGCAAAAAACACACAATGTTGAAGCAAAACGAGCCGCTGCAGATTAGGAATCTCATCATTTGCCCAATTCAGATCCGGTTGACTTGGCAGAAAGGGAGCCAGATAATACTGATCTGGTGTCCCCTCGGCGGCAGCCATCCGTTCCCTCACTTTTGCCCGGGCGCGGCGCTCCTTGGGGTGACCATCAAAATCGACAGGTTATAATGCAGCATGAGTTCATCTATAGGCAGGTTAAGGAACAGGACTTTCGGCATCTCCTGTCAGTATGGTCAATTCGAGTCCAAGCGACTTCAACGACTCGACAGCGTTAGAGCCCCCCCGACGGATGCTGTCCTGCAACATAAACGAGCCTGCATATTTGTCGCCAATAGCAAAATGGGGCTTGTGCTTGATCCATTGTCCACGGTACCTTTGGTTTCCTCGTCAGTCGATGCGCATGCCAAAGACGTCGCAAAGCGAGTCGCCTACTTATAACCAAACTTTGGACCAATGTCGCCCAGTTAGAAGAACTGACGTCGATCCTCTTCAATCACTGTTATTTGTTCAAGGAGCTCATATTGTGGTTGTGAAAACGCACAAGTGGAGGCAAACTGCTCGATTCCGACCATTGTAGGCTTGAGCGACACGATGGTGTATGTGATCAGATCAACAGTGCCGCCTCCTGCATCAAGACGCGGCTCCATAACACCTGGTAGCAATCAGAATTGAGTCGCACATGCTATCACTGGTGTGTGGCTTACATTGTGTAGCCAGAGTCGATGTAGCATAACGCAGTACAGTGACAAAAGCTCCCGGCTGCCTTGAAGAAGAATCTCAACATGTCGCCCGTCGACGCCCTCGCGAACCACACCATCATTTTCGATAGTGGCAAGGAAACTGCCAGCTCCATGGCTCTGGTATTTGCTAAATTGCCAGGTCTTGAGCTTGGCCTCATCGGCCCGTGTGATTGAGGTTCCTTGGCAAGGTCGTTTGCGCTGGACGCAATTGTTCATAAGAGGTGGTCGGGCGCCTGCCGAACACGACCTCCTGGTAGCCACATACGACGCCCCAGTCGTCCTATTCGGGCGGGATCCTCGCGTCGGCGGATGACACCGGAGTCGTATGCGACGGCTCTCCGGATCCTCAACCCGATATGACGGCAATCCTCGACGTAAGTTGGCACCGCGTTTGTTTACCTCGAAGACAACGCCAATTGACATACCAACACCACCGAGAGTGGCTGAAATCTGCCGCTTACACAGGCCAGTTCTGGCGGACACTGGAGGGCGGCGTCGAAGAGCGGGCGAATGCTGGGGACGTGGAACACGGGCGGCAACGGGTGGCTTGAGAAATCTCATTGACATCAGCAGCTGTTCTCGCAGGGACCGGGACAAGGGCAATGATTCCTTCAAGTTGACAGGCAGCGTTGAGAATCGCCTGAATCGCCTCGCAAACACCATTTTTCCCGTTCAAGAAAACTTCGACATTGTTTCCAGCGATATCTCAGTCCGTGAAATGAGCACAGGCAATGACTATGTCGTGAGATAAGCGAAAACCGGACATCTCTGCGATTTGTGCTGCACCTCAAATCAGCATCGAGGGTGCACGGATTGATTCTGATTGAATCGGTGCCATGACTGCTTGAGTTGGCACTCTTTGCCTCTGGAATTCCTGTTGTCTTGTCGATCGCATTGCCTGGGTCCGCAGCACGGGGAGGAACTCAAGCTGTGGCCGACTGAGGAACTGACTCCACACAAGAATATCAAAATGGGTGACCCCAACTCGGTGCCAGCAGCACCAACGGATACGATCTCGACACGTCTCGAACTCACCATATCCCCCTGATGGACATGTTGCGAGGCATCTTCGGCCACAAATGCCAACGCGTCGATAGTCTACGCAATTTCGAAGGTGTGGTGCAGCCCTCCAGCGGTGCCAGGTTTCATGGTAGTTGTCCATGGTTTTGAGGCGATGTGGTTAATTCAGAAGAGGTTGAGACGTCATTGGGTTGAATGGGGCCCGGTCGCCTGGTGGTGGTCCGGGCGGAAGAGGATACGATATATAGCCTTCGCCGCGTAGGCGTTAGAGCTCTCTAAACTCATACCGCAATCTCTTGTCGGCGACAGTGATGGGGGGTCGCGACCGCGCTCTCGTCTGCGCCATTCGCGATAGTGTCGAGCTGCAGGAACTGGGCCACACTTGCGCTCTCAACGCCGGGCTGCCACAGTCAAACGAGGACCAACGCAGTAGCCACCGACAATGATCCCGATGCCGTGCGGGATGTACGCCAGCCCAATCTGCAGCACTATGGGTTGGCCGTCTCCGCAGCAGCCAGTCTGGTCAGCTCAGTTCCAGTGTAGGCGAACGCCGCGGTGACGAAGACACTGCAGAAGCCGTGAAAGCCGTTGAGGAACACCGACCAACGGTAATCACATCCGTGGGAGACATTTCGCAACGGGGGGAAACCGAAGAGGAATTCGTGCAGAGGCTGGTGGACGAGTTGGACGCGCATTTAGTCGAGATCGAACCGGAGAAGGTCGTCGCAGCACCGGCAGAATGCCATCGCGGTCAGCGTCGACACAATCACTGTCGAAGAAATAATCGTCGTCCCACGAGGAACCGAATTTCGAACTCAGAGCGGCTCTGCCACGGGCTGCCTGTCTCCCTCTCGCTGTTGACGCAAAGGCTCAGCGGCATTGATGGCCGCTTGGATTTCTTTATCGCAAAGAATATAGCCCACACACCTTTCCTACACCGTAGACAAAGGCAGAAAGGGGACTCCTGCAAGACCGTTGACAGAAGGAGTATTACACCCGTCTGGCAGTCCTACCTTTGGGAAAGATGTGACTTGTTGGAGTGAAGACACTCTGAAACCTGCTATAAGCGACCCGAATAGGCCGTATGAGATTCCGAAACAGATGCCGGCGGATCCGTAGATAGCATTCAGAACATACGCCGGGGCGAATTTGGGTATGGTATATCACTTTTAGACCAAGGAAAAGCGTCAAGGATACATCTTCGCTTCCCTACGCCTCTTTTTGCAATCCAGAACCAGGTCATCTCACTGCAGTCACAGCGTTCGTCGCCCACGAAGAATGGCACCACTGAGCAGAGATTAGTCGATTTCGCTCAGTCTTTAATAGTGCGAAATCCTCCCGAGGAGAATGGTAATTTCCATTAAGAGCCTACCACTGCTAGCAGTCCACTCAGCGTCATTAGTGACATTGACACTGAGCGGCGGGTACATGTGGCTTTATCGAGGACCCGGAAACAGGGCGATATGCATTTTTAGAAGGAATATACAACGGACATTGCCATTCTCTTTGAGGAGTGCAAGGAGAAAAGAAAGGGACCCCGACATTAGCTTCTTCGTGGCGACCCTCGCTGAGATGGGGGAGAATTGGCTTGTTGCCAAACGGTACAGCAAAATCCTGAGCCGAGTTCTAGAGGAGTATCGTCAGTCGCAGCGAACCAGCGGACGTCAATGTTTCCATTCATCAGCAAGCAGTTGCTGAGAGACCACCACAGCCCAAGCCGATGCCGTACATTCGCAATCGACCATTGTTCAACCTCGGAAAAGTTCTGCTTGAGCTTGCTCGTTCTCCGTCTCCTTCTCACTCTCGATCTGACGACGGACTGCTGGAATATGTCTTGGGCAATGCAGTCTCATTCGCGTAGACGGAGCTAATTCTCGCTTTGGCGAAGAATGAAATTTCCACGTAGATGTGCGCCTTGCGCTCCACGCCTTCACAGTGGGATGAACACCTCTTAAGAAGGTCGTCGAGGCTCTGAGGCCAGCCTCCGATGACCCCGAGTTCTGGATTGAGCTGTGTCATTAATGTCCTAGCGTTATGTCATGCTGATGTTGCCCATTTGATCGATTGTGATGTTGCAGCCCAGATATTTTGCTCCATCTCGTTGATTGAGCTGTTGAGGGAGCAGCTGCACCGCGACGAAGAGTACCGAGAGCAAGTTGGCTATCGTCGATGATGAAACAATCTTACCGTGATTCTTTGTGGCGCAGGGCGTCATTCCCAAGGAGGCTGTCCAGCAGCATGTTTCCTAGGAGTTTATATGGAAATGATTAGGAAAGGGGAAAGACGAGTGAGCTTTTTTTTGGGGGTTTCCTGGCTGGGTTTGGTGATCTGGGTGGTTGAGGACGCAGGTTTCAGCAACCTGGAGGGTGGGGCCTCCTGGGCCTTTGGGCCTTTTTGAATTTGCGTCAGTTCTGCACTTTCGGGGTCTGCAGGGACTCCGGCGGCCCATGAGTTGCCTATTGCAGACCTTTTCCAGTCTGACCGTGTCATGTGTGTCAGGAACCTGGTCTGCAGGGCACAATATGGTGATCATTTGACAACCAATGGCAGCGCGCGGCCCCCGGTATACCGACATGCAGATCGTTAGGGAGCCAATTGTGTCACGCCCCGTTCAGTTTTGCTAGCCTGCCCAGGCTAGCCTTGGTTACCTCTCTTCCCATTCTCTCTGTAGCCGGGCGTCGGCCACATCCCTGGGCCATAAACCCAATGGCATTGACCATCAGGCCGCTCCACTGCGGCTCTTTTTACGGTATGTACCTATTCTCCCATACCAAGTCAAGTCCCATCTTGGAATTTTCCTGCTCAACGCCACTGCCGCTGCCACGTGATGGCCGCTTCACCGGAATCTTCCCGCTGGACGATCGTTCTGCGACAAGGTATATCAAAATCGGGGTAGCTACAAGAGTATGGGTTACTTCAGGACCAGAGGCGGATTGGGGATACGTTATAAGGGCAGAGACAACCGAGGAGCGGCAGGGGGACCAACCGAGACGAGGGTGTTCCGCGGACTTGAAGTGGTCCGAAAACAGGAAAATAGCCAGGGACCAACGCAGCTGTGCTGTACCATCGGAATCACCTGACGAGGAGAGACAACGTGTGGCAAAAGCCGCTTGCGGGCTAGCCAGTGCGTGGGTCGTAGGATGGGAGCTGCCACCGCGACCTCGTCCCGGCCAATCTCCTTGCCAATGGCCTCAAAGCTCACCTTTTGCGCCTTCGCCTCGAACAAGGTTACAGAGGATTTGGGGAGGTTGGGATGTTGAGATACCTGGTCCTGTTAGTTGCCACGTCGAGCTTGTCCTTGAGGCGGAGCAACTCACATCCAAGTGGACTCGAAGTCCGAGGTGGGATAGTCCAGGATCGCGGTCGCGGCATGTGGATGTTGTGATGAGGGCTTATTTGGCATTGCTGCCGTGCTTTGATGTGGAGCGGGAGGTGGCGTCGGCTGCGCAGCATAGCGATACCAACGCAAACATTACTGATCTGATTCGATATGGCAAGAATTCCATGCAGCATCGACATTGGCATCACAGGGACTGCCTTGGCCCTGAGCTCCACCATGACGAATATGAGAATGAGTATCACGCTCAAGATTATGGCGACAACTGTTATCCAAGTCGTCGAGTCTCGTATTGGTCGCCTTCACATTGCCGGTGGCCTTCACATTGCTAAACTGTGTGGTTGCAGACGCATTCTGTCGGTAAGGCATAGCGAGAGAGGTGCCACGTCCCCTATCCCTTCTCTTTCACATACAGCTTCCCGGAGCAAATTGGACTCCGGACTTATGGGCTCCCGGGGCTGCAAAACGATGACACAAAGTGCGCGCGTAAAGGCGGATTTCCGCCTGTCCGGAGTCTATAACTAACTACATTGCGTGCCATTCAATCCATACGCTGCAATGGATATCGACACGCCGCATCGCTTGAATCTCCTGGCTGAACAAGCAGGGGACGCGGATGTGACGGATGACGCCGAGGAAATGGACACCGACGGTGACGGGGATTTCTTGGACATTGCAGAACGAATGGATATGGACGAACCGTCTCCACCGCCACCACATCCCATAATGGATTCCTTCAGTCTCCAACCAGCTATGTTAGACGCCTCCCTCGTTGGTGGCACAGATATGAGCGTCTCCTCTGATACTCTGTCCCTTCATATGGCCTCCATGCAACCTACACCCTTTAATTCTATGGATTCCGTGTAGTCAAGCTTCTGTGACCATTCTGACAGATGACGTCTCTCGAATACCAACCTGACCAGCTGGCGGAACCGGATGACCACTGGGGGACCGTTTTCCTGATCGGTTGCCTCCTTTGATGAGGTTGGAATTAGGTGGCGCGGGAAGGCATGGGCTGCGAGGACCCACCTCGAGATTGCTCTCCATCTTTCGTTGCTGGGATCTAGCGGAGCAAACCAGACAAAGACGTGAATACAATGATGATCAAACAAATTTTTTTAGTCGGGACGCAGCATAAAGCCCAGGCACTGCCATGCAGTAGTGGCAGTAGTGGTAGTGGTGGTCGCTTACAGTCCCATCGCTCCAGCGGCACTGTAACGCCAGCACCAACACAGTCAATGTCGGCTTCCGCTCAACCAGAAGAGAAAGATCCCCACACCCTCGATCGCGAATTAAGGAACTGTGAACGTATGTTCAAGGAACAACAGGGGCGAGAGAAAGCAGCCAAACAAGCTTCGTCCTGTACGTGCAGGAATGGGTGGGTAATGTGAGCAGGCTCTGCTGCCGCTCCGGACTCCATATCTTGACTGTCCCATCCCAGGATGATGAGGCAAAAGTTGCCTTCGACGTGAGGTTCCAGCTGCATGAGAAGGCTTCCTGCGAGTGTTTTTGGCAATTGGGATTGTCGCCGCACGAGATGTCCAATGCGATAATTAGCGCGATAGAAGGTGGGACGGGAGAAAGCCCCCAGCCTGCCGAATCTCAGCCTGAAAATCTTGTCCAGAGTGGCACCGATCGCCATCTCCCAGAGATTGATCCACGGATTGGGTCATCCCGAAGCGCTCAAGGATATATTGCTTCGGGTTTCGGCGTTGTGGCAGGTGTCTTTGCAGTCTTTTCCTTCGGCGAAGTTCCCTGCATGAGGCAAGATATTCTGTCCAAGCTTCCCGTCGTCGGCAACTACTGGATCAGGGAGGTGCCGCCGGAGGACAACCCTGCGTGAGCTGGTCTGCCTCGTCCAACAAAACCACCTTGAAGTTGGGGCATGGGTACTTCTTGCGGTATTTATCCGAGAAAGGGTGTGTCAGGTGTTGCGATGCGAACTGTTTGACTCGTTCTCTGATCACGGAGAGGCCTCGTTCGTCCGAGGCGTTGAGTTCGATGACTCAGTGGGCCGGTCTTTGCCAAAGATTTTCACCACTGCAGCTCCATCCGCATCTTCTCCATGGCCTTCATCGGGAGCCTGGATTCGAATGAGGCGTCTAAAATCAGTTGGTAAGTGCTCCCTCTGGGCAAGGGGTTCATCTGACCCGGTGATGCAGCGGACAACGATCTGCCCGCCACGTTGATTCTGCTGGTGTCTGTCGCCGGCGTCGCTTCAACCGATATGTACTTGTATCCGCCAACTCTCCGTTCGGCGACCAATGCCTCAGCCACCTCCATCCCCTATACAGCCACAGCAAGTCGGTAAACTCCCTCCTCACCAGGAAGCGATGGTGGAAGCATGCAAAGCTGGTCGACTGTCCGATTTACAGAAATTGTTCGACGAGCACGACGTCAAGAGTGGCGACGACCCCGTACCCAGCAGCAAAAAGTCGTTCAAAACAAGTGCCAGAAATCCTGCAGGAATGAATTGAAGACCGACCGGGATCCGCCAGCCCGCGTTGCTCTTAAAGTCCTTGGTGCCCAAGTTGACCAGTGAGGCTACCAATTGACCTAGGATGATCATCAACTGGATCGTTGCGTTCCTTTTGTCCCAAGTTAGCTTAGATGCTGATCAAACGCCACCCGGACCCTCCATCACGGTCCCAGAGTTCAAACTCACCCCTCCCCCTGCTGCTGCTACTGCGGCGACGACGTCCCAGCAGGATGGATCCAATCGTTCGACCCCTAAGACACGGCACGAGAACCCGTCGCTGGACTTCTGGGCCTTTTCGTGCATGGCGACGCCAAATAGACGGAATTTCCGAACAAACATTTCCCGTAACGATAGACCCGGGGGTCCACTGGCCGTCGTGGCTCCATTTACAACATACACATATGAACTGCCTACAACTCAAGGGGAACAGCTGGCGTGCTGATGGTGACTGACGTTGAAATGGACAGCGAGAATTCGAAGCTGGATATTGGCATTATTCAGCAGGTGACTGATCACGGTCAAGGATGGCTTTAACTAACTTGTTTAAACGCGGGTGGACAATGTCAAATCACTTTTGAAGAACTTGATGGACTTGGTGTCGGCCATTGCAGGATGTGATTCTTGTAGATCTGCTGCATCAACCTCGAAGCCGAAGCGCTCAGCCTGCAGGAAGAGATCCTGCCTCCTTGGCACGTCCCAGCCTGCATGGCGGTGCCGTCGCCTGATATGTGATATCCCAACGGTGCCGTACAATGGACCATGGTGACCGGTCCAAGGGGGTAACAGCGAAGAGAGTTTTCCAGTTGTCGCGGGGTGGCTGCATTGACGAGGCAGGCCTGACTCTCTCGATCTCGAAAACAGAAATAGCAACGACGCAGAGTCTGACATGTATAAATAGATAGGGGAGCCCTAGGTACGACTATTCTGGGGGCTGCCGCCCGACCAAACATGAGCCCTCCCTTTTCTACCGTCAAGACCGTGCCTTCATCTACCACGCTGGTGCTCTTGAGGCACGAGGATGTTGTACGACATATATATCCCCACCCTAAGCATGAAGTTTACGAGCTACGGAATTGATCACTTCACCAGAGCGGGTGACCGATACGAGGAAGAGCAGAGAAGGAAGGAAAAGAAGGGCGAGGAACGCAAGCAAAAAAAACAACGCAGGAGAGAAGAGGGACGCGAGAAGGAAGACCGACGCGAAAACGCGAAAGAAGCGCAGCCTGGGCATCAAGGTATGGGGGAAGGTTCGAAATCCAAGCACTTCACATGCCAGCAGACTCACGCTCAGGTCAAGATGCGCTAGTGCTCGAAGCCAGAACTGAAGACGATGGATCCGTGGCTTGCCCAAGCTCTGGCGAAAAAGCCAGTGGTGTTGTTGCCTCCTCCGAACATGCAGCCAACTCAGTGCCAAGCCTTCCGCCGCGTCTGTCAAACGCCATCGTCCCCAACGACGCACCATCTCATTCGGATTCGGAGCAGCCCACCCTTCTGGCATGCACAGTCCCGAATCCTGTGTCGAGACTGCCTCCTTCAGGGTTCAACCAGTCACAGATAAAGCCTAAAACGCGTCACTTAATATACCTAATCGGGTTAGACTAAGAAATAAGGGCACTATAAATCTTTCCTAAATAGGTCTAGCTGCACCCAGTATCACGCGATGTATTCAAACTTTTTGCACACTTTCGTCGGGCTGGGTTGCCAGATGCGGCGCACATGCTGGATTACCACGAGCCGCCAGCAGCCATCTGTATTGGTCAGTTCTAGACACTTATATCCTGGCGTGTCCAAAACGCCGACCCTCTCGGGAAGTAAGCGATTTAGCGTATGTAGGCGGCAGCAGTGACGCTGAGAACGAGCCTTCTGAATCACCTGCCCCTTGCATGGCGTCTCTAGCCAGCCTATCGCTCAGCCAGAAACGTCGCCGGGAACAAGAGGACATGGAGGAGAAAGACATGAACGAGGACTTTGACTACTCAATCGATAGCTCAAGATCGTCGGTGGCCAAGCGGCACATGCGGGAAGCTCGATCCCGGGCTCAGAATGGTCAGGTGGGGGAGGTGGGAGCTGCCAGGACAAGTTCAAGCGCTGTTTCTCCAGGATCTCGCAAGCGCAAACCGCCCCGGGTGTCGAGATACCGCCGGTGTGCTAGCATATGATACTAGCTCTGGGCCAATGCAGGCTCGTTATCCGCCCATTGAGCAGTGGAAGGCCGCTGGCCGCGTTATTTCCAGACTTCGTCGAGCTTTCCTCGCCACTAGTTGCGCCTCTTGCGCTCGTCTCGGGGATTAAGACAGGAGCAATGACAGGCAGTTCCAGTAACGCATGAGTTCGCGACATTTTACTCGCCAATCGGACATGCCGTACTACACCCAGGTGCCCTCCTTCCCATCCTAAAACTGGGGATAGTCGACACTGGGGGAGCCTCTGTCCTACAACAACAAATGGTGGTTGGGCCAATGGAGATCCTCCCTGTACAACACAAAGCTGCCAAGCTGGAGAATGGTCACTTCCAGACGCCTCATCTACCCATGATTGGTGCAGCAGCTTGTTGTGGACAAAAAATGGCTGCTTCTTATCAATTGGAAAAGTCCGATGGTCCTTCAGAATCCAGTAGGTGGATGTTCTTCCATGGCCGAGACCAATCTGGTTCCGTGTTGATAATCCTTCCAGGTTTCAAATCCAGACAATGATGCTATTTTTTCCCTTCTTTCTTCGCCTGCTCAGCCAATATGAAGCCGATATTTGTTTATACGGGACGGTCTCTTGACACACACCACACACCATGAACTACAAGCCACGGCAGGGGGCCGCCACGCCCTTCGCACAATGCCATAGGTCTTTGACTGCTGGAAGTCGGGGGCGAATTGACAAAGGGGAGCGTGCTTGATGGTTGGAGAGCTGTAGGTTTATCATGACATCCTGTGTTCTCACGTATAAAAACTCCAAAAAGCTCTCGCTATGTTCATTGCTCTGTTCTCTTGCGACTTCCCGTGGCAATCAGTCACTCCTTGTTCCGTTTCCGTTTTCTTCATGAAAATAACCAGCGCTCGCTTCGGACCACAGATACTCAATCGCAACAACTACATATACAATATTGTCCCTGCCGTCACACCAGGCCATGGCTTCCCGATCCAACCAGACAAGCTTTCGACTTTCTCATGCTCCTTACCCAGCAGGTGATGGAACAACAGTGCGAGTACCTACCTTTAACAGTGTTCAGTCATTTAACCTCTCGTGCCCGATACTCCAGGGAACTGGTGTAGGGCAAATTCGGCATTATGACCGTCTCTGCACTTGTTGTGCCCACCCTAACGACAATGAGGTGATTGATCCAGATCATCCCCCCGAAACTCCGACATCCAGGTTTTTCGATGGTGCGTAGTTACGCATCCCTCCTATCCATTTTACCAACCTGACAGTTATGAAGACCAATTACTCGATTTCGACGGCAACTGCGGCGACAGCGATGGCGTCGTTGTAGGTGACAATGACGGAGAGGTCTACGATGGTCCCCTGTTCGGGATCTCGCAGCAATCTTAACCAGCTCCTCCACCAGACAAGCCGTCAAAGCAGTCTGGCTCCCGAGTCCCCAAAGACAAAACCCAAGCAGGCGGACCTCAGAAGAAAGGGGGAGGGAGGGGAGGTACCCCATTGTCTTTTTTGTTTTTTTAATTTCTTTGATTTCCTATTGGTGGTCTTGTTGTCTTCGACTCTTTCCGACGGTCCGGGCAAGGTAAATCGTGATGAACATCTGCATTGTGAAGCTGTTGTCTGCTTCCTAGTCCTATTCGTCGTTGGCAAAGTCGTAAACTTCCTGCACCGGGGCCGGATGCGTCGCCTTGTCGTCATAATCTGGTGTGCAGGGTACGGAAGGCAGCTCGTCGTCGTCGCTGGGTGCCTTGGGCGTCGCCGGCGCGTCATCCTCCCCAACCTCCGGGGCCCAAGCTCCAGTTGTGCTGATCGACATGTTGTCGTCTCTGTCGTCTAGCTGAGTAGCATTTGCTCCGGTCAGAAACTGGGCAACATGTGGCTCAGGGATCGTCCTATTATCGGAGCCATCTTCACTGGGCTCCACATCGCCGGGCTCCACATGACCATCACCGAACACCGCACCATCGTGCTCGAGACAGTCGCGCTCGGGATGGTCGTGTCAATTCCTCCGGTTCTCTTGTAACTGTGCATCTGTAAAGAGTTATTCTTTCGAGGACAACGCTGGAAGTATGGAGACGATTCGATCCCGCGGCTGGGATGGGTCTGCCATGAACATCTGACACCGACGCGCGGGCCACCGCTTTAGGGGCTTCTCCATGAGCATGTTGTTGAGGAGGGGACGCCACTTCGGATCATAGCACAACTTGATGAACTTACTGACTAGGTTCATCCAACCCCGAACCTCCGACGATGACTGCGGATATATGTCGACGTAGGGATTGTCGCGAATGGGGTCGTGGCCCGTAAAGAGCACCACGGATAGAACACCGAGGGACCAGACGTCGACTCGTTCGCCATAAGGCTTACGATCCAGGATCTCGGGCGCGCAGTAAAATGGCGACCCAGCCTGTCCCGCCACGAGTTGCCTGGTCACCTTCACCGCGCCATGGTCCGTGAACTTGCAGAGCCATCGGGCCGACTTGCCATCGCCCTCGACGACACCCATCATCACATTGTCAGGCTTAATGTCCCGATGCATTATGCAGTTTTCGTGATAATGCTGTGAGCCGCTCAGGGGTTGCTTGGTAATGTCGACCCTGTCCAAAGGGAGGTACAAGTCCTCTTCTTTCGCCCAGAGACAGTCTTGTAGACACTTGGGCATGTATTCCTCGATCAGCCACGGTCTGGCATCAGGTCCGGCATCATTTCTATCTGGGAAGGCGTAATCAATTATCTGATTGATATGAGGCTGAGGGAGACCGAAACACGTTAGCAGATACCTATCATATAATCTGCCTTTCCGGTCGAGGGTGGCCGAATAAGGAAACGGGCAAAGAATAAGGGTAGAAAGGAACAGAGGGACGTGCTCACATGCTGCATGTTCTGCATGATACGCCATTCATTTTCCAGCATTTCTCTGAAGTGCTGGTTTGTGTTCTCAGCGCCGTCTTCCTTGTGATGGATCTCCTTTGCGACTAACTCCGTCTCTGGAGGGGGTTTTGGGATTGATTGGAGCTTGGGCAGGCAGTCGAGTTGCTGTCGTTATGTATCTGGACTGGGACCAACTCCGCCATGCTGAGAACCCGAACGACTGACAACTTTGACAACTTTGACACGAAACACATGTCGGTAACCACCGCTCGCAATACGCCCCCACTCCTCGTATACCGTGGAGTTCAGGCCTTTCCGGGTCTCACGAGCGTATGAGGGTGTCGGGCCCAGAGTGTGGAATTGCCGGTTGAATTGATTGCTGCTTTGGTCGCTTTTTTGGTTACTTTTGTTTCTCGATTCTTGCCGGTTTTCGCAAGCCCCCAGAACGGTTGTCCGCAGGATGGTGTGGTTTGTCGGCGGATATTTTGGTCCTTGCATGCCTGTCCGAGGCTCGTGAAGAGTTCTGCTCGCCCAAGGTCGACAGGGCCGTCGTCTCCTTGCCTGAGGTAGATCTCAAGGGGCCAGCTCGCCCCAGTCCCCCCCCTCTCTTCACCATTTCCTCCATCGCCGTTGCTTTTCTTGCCGTTCCTTCTCTTGCCGAAGGAAGTTCCTGTTACTCCAATGCTTTTGTGATCTTGCTTCTTCTTGTCGGACTGTTCTGGGGCTGGCAGCGCGTCTTTGCACTCCTCCCGTCTGGAATCTTTCCCTCTGAACGTTTTCTCTCTGGACTCTACCAGTCCCCGATCCCTTTTTGGGCGAAGCGTTGCGGTTGATAGAACGAGGTGCCAGTGGCTAAGTGTGTGTCGGTGATGCGGCCTGCAAATCTTCCGTGCTCTGGTTCGACTCCTGCATCTCGTTTGTGAATTTCTTCAATAATTCAAACTCAATGTCCCAGTACTCCTTCTCGGGCACTCCGAATCCAATATTCTCGACTTCTCGGCGCGGAACACCCAGGCCTGACAGTACCAGGTTCAAATTCTTTGTCGTTTTGCATTGCTGTCGCGACCCCGCGTGCAAGGCGTGTTTGGCAGCCAGGCCGAGCTTGAAGTCTCTTCATATTTCCAGTACTCTTGCTTTTCAATCTGCTCCCGATTCTCTTCCATAATGGCATGGCTCTCCCCCGCCCACCCTTGCTCTATGAGCAATTCGCACTCGGATCTTGAGGAGGTCTTAGGCACTTCATGTTCAGGTTCGGGCGTCTGGTCGAGCAATCGCCACGCAGCTGCAAAAACGGTCGAACTTGCGTCCATTCGGACCTAACGGGTCACGGGCCGGTCGAGGGCAAATCGACAGGAAGACTGAAAGGTTAGTTGGAGTGTTTGTCGCGGACGGTTTCGTAGTCGTAGTGGAGGATAGCTTTCGTTGCTTCCAATGTTCGGAGATGTTAATTCGAGAGATTCTAGGTTAGTGTTGATGGCGAAAATGGGAGAAAAATGAAAATTCAGACAAGAAGCGTCGCGTGCAGCTGCCTGTCTGCGCAACAGGCTCCCGTCTGCCAGTGGTAATTAAATTGGCGCCCCGCACGCCTCGGCGAACGGTACAAAAAGTGTCTGTCCCCAGTGCACGGTGTCCCTCCCATTTCGGGCGTGTGCATTAGCTAAGAACCTATCTCATCAGCATCTTCTGCTGTCTGAAAAGCAGGCCCGCGGATCTGAGCCACCCCGTCAGCACCTCCTCGACCTCCTCCCCTTCGACAAACCTCCCTCCCCCTAACCGAATTGATCGGCTTCCCACGCTACTGCAGCCAGCTCAATGTATGCACCCACGACGAAGCCCAATGGACCGAGCAAGACGCGATAGAAGTCTGGGAGGAATTGAAGGCGCTAGTCCAGAAGCGGTATGAGCCATGAATGCTCTCTATTCTCGGGCGCACACGGAATTTCCGGATGGATGGCAGGGGGACCATGCGCCTGACTTTGAACACCGACTCCCTTCTAGCCAAGCCCGACCTGAGTGACCTCAGGACCGACCTGGCTCAGCTGCACAAATATACAAAGGGAGCCCCTCTTCATGCTGGTAATGCCGCGGCGGGGGCGGGACCCAGCTATGGTGCGAAAATTTGAGGAATTGGCAGCTCTTGGAGCTCGACATCCCCCGCGAGGCGCGCGCCACGCTTGCTGCCATCCTCTTCAACCTTGACTTCGCGCCCGGCACGCCGCTTGGGATGGATGTCCTGGAATGGATGTGAATGGATGTTCAACGACTTGACGTGGGACAGAAAAAGGCAACGCTGATATGTCGACGCTAGCCGAGACATGACACTACACAAGAAGTTGGACTGGGAACAAATGATCGAACGCCTGAAGTCGCCGCACCTCGGGCTCGAGAACAACATGGTTCAAGGGACCTTCAATGCCTTCGAGATCCTCTTCCATGCACAAGCGCTGCTCGATCCCCAGGATCGAATAGCCATCCTCCAAAGGCTACTCCCCTTTGTCGACACGGCTCATCCCAACAAGCATAAGGGAGCCCAGGTAGCCAATCTGATCTCGGCCATGGTCCCGACGGCCCCAGCCCCAGAGTCTTGCCCCAACTGCCAGCCGGCCACCATCCGGCCCATGCTTTTCAAGCTATTCGTCATGCAAAACCATGGCTATCAAGCCACCGCGAACTATGTTCAGCTCTTCTCCAGATTTGCCGCGTCCCATCTGGAATGCGAACACGTCTCCTTTGGACCGCACGGCATTTTTTGTGCGGCCCAGTCGGACGCAATTTTCGGGGCCATTTCCCGGCTGATGCATCCTCTTAGATGACAAGGAAGGCGGCCAGTCGTTCCATGACCCTTCTATCCTTGAATTCCTTCCGTCCGACTTTCGTGAAAAGCGAGCAACTCTTGCCGGCAGAATCACCGAGTGGATCGTATACTCGCTCTCTCCCATGTGCGAGACGCTACAACCCTCGATGCTCTCAGGCCTAGAGAGTCTTATAGGTTCGGTGTGTCTTTTGTACCACCCAGAAGCCGACCCCCCAGACATTCTGTTTGTCTCCCGGCTCCTTTATCGGGTGGCCTACTCCTTCAGCCTACGATACTACAGAGAGCAGACTGGCGAGCTGAGAACGCCGCCCGCTCGGCGGCTCAGCCCGGAATTGAAAGAGAAATTTGTTCTACTGCTCCGATGCGCGCTCTTTTTGGGCGTTTTCTCGCTGCGGATGGCACAAGAGGATCGCTACAGCTTCCCAATCAGTTCTCTCTCCCACGATAGCCTGCAACTGTTGGCCGACCTCGAGCCCGATCTGATCGTCCCTAAGGCGCTTAAAAGTTTCTATGTCAGCCAGAACAGCAAAGTCGACGGAGACGCCGCCTATATGAGCCTATACTTGTTGCAACAGCTTAGTAACATTATGGTCCGAGAAAAGGGGCTCCGGTGTCACGCACCGTCCTTGATGGAGCTCACCTGCGCCGGCATCCATCCAAACAACACCAAGTTCACAGCAGTTGTCGCCAGGCTCGTTAAGACTACCATATGCAGCTTTCCGTGGTTGCCCCTAGCCGAGAAGGGCAATTCGGACATTACGGTCGACGCCGAGCACTCGATGCAATGGGGGAATGGCGAGATGGAACGTCTATACAAGGCGGGCTCCGAGGTGAAGGTGCCGTACAGTGAAGAACTTTCCGACCACGACGAGTCTACCTTGCTCCGGTCCGCTACAACTCGCGTTCCAGGCTTTGCCAGACAGTTCCTACAGAAGGCACTGGGCTTCCTGGTGCAGGCTTACAGAAGCGTAGACACTAGACAGAACGCTAACTTCGGCCTCGCAAGACGACTCGGAACTCGATGCTGGCACGTCCGACTTGACGAACGCAGCCTGCGAATGCCTTCGCCTGCTGAGCCGCGATCAGCTCAAACAAGCCATGCTAGAAATTGCCAAAAAGTTCTTGTCGACGCCTTTGCCCTAAGCGTCGAGCTATGCGGCGAGAATTCTTGAGGCTGCGGTGCTGCAACATCCAGATGGGTGCCTGGCCATCTTCGTACCAGAACTCATTGCCAAAATCAAAGATGAGCTTGGCGACGAGTGGAACGACGCCAGCCGGCGCCACACATCCCTGTCGTCTTTAGAGTACAATCTTCATTGATATGTCAAGCTCTTCAGCCGCTGCCTCCGGCTGGGCGGCGAGTCGACTCTCCAGTACACAGAGCTGGTCCTAGACCTAGTCCAACATGTCGAAAAGTCTTCGATTCTCCGCGCCTCGACTCTCTCGGACCGCCTGATCGCGCAGTTGCTAGCTGGCTTGACCAGGACGTATGCGGTCAGGTAGGATGAGGTGGTCTCGGGAGGCTTTGCCGGCTGCTGTGCGAGCGATGGCTGATATCAGGTGAAAACAGAGATCATCTGGCAATTGCCCTCGCGCGACAGCCTCTCGAAAGCCTACGAGATTTTCGATGTTCGGCTGTCCTATCACGAGGAAGAATTGGCTGGCTGGTGCGTGAATATCCGTGGAGCAACGTATCAGAACACAGAGATGGCCTGCGACACCTCGCGGATGCTCTGAGCGGCGCATCCGAACTCTTCTGCGGTGCAGCAACTACGTGGACCCCAGCTTGCCTCCAACAACATGGAGAGCAGCCACGGTGATGCCCCGGACGTGGCCGGCGACAAGGCCGCAGGCGTGGCGTGGCATGCAAGGGACAAGATACACGAACGACGGAGCAGCATCCTGGTGGCGAGCAACAAGGCGGCGTCGCCCCTGGGCCTGCCCCCGTACCCGCCCAACGCGGACCTGGAGGGCAAGGCGACCCAGATTTGTGTGACGGTGGCGTGGCTGCGAAAGGAGACGCCCCCCGACGCGACGGTCCGCTCGGACAGCTACCTGCACGCATGCCTCATGGCGACTGCATGGCTGCACGGGACTATTTTCTCATCCGTCTCGACTGTGCTCGTACCGCTGCTGGGCTGCTTCTTCGACGAGCTCTTCCACATGCTCAACATACGCCACGCCGACGAAGAGGCCGTCCGACTCAATGCGAGCAACAGGCTGATCGAGCTCTCCAGCCTGCAGTTCGGCAGGGACGGGGCCCGGACATATCTGCAAGCGGTACTCGAAAAGGTGTGGACGGATCCCGACGGCTTCATGATTCGTGCTGTAAGGCTAAAAACAAAACCTCGCTCGCTCTCGAAGCGCAACGACCAACCCTAAGTCTATAGGTTTACGGTGAGCCCACACCAAAACTACAGAGTAACTTCCCATAGCCTTACTCCGTACTTTACAAAATACCGTTATACTCGCCGCCCCACCCTCGGTCTCGCATCGTCACCCAAACATTGCCGTGTCAAACACCCCAGACCAACAACGACTTCAATCGGCTTGCGCGATGGGCAACCATAAGACGGAAGAGCCGGCACCGTGCACCATACCTGCGCCCGGCATCTGTGCTCGTTCGGTGAGTTGAAAGGATGAACGTCTGGGTTTCGTGTTCCGTGTACGTGCATCCGAATGAACGACCCAACTAGGCAGGTAGTAGATCGATCCCGCTGCACATCCCCAGAGAGTGGGCCGCAACCTGGTGTTCGCGTCTGCGTCCACCTCTCCGATTTGCTGTGTGGGAGTTGCCATGCATAGGCGGTTCGGGAGGCGCCTTGCAAGGGCGCGTCGGCGTCCAATCGACCGTGGGCGACCGGCAAGGCAAAAGGAACCGAAGGTACCATCCTTGGATTAGTTCAGCGCCTGTGGCCATCGTCTTCCTACCTGGCAGGCAGGGCTACTTCACCTTCCCATTCCACCTTGTGTCGCTGTTTTTGTGTCTTTCTTTCCATTCTTCTCTCGTGCAGTGGTTTTTGTTTCTTTTGTTTCTGCTTCCTTTCCTACCTTTATTTTTTTTCCCCTTCTCTTCTGCTTCAATGGCCGACCCAAATGAGATTCTTCTCCAGCAAGCTATGACTACGCCAAATACCGCAACGACGCACATAAGGAAGAGAAGAACGAGGGTAACAAAGACGAGTACGACAGTCTTGAACAAGAGTTCAAAAAAACACCCAACACAGGTAACGGCGGAGCTGGGGAGATAGCCACTAGACTGAACTTGGAAGAGAAATTTGTCCGAGTTTGGTTTCAGAACAGGTAATCATCTGCCCATATCCCCATTCCCGGTCTAACTCGTCTCCAGACGTGCGAAAAAAAAGAGGCTCCCGCCCTGAAGCGGGTAGAAGGGCAGGGAGAGACAGATCAGGACCCCGGCGTAGAAGGGCACGGAAAGATATATCGGTACCCCGGTGCCGATTCGACATCAAAAGGACCTGTCAAGCCGTTGCAGCCGCAACCAGACCCCAGACCCAGCTTGTTCAAGTTTCACGTAAGCATAGCTTCACTCAGCTTCTGGATATCTCTTCAAGTGCGGGATGCTATGCAAGCGGAGCTGTACGACGGACTATACCTCTTCGGCGTTCGAATGGGAGTCGCAGCTTCCGGCATCATCAGCTGCACACTGATCGCATATACGCTGGTTTACATCTTCGGGTTGTTGTTTGACTTCTGGAAGTTCCTGGGATATTACAAAGTCCACGACAAAAACTGCTGTGGCTCAAAAGATGGAAATAGTGGGAGTCCTCTTGGAACTGTACTATTCTGCGGAGCTCAAATTGAACCTGAAGTTCGAGATCGAGGTGCTTTACAAAGACATTAAGCTCGACTTCAAGAAGCTCGAACCTGCTACGGTCATTCGAGACCAGCCGCAGACAGAAGACGATGTGGCAAACATACCTGCACTCCCGGACGACCTGGAAACCCTTGACGGCATGTCTTTGAATGGCGCCATAAACCGGGCTGTCCGCGAACGTCTTTCCGGCCCCGAGACCATGGCCACTCTTCCAAATTTAGAGGACGTGCTCAAGTATCCTCCCACATCTGGCTCCCCCGCAGATCAAGCAATGGTGAAGAGCATCATCTACCGCGCTTTCGACCTTTACCCATAGAGCGCAAAAACAGCTCTCGATCAGTGACAGCACCGACTCCATGGAGGACCCAGCACAGCTCGACAAGCCGGGTGACCAGGTTCGGATGAGCCTTGATCTTGAACGGGAGAAGGCTGGAGGTGGATTCAAAGGCCACAGTGCCAAGCTAGGCAAGCTCATTATCAATGGCGAGGGTTTGAAGATGTATGACCTCGTAGTGGCAGCTTGTATGGGTGTCTGGTGGCAGCAATATGCGGGAAACATATCGTCTTATTGGGTCTGGGACTGTCGCTTCGCAAAGGAGGGGAGTAGATGGCAGGGGGAGGAGTCGGAGGAGAGGATGATTTGCGACTTCGGCCATCTTAGCACAGAGAAAAAGTACACTAGAATGCCGACATCTGGGGGGAAACTCGTGGAATGGTAAACGAAGGGTGGGCGAAGTCGGCCGTTTGTTCGTTCGCTGGACAACTGAACAGATAGTTGCAGAGTGAATACGGGCTCGCTGCGAAATAGATTGAGAATTCATTTCCAGACGGACCCGCACTTTATATTCAATCTCATCTAGACCCCGTTCGATTGAGGGCCAACGTCGACTGGAGACAAGCCAATTTGACATGAGGCGATATAGATGACATCTTGACGATGGAATCCTGATAGTTTTGGTAAGTCCGCGGAACGGGGGGAAGAGGCCAAGGGCAGCCTCCAACCACAGGCGGCCAGAGTCACTGCAGCCTCCCCACAGGCCCCCCCTAGGCGTTTCAGATGCCGCCCAGGTTCCGTCAGGCTTCGTTCCTTCAGTTCCTCGCTTCCATGGAGAACTTTAGCCGCATCTTGATCCAGCGCCGGGAATTCTCTGCCTTGCACACTCTCCGATCTGGATGGCCTGGGCGGTCACTTCGACCTACGACGAACTTGGTCCACGTCTTGATGTTCTCCTGAAGATTACTCGTCCATCCTGTAGCGGCATAGTCAGGCACTCTGTAAGACACCTGGGCAATCTGCTGACGGAGGGCGACGTGTGCTTCCGGGTTGAGGCGCTCTGGTCCCGCCTCGGCCGCGGCCTTCTTTTATGCCACTCGCTGTGTGAAACTCTTGATGAAGTCGAGATGATGAGCGGTGCCAAACTCGGCGGCGACGCGGCTTGCACTGTTAGGCTTGACTCGCCACATGGAGATGGGTGGAGAGTGAAGGGTGATGACGGAGGGTATGGTATATCGCCCCTTCCGCTTGCTTGTAGGACGCGGCCCACCGACTCTTATGTATTGCACTCACGCCAGCCATCTCCGAGGTACTAGCTGCGCATGATGGTGAGACAGCAAGCAGGTGGCCCTGATGGAGGCTTTGGAGATTGAATTCGAGATGCGCCTTGCGGATGCACCGCCCAAGCGCTGCCCAAGTGCTGCCCAAAGGTGACCTAGCCAGCGAGGCGGCCGTCCACAAGTCTACGTAGAACATTTACATCCAGGCGATATCGAATCCAGGCGGTACGCATGCAGGGCCACCAACTGATCAGTTGATGGTGGGCTCCGCGCGTCGGCCACTCCCACGCCCACCGCAACGCAGCCACAATCGAAGAGCAGTCCACCACCTCTGCTATGTCGAAGGGGCCGGTAACGTCATGGTTGGCGTGGCGCACCCGTCGGTTGCGGACTATGGCGTCGATCTCGGCGAACCGCAGTTGCGTGGGACACGATCGGGCTCTCCGGCGAAATCCGCAGGGTCCTGAGCAGGTCCTACTTGACCCCCTTATGTTTGAACTCCTCTGTCCAGTCTGGATCATGAACCCCCTTGTCCGGTAGGCATATGCGTTTGAATTGCTTTGGGGAGATAGAAGTTGCCAGGCATGCATGGTCTTTGTTCCTGACGAACACCGGAGGCCGGCAATGTCGCCATGACTCCTACGGCAACGGCGCGAAATCAGACTCGACGTCGAGGAGAGGCTGCTTGCCCGGACCAGCAGCAAACACGCATCGGACGTGACAGCCACTTGTTCGGATCTTGGTACACCGCGGGATCGTCCATGTGCTTCTCGACCATCATCATCATCCTGTCCACGACTAGACTCGCATGTGCTGGGGCCTGTAGACCGATGGCTATGAAGTGTTCTTCTTCGTGGAGGCTGTTTCTGTCTAGAAAAAGGCCTGCCAGGGTTTTGAAGCTGTGCCCGGAACTTGTGGCCACCAATGGTCTGCGTCACCGGGACCACCATACCTGATGGCTTCTTCGGCAGCCCGTTTATGGCGGTGCGTGTGGAAATAGCAAACAACAGCATGTGTGGACCTTGTCCAGAGACTGTGGCGCTTGGAGTGACTGACGGACATCAGCTCCACATTGACAAGTATGAAATGTCCGATGGAGAAGACAACCGCCCTGAAACGCGATCGACTCTCTCTACCATTCGAGACGGCGGTGCAAATGGCGGCTTGGAAGTCGTGCTTGGAGAATATGTCGCGGACTAAGAGCACGAGCATATCCTCCATCTAGTAGCACCGCTCGGGCGGCGCGCTCCCGAGCAACTTTCCGGGCTCCCGGAAGCTGCTGAGGAAGGGTGCGCCATTTTCTGGCCCGTGGTCGCTTCTAGGACTGAGAATACCGTATTTGTAGTATGCCATGTTCCGGCTGTCTTGAAATGGTCTACCAGCCTCAAAATCTGCAGCCGGTCCGGGGAGCATGATGACATGCTCGGCAGCGCATAGCAGATCTCGCGGAACTCGACGTCCGATGGGGATGAGGCATCTCGCGCACTCTTGTACGCTGCGCAGAAGCGTACATGGGCCCCGTGCATGGTGGCGACGAGGTTTTGGCCTGCGCAATCGAGGGCAGCAGATGCTTGTATCGGCCTGGGAGCTAGTAATTTGTAGGCGGCGACCGTTTGCTGGCTATTGGGCTTCGGTATCGGCGCGGGAGTAGTGGCGATGCAGGCGTGCACGGCGTCCGAGGGAGGCCCCCACCAGTGCCGATTGGCGGGTTCGAGAAACAGGGGTATGTCCGCCGGCACCTCGTCCATCCAAAAGTGGCACATGCCATCGATGCTGAGCATCTGGTCCAGCAAGACAATGTGCCACCACATGACTACCTGCCTGCGCCACCACCTGCTGTAATCGTGACAGGAGTAGAGATCGTCCGCCCCGGAGATTTGATGCAGCAGCCTGGGGTGTTTTCCGGCTTCGGCCGCCGAGATGGTGAAAATGGCCTCCAATCGCTCATCCAACTCCGCATAATCCTGCCGCATGGTGGCCAGCCATATTTCGTACTGTTCGCGGTCGAGGATCCTGAGCGCGACCGTTTCCCCCAACCTGTCTGAGTCGCTGTGCGCGGTTCAGATTGCAAACGGGACGTACTAGAAGGGACGCCTTACCAATCATTATAATAGGCATAGAACTTCTCACGAAATCGAACGGCATATAAACCTGGAGTCGCCATCCCGACAAAGAAGTAAATCAGGCGCGGTCTCTTTGCCCGGCGCCTCTGCAAGAATATCCCTGAATGTGTAGTTGTTGCGGTTCCTGAGCACGCATTTCCATGTCTTGTGTGTCATATTTTATTATTTCATGTTTGTGGTCGGGTATGGAGAGAATGCGGGTCGGCGAGGGCCTGCGTCGTCAGCTAGGTAGGGTGGGCGGTCGAGCTGCTCAGCCAGGGCACGGCGGCGCACGGCGACGCAGCGCCGCAGAGGATGGATGTGGATAGAGAAGAAGAGAATATGAGGGACGAGGCAAGCTGCTGCGACGAGGATGACAAGGATGACCACTCCTCGAACGGGGAGGAGAGCGAGGCCGGCGAGGGCATGGGCGACGCAGACTCGGTGCTGGTAAATGTGGCGCCGCGCTGGAAGTGGGCACTCCTACCCCACGGCACCTTGTGGTACTGGGGGATGACGGCCGCGGCAGCAATTGGATGGCTCGCGTACTCGGCGCGGGCCGAAGGACATCCAAGGGAGCGCGTATAAGAAGATCCCAGAACCCTCGAATACGAAATGTTAAATCATTCTGGCTCTGAGTACATTGATATTGTTCGCTGCACGAACCGTTTCCCGTGGATTCCCAGGTTTCTCTCTGGTACTGCCGCACCATCACTACATCTTGCTTATCACAGAGTGGGGCTCATTTTGTTTTCACTATCATATTAATTATTGTGACGAATTCCATTTCAACAATCGTCGGATCAGGACTGCATCACAACAGCTTTTCCACCACTTCGAATTTGATGACTGCAATCTGCGTTGTTAACACCAACCAACTCAGCAAAACAGGCCTCATAGTGAGAGAAGTGCAAGGGAGAAATTGGGGTTGAGCGCTCAAGGAGGAAGAAAGAGAAGGAGGTTGAGCAGGAGGGGTCCGCGTCGAGAGGGGAGAAGGTACGCAAGGTCCGGGATTCAATAAAAACCCCGGGGGGGTTTTTCCCTGAGCAATCAGGTTTTTTTGTCGTTTTTTTCTTTCTTAAATTTTTGTTTTTGTTTTGCTTAATTGTTGATGTGTGTGTGTGTGTGTGTGTGTGTGTGTGTGTGTGTGTGTATGTATGTGTGTGTTTGGAACGGGGGGGTGCTGTTTGTTGCGCTAACCCTATTAGGCAGGTTAGCTGGCCGGGTGACACTGAGTCACTAACTGTTTGAACTCACGAACATTCAACTTTTTTGGATGCAGACCCACTCTGGCACCCAGCACTCGCAGGCAAGAAGGGCACTCCCAGAATACTTCCAGAATCTCAACTTTTTTTTTCACTCAGCACTTGGCGACTCGACAAGCGCGGGCGTCACAGATACAGAGAGAGCCTAAGGCCAGCACCGCGCGGAACGCACAGCCAGCGGCGACCAGGAAGCGTTGAGAGGAACACGATGGATGCCACGACGGTACAGTCCACGGTCAAGGTCCGCATCGATGCGACCATCCACTTAAAAGTGGCAAAAGTCAAAAAGTTGTCCAAGGCCAAAAGTTTGGCGATCAAACACACTCGAAGGCAGTCCAGCGCAGGCCAGAGCGCACAAATCTCACGGTCGCCATCTTGCTTTCGACCAACCATCCGCAGCCATGGATGTTGACAATAGACCTTGGTTTCTTCGGTCACCGACTTGTTATACGAGCCGCCGACTTTCAAGCTGCGCACAGTCATCGTTGTGAGGCAGAGCGTCTTAAAGCTGTACTATTGTGGTCTTCGCACCTCTTACTCTCCGCCCCTCCCAGTCTCTGTCCCTCTCAAAATCCCCTCCGTCTGCCCTGTACGAACGATGAGTAAGTTGAGGATGATGGCTGGGCGACCCCTCCGGGCTGGATTCCTGGCAGTAGCGACAGCAACGTAGCGGCATATGGGAAACGATTGCGGGCTCACAGGACTGATGATACCTACCAAATGACGAATATGTCTGCCACAACAAAATTTGGCTGATGGAAACACACCTGTACTGGTCGAAGCATCTGCTTTGAGGGGGCTACCTCGCTGGCTTCCGCGGAAGCAGTGATCAATCCGAAGAGATCTGACCCGTACCAAATATCAGACCCGGACGCAGTCTACGCGCTCTTCCTTACTTTAGTCTGGATTATCCTCTTGCTACGTCTTATTGGGAACTCTACCATCACATCATATCCTGGATCTGATGGTGCCCGCCACATTATCCGCAAGAGGCACGTCGAAGGCATCGTCGCCACCGTTGTTCAGACGGCAACTCCACACAATCTTCCAGATTTGGATGTCATTCCGAATGGGATGCATATGGGCTTCTGGGCCAATGGTAGTGTCCAAGGTAAATACCATTGCTCTTCAACGAGGAATGCCTAGTAAGCGCAAGTCATCAGCTTGCGTTGATTACGTCCCTGCCCTTTGTACACACCGCCCGTCGCTACTACCGATTGAATGGCTCAGTGAGGCCTTGGGACTGGCTCAGAGAGGTCGGCAACGACCACTCAGAGCCGTCACGTAGATCACGTCGTCGACGGAGAGATCCTCGCATGGCTCCAAGGCGCTGCGGGAATCCCGTCCCAGGGAACAATCGACGTCTCTTCTAGGAAGCTGTTGGGCTCTAGGCGCAAGGCCAGCTGGATTCCTCCGGTTGGCTGCGGATATCCAAGATGCTGCTTGGGCAACACGCCTGGTGAGCATGTTTGTTACGGCAGCAGGGGTAGTGAGAAGTCCAATGGCGGGCAGCACAAATCATCGTATCCTGGCCCGCTGTGGGCAAGGCATTGTCTCAGCATCCGGATTCCCTACGTGCACGACACTACTGTACACCAGTTGGGGGTTGCCGCGGTGTTGAGTTGCATTAAACATGAGGGATGCACAATAGGATATTGACGGGTAGAAAAGTTTGTGCAGGATTTGGATCATTGTTGACTACAGCGGAGGTCAGTAAAGAGGAGTGAGGAAGAGAAGTCGGGGAGAGCGAAAAAGGGCATTGGCGAGGTTGGCTTCGTTTACCAAGGAATATCCTTTGTCCACCTCCCGCAACAGCCACCGTCCCTGGTCAGAGAAGATACTGTGCACAGCATGTCGTGATCATGGGCGCTTGTGGAGGAATATTGAACGGTCGGCCCAGAAGTCTATGGTCATGGTTGTAGTACGTGATGGGACGCGGGTGAGACAAAGACGGAGGGCACAGGCGGTGGGATGCAGGGCACAACGCATCGAAGGGTTGGAGCTGGAGTTATTCCATATCTTGAGGGCGAGTGAGAATCCAAGTTGGAGATGGTCAGAAACCTTCAGCTTTGGGGTCGTTGGCGCATGCGCGAGGAGGAAGCCCTGAACGTGCTGAAGCACGGCACCACGACACCCCCAAACAGCTCGGAGTCACTCGTGCACGACGGCATCACCCGGGTCGGCGATGGTGAGGACGAGGCCGTCATCAGCGGCAGAGAGACCGTGCTAGGCAATGAGTGGGAGAGGGGGGGAAGAAAAGGAGGTCTATTTCGTGCTGGACGACGAGATCGGACTGACGCGCGTGAGCAAGGCCATATAAGAGTACAAGGACCGGGTACTTGAACGGGTGTTGACAGAGACCGGGACCACCATCGAGCAGTTCACCGTCTGGACCTGGAATCCAGCTAATCCTAGCGCTTCGCAGCGCATTGTTGATTGCATTGATCCAATTATTCATCTCGTCTTCAGTTGTAGCTTGGTAAACTCGCTTATACTGAGGTGTGATTACCTCAAAGCAAAACCGCCGCTCGGCATCCCGAGCAATACGGACGGATACCATCCGAAGGTCAATTGGCTCACTGCTTTTCGCGGCCCCTCGAGCAATGTGTGCTCCTGAGGGGAGCGCCACCAAAGTGACTTGACTTATGACCTCCTTCTAATTACTTGGTGGCTTCTCCGGCACCGGTCAGACATGAGCTGGGACATTGTCAGGCCAGCATAAACTCGCACCAAGGCAAGAGTCGGGTTGGGTATGAACCAAGAGTGCAGCGAAGACTTTACAAATTCTAAGGGTCCCCTACCAACCCCCTCGCAAGAAGCAAAAAATGACCCTGTCCTTCGACCTTTGCCATAGCCTCGTCCAATTCCAACTCGGATGAAAAATCTTTCAAAGTTCACGCCTCTTCTTGGAACCAGAAGGGGGTCTAATCTTGCTTCTGCCAGTGGTGAGATATCTGGGTCACCGCGACACAACAGAATCCTACCTATCTTGTGGTCTTCTCCCAAGCCGACGAGACGGAAGCCAACTGCAAGCATGCAGGCATGTGAGAAGAGGGCAATGGCGGTGAATGGATCTTTGATGAGGAGCCGTCGTCAAGCTGCGTGTACCGCCGGCGGAGGGCCATATTGTACTCCACCATTCATCCGCGTCCACACAGTCTCCGAATTGCATCTGTAACTCCCGCCTCCAGGCGGTGTCCATTCCGCTTTCAGTTCGAGAACACGACACCTGAGCGGCCTTGAGGTGCTGGGTGTTTCGAAGATATGTCCGACAGTGAGCTCCAGTAGCTCCCAGTTTATTTTGTCGACCGGCATATGCCAAGTCGCTGCCCACAGAAATCGGTCCGCCACTGCAGTCTTCTATACGGTGTATGATTAAGTCGTTCATAAAGTCGCTATTTCTGAGTTAGTTAGAACCCGAAAGGTGGCTATAGGACCGGATATCCTCCGCCACTGCCGCCATGGTATCTGCGAGGTTGGCAGCGACGCTGGCTCCAGTGAATGCTGACAAGGATTGTGGACCGTTAAGCACCGTGTGAAAGCCGTAAGGACCTGGAAGCTGTTCGCTGATTGAAAATTCAGAGGGATGCCATTGATTGGACACGAAATAAGTGCGGCGGGGAGAGATGATGTCCCTGAAGAGAAAGAAACGGCCGCTGTACGCGGATTCCTCTGTGTAACTCTGAATGATGAAGGGTGCGGGATGGAGCATGGCGAGCTCACGCACCCAGGTTGCCAGGCGGGCGATTCGCCACTTTCGCGTCATGCGTGCGGGGTGCAAAACCGCATCGCCGCCGGCACGTCAGGCCTGCGCCCTCACCGGCCGCCGAGCCGGGCCAGCAGCCTGAAAACACGGGATTGTCGATTCTCAACCTGGCCAAGCACGCCGTCCTGGCCATCGTCAGCACTCTTGGTCAGACTCTCGGTCGTCACCTTCTCGACTGAATGTAAGTCTCGTCCCCGACCCCACTATGCTCGGCACCGTATTGAACCACGCGGTGGTTAATCTGTAATCGACCTTGCCCGGGACGCCGCGCTGACGCTCACCTACCCGGCCGACCTGGCGCTGGAAGAGCCCGGCTTGCATCTCCCGAGGGACACGGCCCGGCCGACAGACACCTGGCTATGATTGGCGGATATTACGTCCCTCCACCTCCTTATGTAAGTCGACATTTGGAGAATCTTTTTTGAAACTTGAAGACCATGCCGCAGTCAACCATTCCAAGTCTTCATGGCTCCGATACAACCCTCACAAGATAGCCTTGATCGGCGGAAGCTAGGTTGCGGCTGTTGGTAAAGGCATCATAAATACTGACTTCTTCCCCTTGCAGACCGACTCTTTCTGTCACTCCATCCACCACCGCAGTCACAGTCACCTCGTTGACCACTTCTTGGATCACCACCATTACTACCCCCGCGCCATCCACTCCTACCTCTGAGGCCAGCAGTGAGACTCCAGCCGAGACGCCAGGTGTTCCAACAATCTCCACTACTCCAACTGTTGAGACAACTCCGATTCCTCCTTTTACACCAGTTGAGAGCAGTGTTCCACTTACACCTGTGCCCAACGTCTCGACTCCGTCGTCTGAGAGCAGCAGTGTTGTTGAGACCACACCATCCAACACCGCAGCCACTGTCACCTCGTTGACCACTTCTTGGATCACCACCAGTACTACCCTCCAACGGTCCCCCGGGGGGGGGGGGGGGGTGGGTGGTTTGAGTATTTACAGAAATACTCCCTGTGCAGAGTCCTAACACCACTGGAATATCTTTCTGGGGACTTGGAGCAAAATAGACAAAGACAGAATCCACAGTCGGTGGTGGTAGCACTACACGAAGGCCCCTGAACATATAACCATGAACATTGGTCTTGAAATTGGACACGTGCAGGCGGTGCAAGAGGCATTTCTTTCACATTGGGGAAGGGAGGGGCCAGGAGGAGGAGGCTTTCGGGCTTGCGCCGACGACCATGACGTTCCGGGTCCATCTCAACAGCCTTCAATACGGACATCCGCGCCACATTTTCCTGCGCGGCCGCAAAAAGGTGCTGGATGCCGCCATGGACGGCTGGCTTGCGCCGTTTCGGGTCAAGGCCGAGCTGGAGTACGTCCAACGAAACCGCGGCCTTCTGAGCCTCGGCCGAGGCCCAGATTGGCTCGGGCATCCAGACCCTTCCCCTTCTCGGGGCCGCCTACCACCTCTTGCAGACGAGGACGGTGTCTCTTCTGTCCGAGCTTTTCCCGCTCGACATGCACGGAGAGCACAAGCCAATTAGAGGGGCCCTGGTCGGAGGGAAAGGCATAAACTAGTTTTTGAGCTGGCTCCGCTCCAACGCGGCACTCTACTCAACGGATCCGCGTTGCCAGGGTCTGTCTGGTACAGGGCCTGATTGGCAACGAGCTGGACGAGGGCCACACGCGCTGCCCAACTACGGGCATGACGCCCTTCGCCAGCAGATCGGAAAGGTGAACTTCATCACGCCAAATTACGCCGACAACACCAAGGTCAACATCTCAGGCATCCTGGGAAAGTGGCAGCTGTGCTGCTTCAACGAGAAGATGCACGATGGACGCAAGCCCACTGTTTGGAGGGCCTCCTTCACAAACGCCAGCTGGAAGGCCCTCATGCAGAAGTTTGACTGGAAAACCCCCTTGATGGCCGTCGACCGCGCTATCTCCATGAACTTCCTCTACTGGATATGCGACAACTACCAGATCAATTCTTGGGGGACGTCATGGGAGTATTTTCGTCAGTTCAAGCAACTTTACGCCAACGTTGCCGGCCAGTACAAGGACAGAAATGGCAGCAAGGAGGTGCACAAGGTACCCTTTTCTTTCCACCTTCCCCCCTTTTCCCCTTTGCTATGTGTTTGGCTGACGTCTTACCAAGTATCACCACTCGTACCTAGTCCCCAAATTCAAGCTTCAGCCCCCCGACATGGCAGGCAAGCAAACGGGTGATTCTAGGGGTTTACCCGCCTTGCAAACCCTCAATATCGTCTACGATACAGACATTCTTCCCCACGAGGATCTGCGTGCGTGATTGAGCGCCATGTACGACATTCTCGCCTTCACAAGCTGCTGGCCGGCCGAGATCGTGGACAGCGAGAGGAAGCGACCAGACGATGGCACCTGGGACGAGCTATTTGCTGACGACCGTTTTGGCGTATCTCTGGAAGACTTCCCCGAGACTCCTGCTGACCCTGAAAAGCAGTTGGAGAACCTGTTGATCCGGGAGCAACTTGATCGTGGTCGTCCGAATGCCTCTTGCTATGAAGACGTCAAGTTGATGATTATCCGCCACCCTGAGACGAGCTGCGATACTCCAGCCATGGCCGCCAAGTTCATTCATCACAAGGGAGCTGACAACAAGCGGAAACCGTAAGTGGTCGTGGCCCCAATTGACATCTGAATTTCTCCCTAATAGGCTATCTAGAACTATCTTCTTCTTCACTCCTGCAAGGAAGTTCATTTTTTGCACCGTCACCAAAATCATCAGCTGTGCCGTCAGAGACGGCGCTTTCGCGGCCAAGAATCTCCACACAGTCGACGATGTTTTCAGGATACGCAACAAGAAAGGGACCACCAAGTGTACGCCAGTAAGATGGCACTCGGACTGGCTCAAACGCCCCACTTTCCGCAAGTAGGACGCATCTGGTATTTCCCTGACGGAGCCGCTTCCGTACCACCAGCTTAGGGATATCATGGCGAGACAGTCGCTCGACTATGGATGCGAAACTGCCATCGAACCCAAGGCATGGCGTTGGGATGCTGCCAATGCGGCTAATGGCAAGGCATCTGACGTGGTGCGCGACCAAATGATGCGGCATGATCCCAAGTGGGAAACGTTCAACAGTGTCTACATCAACGAACACGTCGAGTTTGACTTGCAGAATGTTTATTGCAAGGAGCCCACGTAGGGCGCCCTCATTGCCATGCTGTCGCATATCGATCTCATGCGCGACCCCCGTGCCACCAGTAACATGGTACCACAGGAGATCTGGGACCAGCTAAGACCCCACCCGAACGTTCTTGAACTGGAGAAGAAGCGCGTAAGGCTTAAGGTAGGTAAATACTACTACCACGGTAACCTGAATAAGGAGGATTCCAAAGAGATTGGCAAGACAATCCGGGCGCTTAAGGCTCAACGGGTCAAGGACGTCATCAAGCAATACCGAAAGTTCTACTTTGAAAGCCGGCCCACATGGGACATAGAGCAACAGGACGGAGGCAGCAGTGACGACGTGGACATGGATGACCCCGACGAGGATTTGGATGACGGCTTTCACCGGCCTGACATCGACCTCGACATCCCAGAGCGTGCTCAGCTTGCACGACTGGTGTACAAGCAAGCAGCCAGAGGACTTGAGTGAGGACGAGCTCACAAGATGCCGCATTCAGTTCGGGGAGTGCTTGGTGGCTCTCATGTCGAAGCAAGAGACAGTCAGACGCGACATCATCGCACAGAGAGCCGCAGAAGAGGTGGAGGTAAAGGCTTCTCCGAGATCGAGCAGAATCGACATGGATGCCATCCCCAAACACGACAGCAGCGACACGACCACCACGGCCGCCACGGACACCAGAATCACCAAGCCTGTAGGCGATGATGTAGCCGCACTCGGCGACCCATTCCCCTGCCGCATGCACAAGTTCCAGTGCACAGAGTGCATCGGCGACGAGGAACTATTATACAAAGACCGCACCTTCTGCTACACTCGCGCCTCAAGCAGGAACGACCACTTCGACAGCTGCCATCTCCCAACCTTGACCCAACATCTGGCCCAGGGCCTCCTCAAGTGAGCCCACCCCAAGTGCAGCAAGATGGTCGGCAGCTTCAGCAGCATGGAACAGTACATCAACCACCAGCTGGCGGTGCACCACGTCAGAATCCGACGCGTCGCAGGGAGCGCGGCTCACTCACGAAAGTCTTCCCCCGGCGCTGGCAGGAGGAGGAAGAGCAAAGAGCCCGACTTGATTATGTGGAGTGTCGAGCCGCCTGCGACTCCTGCCGGGAGCATTGGCCGAGGGGGTGTCTGCCAGGCGCAGGACGGCGCGACGGAGACGGTGCAGGCTGCGCAGGTGCTGGATGTCGCGCCTCCCGCGTGAAAAGCGATGGTCACGGTGACCACCTGAGCGGCCCAGGCCCAAGGAAGCTTCTTCAGCAGGAACATGATGGCTCAGGACCAAGGAACTTCGTCTGGCGGGGAACCGATGGCTTGGGAGGGGCAAGATCCCTCGATGGTGCCTGAACCGCCTCTCCCATACACTAATGTCTTACCCGTCGTCGCCGCCTGCTGATGATACCCCAGCCGTCATCACCGTGTGCCTTTTGACGTCGCAAAGGGGAATTGGTAAGCCCACAATGGCTCGGCCGGCATGTATATAGTTGGATGGAACATACTTAATGCTAATTGACAGCTTTAATACCCCCCTCAATCCTCTCGCCGACACGATTTTCACGTCAGCACTTAAGTCGGTGTCGACTGTCCGAAGATAAAATCAGTGCACGGAACATCCCAGGTTCCGATCGATTCCAGATTGGACGTGATCAGGCGGGCGACTGCCGCCGCCGCCGGAACTCGGATGGATTCTCTGAGCCTCGACGGCGCCCCCGAATCCTCCTTCTTATACCAGGGGATTTGTTAGGCGTCCCGGTAGAACACCGAAGAGTCGTATGACGCAGTAGCGGCCACGGGTCGAGGCACACGAGCTCCTCGCACCAGACGCTGCCAGTCAACACAGGCTGCTGATAATCCCCAGGGGCAAAAAGGGTCCAACACGGGCCCGGCCAAGGAAAAGCAACGGCCGAGGTGGTGCAACGCAGAGGCTGGCGCTTAAGGTCAATGGAATGGGTCGTAAGTTGCCGTACCTAGACTGGGAATTTATCTTACTGCCTTTTGTAATCTTTTACCCCCCCCCCCCTTCTTTCACTTCCTTTAAGTACCCCCTACCCGCTATCATCCTCTTGGTCTCAAACTCCCTTTGACCTTATACCTACGTAGTGACCCACTGCGACATGTCCTGAGGATAAGAGTGGGCTGTAACAAGGCAGACCGCGCCCAACGCTCCACTCTCCCAGGGCGTGGGCTACTCGACGGCTTCTTACATAGTACATAATCTTTTTGGGCGGCACCTCGTTCTCGAGGGCGGCAAGCAAGCCCTCGCAGCCCGGGTTGGTGGGAGGAAAGCCGGAAGGCTTTGACCCATTCAATCCCCTGCAAGTTCTCAGACTCAAGAGAGTCTCCCGAACGCCCTCCATTAGTCATTGTGCTCTTAGAGCGTGTGTTTTGGTAACTCCTGCTAAAGCCCAGGCTCGTTGGTCTACAAGATATTGAAACTTCCGGTGGGAGTTCTGCCAAGGTTCAAGTTCCCGTCCACGAAACTCACCGTGTCTTGGGCATCTTCGATCTCTTCGATGGTGTTCCGAATAGTTTGTTTCCTTTCGGCGGTCAAACCTCCCGCGCCAGATTGAACCCCAGAGCTCAACAGATCCCAGCAGTGCTAGAATGGCATCGGTTAGCTATCTAACTTAGCAATCTCCAGCTGTCGTACTCCCGCATACTCCTGCGCCTGAGCATGCAGGCACAATGTGAGACCCTTCTTGATTATGAAGCCGACCTCAAGGGTCTTCACAAGCTTCATCTCCGGGCAGAGAGTCCCAGGGGATTGACAAAACTGGGGTCAACCGTTGGACCATGCATGGCTCACAGACCGGATCAAAAGTCTACATCTGGGAACTGTGGATAAGAAAGTGGCAGCGAAGTCGCTGGTTACCTGTGTGTTCGAACAAGGAACGTTATACAGGCTGAGGTTGTATAGCACGAGCTGAGGTTGTCCAGCGGCCTCGTGAAGTAGGTGTACCAGTTGCTCTCCCAGGTTGTATTCTGCGGGTTAGGTCCATGGCAAGTGGTTTGGAAGAAGCCGAACTTCCCTGTCAGTAGATGTACTGTTTTGATGAAGCTGCACCATGAAGCGGCAGAAATCCTCAGGTTCGACCATCGTAGCCACAGATAAAAGACGAGAATGTGGCTTCGAAATCAACATCGGGAGATGAAAGCTGAGCTCAGCTGTTGCTTCGTGACTGCAGTGAATACAGAAGATACCGTACTGCCGAGGATGAGTAGGAAAAGTTGTGAAGGCAGACAACTCGCGTCCAGCACGCGACAAGGGACGAAGCGGCTTGGAAGTCGTTGTTCGAGCAGGCCGATCCAAGATTGGAGCTGCGGAACAGTAACAAGATACCTGGCAACATCCACGCCGTGATGGACCTGGCATTGAGGGGATGAGATAGAAGAAGTGATTACATAGAGAAAATTATACGTGTAAATGAAGCCGTTAAGAGGTTGCTCTAGCTAACTAGGGCCACGAGCTTGGTGAGCTTAGCTTATGCCCTTATCCACCGGCCGAGCCCCCTTTCGTCTGGGGGTGACAACGTCTTTCTGGGGGCGGTGAAAAGCGGGCGAGGTCGTGCCTGGTTTGGCAATTGGGGAACGGAGAAGCCAGCTAGCTACTGGTCCTGGCGAGCTGGGAAGCCGGGAAGTTCGTCTCAGGCAAAGCCCTAGGGTTTAACAGACTACCAAATGTCTCCTGAAATCCTCGCTTGTAAGTACGAGACTGCTCAGCGTCAAGAGTGGAATGAGAGCAGGTATTGTGGTCGTTGTCACTTGTCTCTATCCAAGAAGACATGAGCATGAAAGGCGACAGCTCAATGATGCGCTGTAAGTATCCTCGAGTACCATGGTCATTGACTTGGATGCTGACAGGAGGTGCTTCGACAGATCAAGGTCAAGGGGGCGGTCAGGCCATTGAGGACGGGGCCTGTCTCGGCGTGCTCTTTTCGGAAGGTACCAAGCCGGAAAATATCCCTCAACTGAATAGGAATACTGTGGAACTAGCGCTTTCGCCGTCGAAGCCGGGCCCGCTGAAGGGATCCCCCGGGATATTGAAGTACTGCCTTAACCAAGGTTCTTGCGAGGATAACTCTGAGGGTTGCGCCGCCCAAGAATCGCGCTGGCTGCTCAATGTAAGGATACTGCGCTCTTCAAACGAAGTGGGCCGGGAACTGAGGACGATGAGCATACCCTCACCTCTCTGTGCAGCACCGTTAACCAGCACTTTCTCCATTGCCACGCACGCATCCGAGATCAAATAGCGCGTCGCGGGATTATCTGTGCAGTCGAGGACAAGATCATCTCGCTAGGCCGTGTTTAAATGCATTTCCGCAGCATCAATGGGTGCTGATATTCAGATTGGATCAAATGGGACAGTAAAGCTACTGTCGCATTTGATCCACGCCTGGGCGCAGTGCCGGGCCGTCGGTGCGTGAGATTCGTGCACGCTCAAACCGTGCGAGTGATGTCAACTGAACATCCCCAACCCTGCATTCACTCCGCCATCCTCCACCAAGTCCAGCGATTCATTGTCACCTCATAAGCCGCGTTGGCCGTCGTCGTCTCTCAGCGCGGAGCCCCAGTCATATCTGAGTGCTGCTCGCACCGACCGGACAAGTGGGCCACCGACGTCGTGCCGGTGGAGATCTGGAGGGGCACGGGCGCCTGGAGCACCTGGTTCTACAATTGCACGTTCTGGCCCGTCGGGTCGGTTCGTCGATCGGCATACTGGTGCTGGTCAGGTTGCTGTAAGGCAGCTCGAGCGCTTTCACGTGGACTGCGGGAATCACCTTGGCCGCCGAGAGTGTAAAAGAGGATGAAGTGGGGAAGACCATGGGGATCTGCAGTTTGGGGATGAATCTGGCGCTGCTGGCCGGCTATCACCTTTTCACCGAAATCTCCCAGGGAGGCACGTTTCCTTTGGAGCAAAGCCGTATCGATCAAAAACGACGCTTCCGCGCAGAGCTGGAAAGGCAGGCCTGAGCCCCTTCGTGCATTGGTCTTGTGGCCCTTCATCGAATGTGAGGTAGAGGGAGGCACTGTTCCTGCTCCTCCCAAGTGCGCATCTCAGGGCCGACCAGGCAGGCCACATTCCTTCGCCATTCAGACGACCACATCCCTGACAAGCCTGGCTATACACCAAACATATGGATAGTTCCTCTGGTACCAGTTTGACAAAGGTCTTCTTCAATGCAATTCTCGGCACCGTGGCCCAGCTGCCTCCGAGACCAACATGATGTTAGTCAGGCGTAGGATCGGACCCATATGCGTCCCCGGATCCACCCGAGAACCCGGGAAGATCGTGGGGCTTTGATCGGCGACTCCCTATTGCAAATGTCTTTCTACTTTCCGAGGAAATAGAAACTAGAGCTCGCTGGATGGGGTTGCTTCTTCTGTGAACGCCAGCTCCTCACCGTTGCTGGAAAAGTAGCAGATCCTGAGAGACCAACAGGTGATTCCAGGAGCTATACATCTAGACCGCAACCTTCGTCCCGAGCCTGGGTATCTGGGCTCCTAGCCAGTGTGAGATGGGATATTCCTAGTAGTTAGTTCCACGTGGCAAAAGAGGGGTTGGCAACGCCACCTACGTAGTATACAGCGGTCAAAATTGCTGTGAAGGAAAGCATTGTGCGAGCAGCATTGAAACCGCACCTTTTGCACAGTTCATCGCCCGCCGGTTTTCGTTCTGAACTCATTGACAGAAGCCGGGATTGTCGCAAGAAGGCCAACGGCTCGTAACATGGCATACGGCAGGACGGACAACACTTTGTGCCGTTAACCAAACAAGTCGGCGACATAGGTTGCGACCAGCACGGGATGTCGACTGGCACAATTGTGCTGTCGAACTTCTGCCACCGGCTGAGTTCGAGACGCGAATGGCACTGGACGCGACCACACATGTCGTGTCGAACTTTGGTTCGCTGCTGACGTGGGGCATGGCTGACATGGGCCCCAACACAGCCCGAGCAGCAGAACAACATAGCTGGAGCTATGGCAAATCCGCTGCGTTTACGGTGGGACTGAGAGCTCAAAGGCAGCAAAGTACGTGAGTATATGGCCTGTGCGCAACCTCGCTTGAGAAACAGGGTGGGCGAGCAGCAGAACAAAATAGCTGCAGCTCTGGCTCGGTTCAACCTTCTGACCGGAGCCATCGCTAAGCACGGCATGTGTGCGTGGAGTAACGCTATGGCATGGCCGTCAGAGAGCGAGACCAGATCTGCTGTATCGAGGCGCAACGATGTGCACGGTATCGCTTGGTCTGTCCAGCACTTGCAGGGCACAAAGCAGGGAGAGCAGGCAGAGCAGGCAGAGCAGGCAGAGCAGGCAGAGCAGGCAGAGCAGGCAGAGCAGGCAGAGCAGGCAGTGAGTGGCGTCGAGAACAAAGTCCAAGTCCAGGGTGCCCTGCGAGTGCTGAGTGCTGAGTGCCAGAGTGTCAGGAAAAAAGTTGAAGTTCTGGAGGTGCCTGGGAGTGCCCTGCGAGTGTCGACGAGTGCCAGGAAAAGTTTTTTGCCGGGCAGCCCAGGGACTACCCAACAATGTTGCTGCCCAACAGAATAGCTAGGAGGCAAGCTTGGGCGTAGAAGCCAAGAGCACAGGGCACAGACTTGGGCATGGGCAGCAGCCTAGAGCATGGGGATAGCATAGCGTATGGGCGCGGCATTAGGCATGGGTAGTAGTAGGCTTGGGCTCCGTTCCGCGGGGGATGGGAAGAGAAAAAAGGTAGAGAAACTGAACTCACGAGGGGGGAGATGCTCCTTGTCAATGATTCTGAGCATAGACCACCCCAACCCCCTATTTAATTACCCACCATGTGGAGTATGAGGCATTTTTGCTGCTACTCAGTGAAGGGAGTCGGTGAGTGAGGGGAAGTAGCGTGAGGGTGCAGCGCTTGGCCCATTCCGTCGATCAGGGTATTGGCCATGCTGTGTCTGGGTGTGGGTTTGGTGTTCCACACGACTTTCTGATATGTGTGTCCCCTGCGGCGTCAACCCTGCCACGCACTCGGACTGGCCAGTCTGCCCGCTTCGCCTCAGCCTCTCAGAGGCCGTCCCGACCCAGTCTGCATCGATCGCTGCACCGCCACATGTAGCACAGCCCACGACGGCAGCATGAATAGGTTTGTCATTGCACTCTAGGTTGGAAGGGGATCCGCGGAAGCATGAGATACGACCGGGTTTACTTGGAGACTCTGACGCGTGCTTTACACAACCTCTCTCCCCGTGCTGACTGCCATTTAGAAAATTTCCATCCTCACAACCTCTGCGTGCTTACGTGCCGAAGGCATCACTTCGTTGGTTCAATACTCTCACAGCTGGGAAGAGTCCGGGGAGCTCCGAGCCACCTCCGAGCAAAAACAGAGGCGGTAGGAGTTTAGCGGTGATTGGGGGATCTTGCGCCATCGCCAGGGCGGCCATGCCAAACATTTTGCTGGCCAGCAGCCGCTCCAAACGAAGTGCCAAATGATCCAGCTCCTTGGAGACAAACTTCCCTACGGCGCGGCCAAAAGTCCCACCCGGTCGAGCCGCCGGTGGTATTTCTGTGCGGCTGGGTCATTGCAAACGCTGCACTGTCGGGGTCACAGTTCAGCTCGAAAGCCCGGAGGGGCAGTTTCCCGCACCCTTAATTTCTCATAATTTGGTACCACGCGGCGTCGAGCCACCCGTTATACGTGCCCACGTCCGACGGCGTCGTCTTTATCACGCGCGGCAAAGACCGGAACCCGTCCCAATGGTCGGTGCCGGGCTCAAAGAACAAGACCGGCCAGGAATCGTCTGCGAAACCGGCCTCGCTACAGCTTAATCTTTGCAAAAGTATCATGATTTCCAGCCGCACGTTCAAACCGACATATAGTACCAAGCTTACGGCCTCAAAAGAGTAGGGGAAGCCCGTCCGGCCCGAGACCATGAGTCCCTCTTCATCTTTGTCGAAGACACCAAGCATGAGTAGGTCTGGCAACCTGGCAGACAACAGAATCGGGAGGCGTGAGCTTGACAATCCCCAAGAGTGCTCGGTGGGTTCTGTCTTGCCGCCAGGTGTGTCACAGAATTTCGCGCATGCAGCCATGTTTTGAGAGGTTCGTTCTGATCAGTGGATATCTTTTAGCGAGTGCAAAGAGCCGAAGGCCGACAAGCGGCATGCAACAACCAGCGCAGGGACGTCCAACCAACCTTCCGAGATGGGTCGGAGACGCGATATATAAGCCAAAAGAGGCGTCAGGCAAAGGGAATCGAAAGGTTGGGACGCGTGGAATATTTGCAGTGGCGACAGCCTTGCCTGTTGTCAATCCACTCGCCTGACTCTCACAAAAGCTTCCTAGTTGAGGGCCTCGGATCTTCCTCGATTCGCTTTTTCAACATCGTCGGTACCCGCCTGAGAACCCTTGGGCCTGGTACTTGTCTGCTATCGCTGCCAGGGAGTTCCTACCATGGACAGCTGAGCGGGTCGTTACCTCGTCGGCGCAAGGCAGACTTCTCAGCCGTGTGCTTGGCTACGTTGCATGCAAAGCCTCTGCATCTTCAAGTGCCAGTCTCGTCAGCATTTGACCATTTCGAACCTCGTAAGGCTGGATAATATTGAACTGGGGCGAGGCATCTAGCCATAGGCGCCAACTCGTACGGCGGTAGGTAACAGGCGCGTTCACATTTTGTAAAGCAGTTGATTGATTGTGTTGTTGTCTGTCTATCTGCTCAGGCGAGTAACAAAAGAAAAGACTACCAAGCTAAAGTGGTACCCTCGAACTGACCAATCAGAGAGTGGCAACGTCTGCCTGTACAATGTACAGCCAAAAGTTGACCAATCACCTTGCTCGTCCGCCTTGCACCTCAGGTCCTCGCCAAACCTTTCCCATTACAATATGTCGATCCTTGAACCGCATTTGTCAGAAACCGCTAGACCAATGTGTGTTTCTAGTGACGGTGGGATATCGGAACTGACTAGAAAGTCTCTGGATCTGCTGACTCCCTACAGATGGTGAGCATCTCGGCGGACGGCGAGAATCTCGGTTGGCAGCAAGCGTCTCGGCAAAGGGCGGGAATCCCGTCACCCCAGCTTATCCGCAGGTGGCTTACGGGTAGATCCTATCAGGATCCCGAGGCAGAGCGCCGGGAATCCGCTGCTTGACATGATGGGCAGTATGCTGTTCGGTGGACAGCAGCCTGGGGCGAAACCGGCGACGCCGAGGTCGGGCACGCCGAAGCCTCGTTCTGCCTTGTTGTGCCTCGTGTCATGAGATCGACCCTTGTCCCTGCCCGCGGCCAGCCTCCCCGAGCAGCCATCTGGTGGCGAGAAGTCGTATCTAATAAAACAAAATGAGCCGCGTGAGGAAAGTGCATGGACGGTGGTGAGGGTGAAAAGGACTTTAACGAGGCTTGGCAATGGGGACAAAGGGAACTGAGCCAAAAATGAGGAACTGTGATGAGGGTCAGTTTTAAGAGGGCAGCCGCATCTACCCCGGTCCATCGGCCAACCGTTCCTGCAGAGATGGTTGTGCGAACAGCGCATCTGATGCTCATTGTTCTTTTTGTATATCATGTGACGAGCTGGGTTATCTGGCATTCTGTACGGACAACCGGTGGAGACTCTAACTGAGAGCCCTGCATTTCCAGGGCACTGGCAAAAAGGGAAGCTACCAGTATTACTGCAATGCCTTCCCCCCCCCCCCCCCCCCCCCCCCCCCCCCCCCCCCCCCCATCCACTCGCGATCCCTTGCAATAGAGCCCGATCGCGCACCGAGGCCCAAGATCGAAAGAATTCGGAGAACTACGATTCCTCTTCCTCTGCGCCTGATTGACGAGATCCATGTGCACTGCTGGGTGTGCGGCGTAAAGTGCTTTTCCTCCGGGGCGTCTCGCTCGCCAGCTGTAAACTCGTTGTTACTCGCGTAAGCCGTTGTGCCTTGGACTCGTCGGCGCCGTCAATGGCGTTGGTCGGCGCCCTGGCAATGATAAAGCTATGGGCGGCGAGACTTTTCCTCTTTCCGTGGCTTGCCTGGTGTTGTTGGCCCGCCGCCCTTCCAGGAACGCATTGTTGTTTCCTACGGTCGGGTCGATTAGCATCCCGGTCGAGGTCCCCAACCCCTCCATCGACAAGTCTCGATCGCAGCCCAAGATCCGCAGCAAGTACCGGGGATGGTTAACGTGAAGACTGGTTTTGTTAAAAGAGGGGAAGAACTCGAATTTGTCCACAATGCCGATCAGTCCCAGTTGTACACCTGGTCTTCATGTGTGCGCAGCGAGGCACATGAACAGCGTCGAAAGATCCTGCAATGCTCCAGAAGGGAGATCCTCTCGGCATCGCTAAGTGACTTACCGCAGTTATCTGAGGTGCAGAGCCTTCCCTACCTAGATGGTGTCATTCGGGAGCCTCTTAGGCTGCGCATTCTCTCGCCTCCCATCCCTTTTGCATGGCGTCTGCCTGCTCTGTCTTCGGCAAGGTGATATGACCGTCCCGGTCCTTTCAAGGCTCATGTCCTGCACTAAACCAACACATCACTTCCCTGCCCAATGCACCGGACCTCCACATGTATGATCCGGCGAGGCTGCCGAGTGTGGACGGCCGCCTCTGCACGACCGCTCCGTGTTTGCCGGGGGACTGCGGAGCATTGACTTGTCCCGCCGTGTCCCTTCGCGCCTACGCTCCCCTCCCATCCCTTCGCGACGTGTTGCATCGAGATGCATCCATGGTGTGCTCTTGTTTCCTTCTCCTGCTCTCTCTTCCGTTCATTCTAGACGGCGTCCTTTGCGATAGGGTTCCTCGTCATGAGCACTCATATGACGATGACCTTCATGACTGGATCCTGCATTTCAAGTCCTTCCATGACATGTGCCCTTCACCCGATAGATTCTTCATCGTGGGTCCTTTGATGTGCCTGATCCCTCACTCTGATGTGGGTCGAGACATTCGCAGCAACGCGTGTGGCCGTAATGCCACCGAGAGGCAATGCAGCCTTAAGACCATCCAAAGTTGCAAATTCAACATAACCGAATCCCTTAGGCTTGCGATCTTGTTTGTCTTCCACAATGCGAACATTTATAAGCTGGCAGTAAAGAAATCGTTTATATCTCCCTGTGTAGCGTCGAGGGATAGATTTGCTGGATGTGCAGTGAAAGGGAGTTGCGTAGGGAGGGGGAGTTGTTCTCTTGCAGGGTATGTGTCTCGTCGTTCTGGGGGATTTGAAAATGCGAGTCGGATGTCGCAGCCCAAGCACGTCGCTGAACGCACTTCGACCAGACAGAAGCCTGAAATTGATGTTGTTTGAGAGTAGACGAGGTGCAGCGCCGTGTGGTTGGCGGCGCAGTCGATGTGCACGAAGGATTTGAAAAATCAACAATGGGAAGGAGCCCACACGTGGCCCGATAGAATTCCAGAATCCGTAGAAGCTTGCAGATACGTTATAAAGGTATCGATGTTGAACGAGACATTTGGAAATTGAAAGCGTCTGTGTCATGTTCTTACTCGCTGAAATCAAAGTGGCGATGCTGCGCCAAGCTGCCTTGCATAGATTCGCCTTGCATGGACGGGGTGTGCATAGGCGGTCCTTACATGGGAAGTTTCCTTGCATCAAAGGCACCGGTTCGATTGAAGGCAGCGTGTTGATAAATAATCAGGCTCCAAGGGAGTCAGAAGACCCGTCAGAACAAATTGGACGGTCGGCGAAGGGTCTAAATGCAGAGGGCATTATCGGGCTACCCGGCCACCCCCTCGTTGGGTCTGGCCGCATATGGACCAACGAGTACTCCGAGCCCTTCAGGGCCGACTATGTGATTAGTCCTGGCCAGCGAAGTAGGTCCACAACATGTTCAACCGGCTGCATCTTGACCCATGAAGCTCGGGTTGAACCGCGCCAATTGATCAAGTCACGCGGCGGTCCCTTCCACGGCTAATTTCAGTGAATGGCCCCGACCGGTCAAGCAAGCCCAGGACATGTAGACTTGCGTTTTGGCCGGTTGCCCACTTGGACACCACTGGAATACAAGATGAGGAGCGATGACTGACAACACTGCGTCGTGAACGCCATTGCTCAAAGGCCAAGATCCTGCCAAATCCGTCAATCAAGGTGCCACAGGGGGCATGGAACCGGAGGCCGTGTCTCTGAGCCTGAAAAAAGGCCTAATATAAGGCTGGGTGGGAGGTTGAGGCTCTTTTTCCCCATCGGGATCCAATAATGGCAAGAAAACGTGCCACTGGGGATGACTGAAGAGATGCAATTTGGCAATTTGGAATCTGCTGTCTGGTTACAACCTGGCTTGTGGGACGGTCAGCGCACCGAACCAAGACGTGTTCTTGTAGCTCTGTCTCAGCCCAGACTCGTCCGCCATATATGACTGAACAATATCGGTGAAGCCCAGAAGCAAATCAAGGCCCAGCTGCAAGACCGAGTTGATCAGTTCCCGGATGAGGTGGGTGTTTCTACCGTCCTCCAGGAAGCTATACACTCGTTAGCGCCAAGTCCTTCACTTTTCACCAAGACTCGTTCCCTCTTACCTGTTCAGCTTCTGGACAAAGGGAGGTATTTGTTTCTTCTTCGCTTGAGCCTCTCTCTTTGCGACCTGTGCTCTTGCCTTGATGCGGATCGACGAGATTGAATACGGAGAGCGCCAATATGAGGCCTTTTGCCGCTCCTCAGTTCCCATGTTGTTTGTTAGGAGATGATGGACGGCGTTATGATGGATATTTGCGACAAAGGCTCTGAAAGGGGGGGTATCCGACGGAAGAAATCAGATCTGACAGGAAGTGACGGCTCAAAAAGAGCTCGACTTGAGAGGCTGAGCAAACTTCATATACCGAGTATTGGGGTTGGCGACAATAATGATTCTTTTGGAAGACGTCAGCAATCAGAGAGGGGGCTCTTGCCTGCGTGGTGACGGAGAAGAGGTTGGCCGCCCGGTCCGCTTTGGCGTGGCAGAGGCGGCTCAAATCGGCTCGTTCTGCGACCCGTTCTGCGACCGCAATCTAGGCCACATTCCAACAACCACACCGGTCATCGACGCGAGCCTGACCGCCTGATAGCCTGCAGCATACGCGGAGTCCGGTAACGGCGGCTGCATTGCGACCCAAGCGGTACCTTGACAGAGAGCCTCGCAGCGACCTCTCGCGAGACCACACCCGGACCTTCTCAACTTGGCTTAGCTCCACGATGATGCGAGGCCGCAGCAGCTCAAAGACCATGTTTGCATGCGGCTCTGCTAGCAAGAAATGACACTCCACATCTGGCCGTCTGGCCTCTGAGGAAGATCAGAGCTCGTGGGGAGGCCTGCTGATTAAGGTTGACAAGAGGAGAGATTTCCGACACCCTAAGGCGCATCCACCGCTTCTCTTTGGCCCAAAACAGCACCGCCATCCGCATTTTGGACGCCACGGAGCAGTGCCAAATGGAACACATCCTCCCCAGGAACTACTCAGAAGACAATCCGAACGTAACCCAGAACTGCCGAATTTTGGCACCAGAGGAGGCGCAGTCGGCCCGCAATCGACGGTCGACACAGAGGCGGCGACGGTGCTTTTGACGACTGTGTATGAGGAGGCACACAAACCCGATAGCGATTGAGGGGGGAGGAGGTGGTATCGGAAGCGCCGGACCTGGGCTCCAATGGTCAAGACCGTACCCGCGCCGGGCAGGTTGGGGGGTCACATGGGCAAAAGCAGCTGCCAGCCTGTCTGGCCTACCCTCCTGGCGGTGCATGTTGCGCCGTTCGAAGTTTTCCGAGTTGGTGGTTGGGATCTACGGTTCTAGGTTTATGTGTGGGTAACGACGCTATAGAATGCGATGAAATTTGGCTCTGGCTATCTGTACAATGGCTTCTGCTCTCTTCCTGGTGATTTGTACCCCACGTAGACCGTCCGTCGCGCGCTCTGTCGACGGCTCTCCATGCCCATCTCGTGCGGTGCTTCTACCATTTTCTCTCCTCATCCCTGGGATGCCAATACGACCTCCTCGTCTATACCTTCCCAGCGCATACAGGCATCAGTATCTAGAGCGTAAAGTGTCTGTTAGCAGTCTTGACTTCTTTCGAGTGCGACGGTGTACCCACACGTCACTGCCAAAGTCCAATCCCAGGCGCCCGCAAGGTGATAACGGTGCAGGGACATGGAACCTTGGAGAATACACTGCCAGATCACCGGCAGCAGGCCCGAGAGGGTGCTTGGGCTTGTCTGGTCCAGAGTGGATCTTCCTTCTCCTCCTCCTCCTCCTCCTCCTCCTTCTCTTTGACCTGTTTCTCCTCCTTCTTCTCCCTTTATTACATCTTATGACAAAAGCACGAGGAGAGAACAGCTGCCCATGGCGAGATAGCCAAACGGAATATCGGCGAGTATTGGTTTGGACGGATTCGTTCCGAATTACGTGTCTATGCCACTGTTTGCAGTAGGTTGCGTTCTAACCTGGGGCGCGGACAAGTTTCATGGTCCTTTCCTTTTCTCCCTCCGACGTCTTTTGCACTTCGCTTGGGTTCTTTACTGCGTTTGATCCCGCTCAATTATTGCTTCCTCTTGCCTTGCCCGGATACCAGACTCAGTGCGTGATGCCGCCCATGCTCACCCATGTCTCTATCGAAGGGGTTAAAAAGTGTAGCCAGTTGGGTACGTACTTGCAAAGCTTCAACTCTCGTCTCAGAAACAGCTCGACAGGTAGAAGACGGTCGAGTGAGAGTGACGGGTGGCGACAACATCGGGAGTATCGGTTTCCCAAAGTCGCGGGGCAATCATGCTGGGGTTTGCCAGTATGGTCTCGCCTGCTGGAAAAACATGAGAACTATAGTTGGATGTATAGGCCAACTAGTCGAGACTCATTGGCCCCGCGTGAATTCAAAGTAGATCAAGGGTCGTGGTTAAAAGGGAAGGTGAGCGGTTCCCTGCCGAAGGCGGACAGTGAGGCTGTCCCCCTGCTCGAGGAGCATTCCTCGAGTTTTGCTTGGATCTGGATGGTCGTCCCTTCGATGATCTTCAGAAGGGCTTGCTGGACGCCTTCGCCTGACACATCCTTGCCATGGCTGACCTTGGCCGTTGCTATTTTGTCGACTTCATCCAGGCATATCTTTTTCAATCGGCAAGGCTGCAAGAGTGCACTTCTATCAGGGCGAAATGGCGCAGGCGGGGATGCGGTTAGGCTAATCGATCGCAGAAAGAGCGGGCTGGTTGAGAGGTGCGGCCGTGGTTGCGAGACCCAGGCCAGAAGAGCCTCCGCTGATGATGAAGGTGCGGTCCTTGATTTGCATGGCTGTATGGAATAACTACCTCAGCATATTCCTGCTGGAGTGGAAACCTCCCATCGGCTCGACCTTGGTCGTGATAATGAATTTGCGCGTAGATAATCTACCTAACGCCTTCGGGAAGGGCGACCACTGTGTCGCCCAAAAATAAAATGTGATACCACCAAAAGTCCGCGATCGCCGATCGCCCTTCGAGACGAGATACACCACCACACAATGGTTTTGCAGGGCAGGCCACACGGCCTAATGCCGAGGACTCGGCGCATCTCACAATCATCCGCTTCGTCCTAGCTGGGTTTCTGTTCTACCATCTGCCTCTTCTGGTGGCCTCCTGGGACATACAGTGTGCTTTGTGGCCTTTTGGGTTCTCTCTTCCCCCTCCTAAGTCGCTTCTCCAATTGACTACGATGGACGGGGAGAGATTGACGTCCAGCAGGACGAGCTGACCCAGTCGATCGCAGCCAGACCACTTCCTTTCAAGTATGGCGGTGACGGATGGTTGGAGACGCCGAGGGATTGGCGGGGTGGCTGAACGTCTGAGTGGCACTGGGTACGAGACTCGGTCGGAGGCAGAGAACCTATTGCCGGAGCCGAAGCGAGTCGATCGTGGCCCCAGGATCCGGGACTGTCCGTTCCAGGATGCCCGAGCCAGATCTGTTCAGCCCAATCAGATAGCATATCGCCCAAGACACGTATTATGCAGCTGCACACAACGAGAAAGCTGCCTTGGCCGTCACCGCGACCCGGGCAGACCTCTCTTGTCGCCTCTCTTGTCGCAGGCATTTGGCAAAGTAGCCTGCGGACTCATCGCCCAAACGGCCCAGTTAGTAATCGCTCGACAGAAGGAGAGACATGCCTAGGCAGACATTTTCTGGCTGGCCAACCTTGGCCGGACCCTATCTTGGGACAGCGGGTAAGAAACGCCCTGCGGCGCAGCATGTGGTCTCAGCTCTTGCCAGGATCGCGCAACCAGGGGGCTGGCCTCATCACGAACGAACTGATGCTGACCCATATGGCCTAGCAGCCAGCGAATGTCGTAATGACACCGTCCAGCAGCGGGTCTTTCCCAGTGGAGGTCGTGGTAGCATAAGCAATCGCTGACGGACGTTGAGTGTTGCGACCGCCATTGCCAAAACGATTGGGGGTTTCGTCCCCAAATATTTTGCGAAACCTGATGATCAATACCATCGTCCCATGATTTCACCACTCTGCGCGAAGGCGGCAGGTTTTCAGCAAGGGCAAAAATCTCAAGATCCACTCCTCGTCGCCGCCTGCGAATCCCGGGCATTGCCAATGCGTCGACGCCGCTCGAATAGCCATTCGAAGTTTTTCCCGGCAAACAGGAGATGCATGGCAGCAAACTCGATGTCAAACAGAGACCCCCCACCGAAAGAGAATACCAGGCACCGCCAGGACGGCAGAAACGGCCACCGTCACAGCGCAGCAGAGACAGAGCCTGGCGAGGGGCCATTTCCTCGATCCCTTCGTGTGTCTACATGCGTGGCAGACCCCAACCGGGAGCAAGAGCGGGAAGAAGGGCAAGCCCCAAACGAACTGCAAGTCTTCAAAGAAATAGACCGGAAGAGCGCCCAAGGCGAAGAAGACGCTTTCGACCACGAACACGACGTAAAAGAAGGGAGAGTTCCACTTGATGACGGTCACGCTGCCGCAGGACCAGGGAGCGTAGATGGATAGAGAGCTCGTATTCTGTAGAGAGCCGATCAGCTGTTTGACCCAACACATGGCCCAAAACAAGGCCTCTCGTGGCCAGCGGAGGTGGAAGACGCCGTTCAGGAAGAGACAAACGGTCGAAGCTGAGATTTTCGGCATGCTGTCGCCAGCCAATCGTGGGGCCGAAAAACAAAAAAAGTAAAGACTGACGGGCGGCACAACGCATGGACCATGACAACGGCGGGAGAGTAGATATATGGCTCTCAAGGAGCAAATTGTGCATATGCGTCGACAACAGGGGCTTGGAGGCCATAGCATCACGAATAAGCGCATCGCGACGCGACCGGTCAGATCCGCCGGGAAAAGCATCAGTAAGCCTGCGGTACCACCACATCGGCCAAGAACCATGCCCATCTATGAGCTGGCCCCCTCAGCTGCCAATTGAACACCGATCGAACACTTGATGCCCATCCCATATCCCATGCTCGATTGCCCATGTGGACTAGTCGCTGGAAGGAACAGAACTCTTCACGGTCATCGCGTGCCAAAAAAAAACCCAAAGGACCACCACCACCACCACCACCACCACCATGCAGAAGGCGATAAATGTGCAGTTGCGAGCTTGTCGATTCACAATAACCATGCTCCCGTGCTCGGCCGTTTCCTCCTCGTTACTGCCTTCAATGCCCCGTGTATTCTTCTCGTTCTCGGGGGTTGAGAAGGAGCGTGTCTTGGTCGCCTTGGGCCATATTGAATGCCATCACCATAAAAAAAATGAATAAAGGGAGAACACCCACTCGTTGGTGCTTTTTTTGCTACATATCTGGCTCGCTTTTCTTTCCCCGCTTTTTTTTGGATGCGCTGAAGCTTGTGTTTGGGGGTTGTTGCAAAGAAGACGAGGAAAGATGAGGGTGTGTGGGCAGGGCACGACACAAAGGACTTGCGAATACCACGGAGAAGAAGGGGGGGGGGGGGACGAATGCGACCACAGACAAGGCTGGACGGACAAATGGGCCCCCAGGCGGAAGCAGGCTGAGAATATTTCGACGAGTTCAGCGAGTGCGCTGCCAAGGGCCTGCTGAGTGATAAATCCGAGGAGTTGAGGAGGGAGATGCAGCGGACGGACTCCCGGGTGGGTTGGATGGAGTTCCTGGAACATTCGGCGGCGGCACAACAAGAGATCGATGACCAAAACATATAACACCACCAGCGCTGCAAGCAGCATAGCATAAAGAAGAGGACCCAGGCGGGGATGATGACTTTCTCGACGGCAAACTCCATGGCGCGCCAATCTGCAGTCAATCTTCCGCATTGCGGCGTAGAAGAGGCTTGACGAGGTATTGCCAATGCCAATGTCCAAGCAGTAACCGGGTTCGACAAAGTGCATTCATTCGGGGAGACAAAGGACGGACCATCAATCACAACATGCCCTCACATTCTCCAGTCCTCCATTCCACGCCGCCTCGCTGTAGTGTGAGTGCTGGGTGCTGGGTGCTGGGTGCTCGGTACCAGGAAAAAGTTTAAATTCTGCGGGTGCCTATTACTCGAGTGCCGGAGTACTTACTGCTCCTGGAATTAAACTTTGGGCACGCCAGAAACCACTTCCAGAACTTCAACTCGCGCATATCCAACCCCAAGAAGCCAAGACGATGCCCGGGCGCAGTCTATTGTCTCGAGCTTGTCCTTCCCTCTCAAACCTGGCCCGTCATTTCATAGTATGGATGATCCCAGCATCTGATGGCAACTGGGTCGCAGATTAGTTGGTGTGTCTGGACACGCAGGGGCAGCGCACTCACGATCAATGATGTATTCCTCCCACAAGCCCCGTTGGTAATCAACCAATCCTTTTGGCTCCAACTTGTCGCTGTGTTTGACCACCGTTTCTCCCATCTCCTTCAGCTTCTCCAAAGGAAGCAGATTCGCGGCGGGGACTTGCGGCGCAGTTTGCGAGAAATGCCGGCTCAGCGCACTCCCCAGGTCGTGGAGCTTGAGCAGGTCACTCTCCAACTGCTCCACCTTGTCCGCGCCCAGCGCACGGAGTTCTTTATCCCCCTTCTTCCCGATCTGCGAGGTCGCCGTCTCGAAGACCGTCACCAGCAGCTCCCCCATCTCTTTCGCGATCGTCTCGTCGAATCTTTCCCGCATCGGTTGGCCGAGCAGCTTCTGCCCCAACTGTTGGCACTGGCGTTGCACAGGTTGCGTCAAGGCCTCCGACTCGACAAGAATCGTATACATGAGCGTGGTGGACTGCTGGCCCTCCGCCGATGGGCCCAGGCTGACCAGTGTCTGCCCCAACGCCTCCGATACCTTCTTCGTGGCAGCTTGATGTTGTTGCGAGGGTATCTCGCCGCCCGTCCAGAGCCGGACCAGCATGCTTGCCAGCGCGTCACTCATCAGATCGTGTTGACGCTGGAAAAGGGCCAGCCAGGCGTAGTTGAGATGCTTCCACAGATGCTCGAAATTGGGCGACATTCCGCTGACTTTAGCATCAAAGCGGTTTGCAGCCACTTGCTCAGTTCCTGTGACCGGGAACCATGATTAGTGCCAGCCAGCCAAGCAGAACGGGGGGCAAGGAAGAAGCACGGCCGACGCACCAATATCAGTGTGGTTGATCAGCATGTCCGTGACCGTCAACAGCTTGTCGCCGGCAGCGACCAGCGCATTTTTCAGAGTTTCCTGATTGACCGCGCCAATTGCATTCCTGTAGACGGGAAAGTTTGCATCCACCGACTCCGACGGTGCTTCTTGCGCGGTCTGGTCACCAGCAACCTGCATGACTTCCTGCTGCTTCGCTTCATTCTGGAGGTTCACTCCCTGCTGGACCGCTCTCTGGTCGATCATGTACGACAGGGTTTCGGCGGCGGTGGGATGGCTCTTCGGGAGCAATAGTCGCTGTGGTAGTGGGTAGGTCTCGTGCCTGATGTATGGCCCCGGGTGACCTTGGTAAAGCCCGCCAGTTGGCACCATCGCGTACTGTATATGCGATGTAGGTAGCGGGGCCGTTGCGTTGCTGCTGACATACCTCGGGTAGGTGCCGTCGCTGAGCCGGTTTTGGTACATCGCTGGCCGGAGGGGGGGTTATAACAGGCGAAGCAGACAATGAGGATAGGGGGTGAGAAAGCCTGGAGGTCCCATCCCCAGGACGAAAGAATCTCCCTTCATATGCAAAGGTTTAGCATGGAGACAGCAGTGCTGTCGTGCTCATCACTGCAAGGGCCTGCAAATAATCGACGTCATCAACTGCAAGGGTCTGCAAATAATCGATCTCATCAACTGGAAGGGGTTGCAAATAATCGACGGACCGCAGCAAGGCGTCGGGCCGTAATCATCGAGCGTCCTTCTAACCCTGCACTGGAATGCGTTCGTGCTCCGAAACATGTCGAATAAAGAGATCTTCAGGGGGACGATCCGTGCGGGTGAAAGTCGAAGTTCTGGGAGTGCCTGCGAGTGCCGAAAAATTAAAATTCTGGGAGCAGCACTCAGGCACTCGACAGGCACTCCCAGGACCTTGAACCTCATTCTCACACCCTCCCACCCACCCACACTTACGCACTAACTTAGTTTTTAGATTTCGGATATCCAAATCTCGGATATCCAGATCTCGATTTTCTAAATCTTGGATTTCTAGATCTCGGTGGGGCCAAGCGCTACACCCCTCACGCTACCGAGTACTTCCCCTCACTCCCTAACTCCCTTCACTGAGTGGCAGCAAAAATGCCGCATACTCCACATAGTGGGTACTTGAATACGAGGCTAGGGTGGTCCATGCTCAGAATCGTCGGCGAGGAGCATCCCCCCCCCCTCGTGGGTTCAGTTTCTCTACCTCTTTTTCTCTTCCCATCCCCCCGGTACTTTAAATACCTTGACGGAGCCCAACCCTATTACCCATGACTAATGCCGCGCCCATACCCTATGCTATCCCCATGCTTGCCGAGGGCAGCGAACATCCTCAGGATGGTGACTCGCGTATCTGTGCATGCCTTGACTTCTCTCTCATGCCCAGCCATGCGTTCTTCGGACGCCGTGGGGGCTCTTCGGAGGTGTTGATTCTCCTTGCTGAGCGTCTCCAGCTCTCCCTCGTCCCCTATCTTAAGCCTCTTGGTCTGCCCCTCTTCGTCGTCATCGTCGTCTCCGTCGCCCTCGTCCAGCCAGCGCTTGCGCGACGCGGCGCTTGATTCCTCTTCCGCTTCTCCAGTCTGCTTATGACACCGATGAACGTGTTGCTTGAGGTTCTCTCGTCGGGTAAATCCCTTGCCCGTATACCGTTTGCAGGTTGAATGTGGACAGAAGAATAAACCGCCCTTGGTGTTGCCGTTGCGGTGTACTTCTTTTGCGTGACGGGTCAGTCCAGCGGGGTACGTGAAGCCAAGAAGGTTCTCGCACCCGTCCTCGAGACACTTGTACGGGCGGTCATGTTTGTCCATGTGGTTGCTTGTGCCAAGTCAGTTATTGAGCGTGTCTCGGCGTGGGAGTTGGAGGCAACAACTTACTTCCACTCACACATGCGAGCAAACTCCTTGATATTATTCTCTCCACAATCTTCCCGGGTGCATACGAATTTCCCCTCAACGTTCTTAGTTGCTTTGCGCTGCGGTCTGGCCATCTTTTTGGGCTCGGCAGGTCGCGCGGGCGGTGAGTCTTTATCGCCCTCGACTAGACAAGTCGGTGTCAGTCCGCCGTCCGATGGAGCGTCATCAGCTTCGGCATTCCAACCTCCCTCACAAAACCGGAGGAGCTCGAGATCATCGGTCTCTGGCTGCGTTGTGTCAGTGGGCTGGTGTTGACGATCAGGTTGAAAGGATACAAGTGACATGCCAACGACAGTGACCATTTCAACGAGGCCAGATGCTGGTAGGATACTACGGGTCAATGCAATGGATACCTGTGAGTCGAAAGGCTGCTTCCAGCCCGAGGAGACGAGTTCTTGCGCTGGTATTTATCATATTCCCCCGTCTGGCCGAGCCCAGTGGATGCTTGTTGCAATGGCTAAGTGCGGTGGGTGGCTGGGGTTGGACACGTCAGTGCGGAATGCAGGGCGAAACCGTATGTGGACCTGTCTGACTCGCCGGTGGCTCGACTCTCTCCAATCAGCACGCGTTCTGTTGCGTCACACACAATCCAGCGGTGCATTCCTTTCAGCTGATTCGCAACTCTTCCAAAAGGGTCATCCCGTTCTGTCCCTCTTCCTTCCGTTCTGCCAGACGACAAGTCCTAGGCGTGAACGAGCTCCTATTCCCCGCGCACGGAGTGGTGATGACACACCACGCTGCTGCTAGAAGACCGTCTCCGACCGAGCCCACGGAGAAGCTGGGGGAACATGGTTACTAGGTGCCGGGAGAGGGGAAATTGGATAATTGCAAAATAAATGAATTAGTTTGAAAGTCTCTGAAATGCTATCTCCAAGCCTCGTAAGGAACCCAGAGCGTGGCCTCCCGTGTCAGATCTGGCCTTTGATGATATGACGGGGTTTCTCTCCTTGATGTCCATGCTGCCGCCATCGTCGTCGTCGTCGTTGTCGTCATTCTTTGCCGCGTATTCCACTGTTGCCGTCGTGGCTATTTCTGTTGCCTCCGTTGCCACCCCAAATGCCGCCGCCATTGCCGTTGGCGCTGCCGCCATTGCCAACGACATTGCTGCCACCGCAGCCACCCACTCAGCACCACCGTTGCCGCCACTGTTGCTGTCGCCGTTGCTGTCGCCGTTGCTGTCGCCAAGGTTGCGGCTGTTGTTGCGGCTGAGGTTGCTACTAGGGTCAGCCCCCAGGGTGCCATGCTGACGTTGCTGCTGACGCCGCCGCCAATGCTTCTGCTACTGCGGCTGCCACCACAGCCCGCAGGTTGTCGCCGTTGCCACCGTTGTCGCAGTGGGTACCTCGGTGGTGGCGGTGGCTGCGTCTGCGCTGGCATCGCTCTTTGTTGTCTCTTACGAGCCGTTCGGAAGCACTGTCCGCATCGGAGCAGGCTCGGCCGCCTGGCTTCCGTCGCCGTCGCTGTTGGCCGGTCCTGCGGATTGTGCAGGTTCCTGTTTGGTGATGTTAGCAGTTGACTGGTTCGCTTTGGGAATAGGGTAGGCTGCTCCAACCTTCTCCGCGTCTTCTTCGGCCTTGCCAGCGACTACCCCAGTCACGGATCTAATCGATGTGATTCAGCCTCAACAGGCAATGAATTCATGAAATTGCAGTACGAAGGACTATCTGAAAAGGTTGAGGCAGTAGTGCGTGTGTAAGAACAAATCTCAAGTGGCTGGTGACAGTGCCAAGAGATCTGGTCCCAAATGGTACTAGTACTAAGGGACCAGGTCCGTGACAAGTAGGCGTGATTAATTAGTACACGGTAAAATCGCATAACAGCCGGGGGGGCACTTCCACTCACATGTCTAGGGCCACATCTCCTTCGCATTCAAGAAAAATATCACTCAAGACAGTCTCGTCCAGCAAAGCCAACATCCTGTAGACCAGGAAGTTGAATGTGTTCCTGATGTCCATGACCTTCTCCCTGTCTTCGTTCTGGACATTGTCGGATAGATCGCGCAAGAGTTTGAGAAAGCCAAGAATGCCGTTCTCGAACCCATGACAGAAGGTGAGATACAATTTCAGCCAGAGGGTTTTGGGGGCGCGGGCATCACTCAGCCGCTTGCTCCACGTTGGTACCGAGGGAAGAAGAAAAAGATGATGGTGATGGATAAGAATAACAAGGTCGATCACTTCAAGTGGCAACTGGCACAGGTGGTGGATTGATGGCGGCTTTGCGCAAGAACAAAGATACGCAGGTCGAGAACGAAGTGGTCAACACCAAATGACGCATTTGAGATAGTTCTTGATAGACTACAGCAACCATCTGGCTCTGCCACTGGCTTGATCACCTCCTTTGACCCATGCGACATGCAGGGTCGGACTCTTAAGGCATCCAGGCAACAGCAATTCACCCCGAACATGTTCAGCTCGGCAGTCGTCGAACTCTTCTCACACCACGTTGAACAGTAACCACATGCTGCAGATATTTCAGCACTTCTGGCTGATGGACATAGTGATTCTTCCAGGGGTATGTCGTCAGGTCCTCCTTGTCCCAGATATATCGATAGACTAAGACTGAGGTTGTATCAGTTTTGTGCGCCTTTGGAAAAGATTATGGTTACGGGTTGGCCCAAACATACCCATTGAATAAGAGTCTGACATGGCTATGTGCAGAGCGCGGATGTGCTGCACGTGCGGCTTCAGGACGGTCAGCGGGTTCTACCACGTGACTGTGGGCATGCTCGTCCACGAGAGCCCGAGCGGAATGCTGCACGCGTTCTGCACTTCTGCCACTCAGCAGCCTCTCGACGCACATTACCGCGTACGCCACGATTTGGCATGCGGAAGACCAGAACGTTAACAAGGAAACAAAGACCGACAGTTAGCGGCGTGCCCGCATCCTCTTCAGATCCTGAAGGGCCTGTCGACTCGGCTGCAGAAACGCTTGCCAAACTGAGCACCAAAACGTGGAACAGGCCAACACAACCCGAAAGCGCCCTCCCTCCTGCGATCTGGACGTTCAGAAACCCCGCAGGATTCCCAGTACGCCATGTCTCGATCGCTACAAATACTCGCGCCGGCCCCAACCCCGCGTGAAAATGGTTGATGCTGCGACACAATACTCACCTCTAAACTAACAGAAAGTTGAAAAAACTCCGACGGTCCATCTGGACGACCTGTGACACAGAATGCGTGATGGTAACATACGGAGGAGTTATGAACTGCGCTTGAACGATATCGACGACCTTCTCGTAACTTGGCTGTGTGTATTGCGCCTACGCCTGGCATGGCTGCGATTATACAACCATTTGGATATATTGACTGGGATAATATCTGGAGCATTGCTACTCTTGCGATTGGCTATGGAGCCTACCAAAAGCACACTGAGGGCAAATTGGACCGGCAGCTCGCTGGGTCCGTCGCCGCTGGGATTGGCGCTTTCGTGGTTGCAGATTATTTTGGCAGCAAGTAAGTTTGGTTTTCTTCTTGTGATCTCTCTAGAAGATAAGCTGATGAACTTTCTAGGTGGCTTCTCGAGAACAAGTACCCGCCAAAATAGACGGCGACTGACACAGTTTAAACGACTCTCTGGTGGCAGTGGTGGAAAGGAATTGTGTATGTTTTGGCGCGGACACTACTCGGTTGAGGCGCCGAGCCGCATTCGCCGTCACGAGAGCAAGCCACTCCCATAAATTTCTGTCCCATGGCTCCTCGAAAACCACAAAAAGGCACAGACCTGAAGCCACGAGCCCAATTACTGCGAATTGATGTTCCACCTGCAATTTGCTTCTGCGGCGAACCTCGTCCGCGACGATCAGGTGCGGGGGGAAGTTGCCGCGAGCCACTGGGGCGCTGTAACACCAAGAAGTAGATATTATACATCTCCAACAATTTGCAATAGAGCGCACTAATAACCCGCCACATTTTACAGTAGAGGATGGTCTGGGCTTAGTCTGAGGAGTGCTTCTGGACCATGTTACTGTATTCGGATTCGATCGTAGACAAATCTTGGTAGATACCCTTGACTTTGGCGACAAGCTGCTCTTGAGCGGAATAGGATTCGGGGTCCTGCGGTGTTGGGTCTTGTTTCCGGCGCCGTTTCGGGCCACATCGCGCACTGGCGGGGTGGATGACAGTGGTGACATTTGTGTCCTGGCCAGTGGCTGTGGCCGTCTCAAGCGTCTCGTCGCCAGCTTTTGTGTTGTTGGTCTCCTTGCTTTCGCCGACCCCGACATTGTTCTCGTCAGGCCGAGGATACTCTCGTGACAACGTTGTCGAGTCGCTCAACGCGACGGCATGATCGGGTTCCGAAGAGGATGCAAGGCCATCCCAAGGCCCACCGCCCAATAGGCCACCGCCAGGTTCCCAGCATTCGTTCCCGCAATTTGCTTCTGAGGCATGGCTACTGGTATTCTCCTCGACTACCAGTGTGGTAAGGAGAAATGGCTCGGATGTATTTGGGATGTATTTCGGATGTATCTCGGATACTCAAGGCTTGATATCGCTGTCAGGAAGTCCTTCGCACGTTTGCCATTGAGAAGCCACTTGACTAGCCCGCAATTGAGTTTGACTACGTGATCCTGGCTAATCCGGCCGAGGAATAGTAATGCGCCGTGAAGGGCAGCGAAAGGTGCCAAAGGGAGCTGGAGGGCTAGCAGATCCTCTGAAGGGCTGTAGAGCGGGCTGTAGAGCGGAACTCGGAGAGCCGCGCACCCAAGTGTTCTTGATCATGCCCAAGTGCAACGAGGTGCAAAGTGCGCCCAGGCCGTCGTCCCAGGGCCTCGAGGGCGTTTCTCAGGGGAGTCCAGTCCTGAAGGCAAGCTAATGACGACACGAACACAGCACCACTGCGCCAAGTGTGCAAAGGGGTGCGCACCAGGGAGAAGCGCATGGCCTTCCTCAAACAATATTCCAAGGAAGGGCTGATTCTCCCAGAGCTCCACGCCGTGAATCCCTCGTAGTGGGCCTTGGCCTCTCTCGGGGCGTTGTCGCATTTGGGAAGGTGCCGTTACGAAAGGAATGGGCCCGACTCCCGCTTTTGGGAGCATTGTGCTGGAAGGGAGGGGGCAACTGGACTGTAGCGACCCGGCTTAGAAAACACCGCATGCTTCGGAGGGCGATGGGCCCAGGGCGAGCGCGGAGATGCGTTGAGCTCTACAATTGGCTGCTTGGTCGACGCGAGGGACCTTTCCCTTTTTGGCGCTGATCCCTGCTCGGGCGACACGGGGTGGAGACGGCAGGTCGGTAAGATTCCTTCCATGAATTTTATTCGAAGATTCTGCGACCCAGTGAGCTTCTCCTTGGGGCGCCAGCGTGCCCCTCTCCTCGGCAATTTCCTTTCTTTGCGTAGCGCAAACCAACTTCCCGATCGCAATGCTGCAATGATGTATAGAAACGCCGAGCGCGAAAGGCATCTGCCACACGATTCGGCCGTGTTCGCAGATGGGACGAGGCTCTGGCGATGAGGGGGGAGCCGGCGAGCTCTATATATTCATTCAACCCTCGCTCCCTGCTCAGCGAACCGCTCACATCCTCTCAACCAAAGGTCTTATCTTTCAAAATCCCCTGTGATCCCGCATCCAAAAAGACGTCGAAGTGGCAGTTAGAGCAAGCATTCCAGTGTCGCGGCCTGAAGGCTAGCAGACCTTCTTGCTTCAACAACCCTGTGGATCCTTGCTCTCAGGATCTTGCTGAGGTAACGGTCGAGATTGACTCAATTCGTCACTTTTTCCGGGCCTGCTGGGTTTTTGGGGAGCATTCATGTTGAGAAAGGGAAAGAGAAAGGAGAGGGTGTGAGTATTTCCACCCGATGAGCCCGGAAGGCAATTTGGCTGACGTTTGGAAGTGTTACCAGAGCGTCCACAAAGTCGCCCTCCCCGGCGTTGAGCAGCACCACCGCCGCCACAAGTACGGAGTGAGTGGTAGACCCACCAAGGGGCTGACGTCTGTCCGTTTGTTCTGACGCTGCCAAGGCTCCTTGAAATTCCCGTCATCCACAGCGCCGACTTGGATCCAAGTTCAAAGATCTGGGCCACCAACGAGGTCATCGGTCTGTGAGGAGAGGCAAATCCGGCAGGGCGGAATCCACTCGAACGTTCTCAAATCCAATTAGCCAGGATCACGTAGTCAAACTCAATTGCGGGCTAGTCAAGTGGCTTCTCAATGGCAAACGTGTCAAGGACTTCCTGACAGCGATATCAAGCCTATATCCGAGATACGTCCGGAGCACTACCGTCAGCATGCCCCCCCCCCCCCCCCCCCCCAAAACCCAAAAATCTTTTCTTCTAGTTTTGAAAAAGACAACTTTCCCGGAGCAGCACAACTTGGGACGGTCCGGCAGAGAGGAATGGCACACGCGACCGTCGAAAACACGTGATTTCTGTTCCATGTCAAATTGAGATCCTCCATGCGCATCGTTGACGACCGTGTGGATGAGGAGGCTTGACCCTCCCTGTCGCTTTTGGAGAGAAATGCCACTGCCGCCAAGCTGGGGCGGGATTACGGCTGCTGGCTACAGGGCACCTGCAACATCATCAGCGAAGACGTCAACGTCCAACATGAAGACTAACAATCTGTTCGTCTTGACATCTGTCAGATATGAAGTGGACCGGGTGGCGTTTCTGGTGTGCGGTGAATGGGTGCCGAACCTTGAGGGATACGCGAGGATATATCCCGTCGGCTTTTGCATGAACCTGCCGACGCCGCCGACTTTCCCCTCGGAAGAGGAGAGGAGTGTGTGGCTGGAGACGGTGGTTCTCCTGTATTCCATGAAGATGCGCGAGGGAAACTGTGGCAGTGGAGATAAACCTCGACATCTTGGGCATGATGGAATACGTCTCCGCCACACGACTCGATAGATGGTTACGTGGAGCAAATTTGCTGCTCAAATGGTTTTCCTCCCGGTTGGTGGTGAAAATGATGGCAAAGGTGCTTTTCTTCACCGCCTACCTAAATTGGATGCACGAAGCGTACCGCTTTGAGTCAGCAAAGTGCTTGGTCCGTGGGAATAGAGATGATGCTTAAAACTCAGCGAACAGTAGAAGAGTATCCATTTCTGAAGCTATGCATGGAAAAAGAAAAAAATCTTGCTGAAGTCGGGATTTGAACCCGAGTCCTCACATATTCCAAACGGAGATTGGGAATGTAAAATGCTAACTACTACACTACTTCAGCCAGGATTGTTTATAAAAGAACTTTCAAGATAATAAATAATAAAGAGGCAAGTTCTCTTGCGAGCCACTCAAAACGTTAGAGCGTACATGCCGGCTCCTGATTTGTCGGATGCTCAAGAGACCCACAGACAGAGATGCATGTCTAACATAGTAGGATGATCACCGATTGATAGGAGTGGCCTCAGTTGTAAAACGTTGTGGCAAATCGGAGTGGTAGCTAATAAGCGGCAGAAAAAAGTACGTACCCAGCCACCCATGGTCGAGGCGGCGCGCTCCTCAAACTGGATGGCACACATGGAGGTAAATTGCTACTAATATGTAACTCCACACACCTGGCCGGTGAGATCTTGACATTACCAGCCACCGAGTGTAGCAGTCACTGCACTCACCAAGACCCCTTGTTCCTCACCGACTTCCAGACCGGCTTCCCTAAACGATCCAACCGTCGCATCTACTTTGCACCGTCCTCGATCCTTACAATCCATTTTTGCCAAACGCTCGTCGGCACGGCAGGAGCCCTTGGGTTCGCCACCCGCCGGCCTGTCCGGCGCGAATGGACGGGCACGCTACTCACACCGACGACGTCGTGGGCTGCTCCACAGGCGGTGGGGCTGCTCCGGATGCTGGCGTCGCTCGCGGCACTGCGCGTCAGCGGCTGCGCCAAACCGCACGGGAAGCGCGCGCGCTCTGAGCCTTGGTGTTTGTCAACGTGTTCAGGGGGTCGCCAGGGGTAAGGAAAAACAAAACATGCATGATGAACAAAAAAAAGAAGGGGGGAAGAAAGAAAAAGGGAAAAAAGGGAAAAGCCAAAAAAGGAAAACTAAAGACGTGAACAGAAATGGGATTGCGGACCATTATGACCTCGTACGCGGTCTAGTGAGTAGATAAGACGGGTATCAAACATGCGCTGCACCCTGCGGTAGAAAATATCAAGTATTTATCTATAGAGGCACGCAACCCAGAGCCGCTCGCCGCAGCGTGTTTTGGGACAGACGCCGGCTGCCTGCGGGCGGCCGTGCGCGCAAAGCAATCGGTGACCAACGACGGCGTGGTCATTCCCTCCCTCCCCCTTACAGACGCACGCACAACAGCAACAGGTTTGAAGCTCAATACTTCGAATGCATCATGCAGCTTTGCTCCGAGCCACCCATATTGGCCACGGGGCCCGAAATACACCTTGAGGATGTCTCATCCATCGAATGCTGCGTCAACTGCTGGCGTACGGCATCGCCAGTGCATGTTCGAGTCCTCTCTGCATGTAGAGGATTCCCGGCCTAAAATCCTCCCTTGGCTTGATGCACGAGCAATCACATGCGTCATCTCGCAAACGGCCTGCTCCAGTTCCCATATTGCACATGGTCGAACCCACCGGATTGACCGCGGAAATGAGGGATCTTGTTGCCCAGCTATCTTAGTTTTTGCGCGTCCATAGGTGCAAGGGGCGAACAGGCCAGGCTGAACTACGCCGACGGACAAGCCTCTGCCAGTCTGCACTGCGGGATGGGGATACGTGAGCTCTCACGAATCCCAAATGGTGGACGACAAAATCTCAACTATCCATCGAGCGTCCAAATGGCGCGTCCACTCCGGGCCAGGGCGAGTTCTTGTCAATGACAGTGTTAGGCCAATTACAAAATTGGCCCTCGGCTCGTTGCCTTGTCACCCTCTTCGTTGCTCTTGCTGGACGTTGGCATGGTGCTGGCTTGACGCTGGCGTGGTGCTGGTCTGCGCCGTGAATGGGGTCGGAGGCGGACGGGACGTCCATGCAATAGGCGGCACGAGTAACGCTTCACCCTCGTCCGCGTTTGAGGAAGCATTGATGGGATCGTCTTGGCGGTCGGCAAGGGTGGCTGGAAATGGTTCGCTGACATGCATGGTGATCGCCAGAAACCGCGTCATTGGCCCTCCTATAGCGCGTCCAGTCGATTGGCAGCAAAAGAGGCTGTTGCAAGGCATCAATCCACCCCACGGCCACCCTCCCCTCTTCGTCGCGAATTCGTGTCGCTCAGACGTGCCAGCTGACGCGCGACCGCCGTGCCTCGTGCGCGCGATCAGTGGTGCGTTTTCCCCATGGGCCCGGTGCCGCCACCATCCCTGCCTGGCGCTGCAGCAGCTGCGATGCGCGGGCTGCTACTCTTCCTCCCACTCCTTGCACCACCGCGGCATGTGGCTGTGCAAGTTGTAGCGGTGCTGGTCCCAGCTACCAGCCTCTGCCGCCCACATTGTTGTGCGCGTTCCCGAATATCACCCCTTGTTGCTGCCGCATCGCCGCATCCGGAAGTGCTTGGGGTTGTTGACCGACGCGTACGGCTTGTTGCGCCACGGCTTACTGTGCCCCGAGTCGTTGTGCAGCAGGCTGTGCTACCGCTTGTGTCGCCGGTGGTTGATTTGCTGCGCTTCTTCTCCAGGGAGCAGGGTTGGCTCCGAGATCCCGGTTATCAGATCTCATCAGGCTGGCCCAGGTCTTTCCTTCCTCTTCGACCATCTTTTGTATGAGGCTGTTCAAGACATCCTTGTTGACGCCGTCGCCGTACTGTTCCAGCATCCTGTCTCCCATTTTATTAATGCCCTCTACTCGGTTCAGACAATGAAGTTGGTGAACATGGCTGAATAAAGGGCATCGACCGTTGACCTTGAAAGACCGTAGCAGCGCTAACGCGATCAAAGTGACTGTAAGCCTTGTCGTCTGCTCGCTGGATCTTCAAATGATAGTCGTCCCGTAGCTCGGCTAGTCGGGCGGCTAGAGCCCGAGACTCATTGCTAAGAACCTTGCGGGCGAGACCTTGGGGGTTAGTTTTTAACGTCTTGGGCGCGTCTTCCGCCTCCTCCATCTTCTTTTGCGCCGCCCAGATGTCATCCTCAACGTCGATCGCGACGAGCGACTCCCTGCAGAAGTAACTAGGCACACGGTTCGTCAGTTCAAGGGATCTACAGCAGGCAAGGCGGTGGAGTGAATTTGGCCAGGGGCTATATATACCATTGATAGTGGCTGCACTGGCATCGGATCTTGTTGCACCCGGTGACGAGCTCCATCCCGGCCTTGCAGCGGCCAGAAGCAGGAGCTCGTCAGCTTTTCTGTGTCTGTTTCTTGGCCGTCGTGTCGTTTGGTCACTTGCAAGTGCGCACCTGGCCTTCCGACTTTGCCTCGTTCAGTAGCTGGGTGAGCTACCCAGTCTGCTCTTCCACACCTGGTGCCAGGTCCGGCATTTTGGCCTCTCGGCACGTCTTTCCATCATGGGCCGCGCCTCCGCAGAATCTGCAGCTGCGCCTGCCACAGCCGTCTCCCATGCACGTGAAGATCGGGTTCTCGTGCTTTGGGGAATTCCCGAAGTTCTGGATGTAGTCGCAGAAGGGGCAAACCTCGTTGCCCGGGATCGCCTTTAAGGCGTTGTCGATCTGTTCCTTTCTCCACAAACTCCCGTACAGTTCGAAGTCGAATAGGGGGTCGTCTGGTTCTATGAGAAATTCAAACTGATCTGCCGAGAACAACATCGAACATTGCTCGCCAGGGCATATGACTCGGTTTGCTAGTAGTGCAATGTCATTCTCGGCCATTGCCTTGAAGCACGGGCGGCATACTCCATGTTTCTCTTTTTCCTCATCTTTCGTGCCGTTATCTTCATCTTCTTTGTCTTTCATACACCTCACGATATCTGCCTCGGGGAAATCATCCCGGCAAGCCAGGCTGTGAATGTTTCTTCAGCGCTTTGTCTCTTGCGGTTGTAGACCGCGGCCGGGCTCGGTTTCCGGAAGTTGAAGGCTTACCACATGATCTTTGGTGTCTCTTCCTTGGCTGGCTGGTCAGGCGCGTCGTCTGGCTTGGCCTCGCCCGGCTCGTCGACCACCTGCACATCATTGTCGCCAGTCAAGTCCACCGGCGTTATGGCGGCAGCACCAGCAGCGGGCACAGCGGCCAAGTTACCCCCCTCTTCTTCTAGAAGAGCCACCCAAGTCAGCCAAACAAGGAATATCTCCTCCTCTTGGGAGAATAGGCACATATAGGCGGATGAGGGTAGCGAGTGCGTATCATCACACCTTGTTTGACGGGATAGATGCCTCTTCTCCGGAGGAACCTCTTCGCGGCGACAACCTCATTCTCCACCGAGTTATCGGGCCGTATGGCCTGGCCCATATCACCAACTTCCAGCCCAGGAAACGGTTGTCCGTCTAGCAATGCGCTGTCATGCAGGGGGATGAAGGCATTGAATACCGTTCTGTCTTAAGCATCACGGCCAGGGAGCATAGCACAGTTTTTGCAGTGCAGTGCAGTGCCCTCGTTCAAGGGTCGGCCGGCAGGCAAGCTGATCGGTTGGTTCCTGTGTGCCTCTCAAGCTCCCTTCATTGGCCTCGGCCAAACTTGGGCCCATTCGCCGAGAGCTAGTCCCCTCTGTCACCTCTCCACCCTCTGCCTAAATTTGTTCGTGTCTCGGCAATCTGCCATTCTTGCCCATCCCAAGTCATCTTTCATCCACCATTCCTCTTCTCACAAGAGCGGGCTGCGCACAATCGGCAAGCACGTTTAACTTGACAAAATCAGCCCGTCAAACCCGTCGATTTTACCACATCAAATACAAAACTCTTTACGAACCGACGCGAGCCACCGAGGCCACTCGAGACGAGAGCGTACGCAGCACGCAACGAGGGAAGGGAGGCAATGCACGCCCGACATTAAGACGCCATTCCAGTCAGAGATCCGACCCACGCTCGCAAAGCAGCAGTGCAGGGGGCTGTGGGCTTCGCTGCCTGACAAAAAGGTGCTCGACGTGGCGCGGAAAAATATTTCGTTCGCGTGGTATCAATTCAACACGACACTTGTCATGATTCAGATGCTGGAGTCTAAGGCGGAGGAGGAAGGGATTTGGAGCAGCAGCTCGGTCCTCTTTGGCGACGGAAGCAACAGCCACGAAGAACCTGAACTGTCTCATAGCTACTGGCTGGATGTGACCGACAGTGGTGCCGCATTCTGGTGGAGAAGATGGGAGCTACGAAGATCGAGATGCGAACGCATTTGCAAAAAAAAGATTGAGCTAGACGTATTTTGAGGGGTGGAACGAGGCTATTTGAGGCCCATTGCGGCGGATGAGGACGATAAATATCGCGACGCCATGAACGAAACATGGGGGCACACAAGATTAGAACCTCCTTATCCTCCTCAGCCGACGACTCGACGAGCGACTGTTCGACAGACGACTCCTCGACAAACGACTCTTCAAGCATTGAAATCTCAGCAGCCAGGGAAATTTGGCAATATCACGGCAAGACAGGGCGAGAAAGCCCGGTCAGGAGCACAGGAAAATAAGGCGCATCTCAGGACTACGACACGGGGGAACGAGGCACCAAGGAAAGCCCGAGAAGTCCCAGGCAACAGCACCAACTCAGGTCCAGTCGGCGGCAACAGCTTCGCATCGACAGCAGCTATGGGAAAGTCATCAAGAATCGCGTACGGCTTGAGCCCCGACAACATCATCCGCATCGACGACGACAACGACAACGACAAGCGTAGCATACGAAAACGGCCAAACCCCAAGACAAATCAATCTCCAGCCAGCAGCCGAGTTATCGACGCTAGGGTCGACACGAAAAGGCAGCGAGGACGCACGCAACGGCCTAGAAAGATCACCAGTTCCGACTCCGCAGTCCGCTGAAGTGCTAGTAGAGCGCCTAAAGGGTACGTACGACTTTGCTGAACAAGCATCAACAGAAATCGCACCACTGGCGAAGCTTGGCTTGACCCATGGGCGATCTTTGCCCACAGTGCAGCAGGCTCGCACCAACGTTGGCCCTGGGAGTGCCAGAGGGCGGACATCCGGGCGGCGAACATTTCCTTTTGTCGGCAAACTTGGTGACTTCCTAGTGTGGAACCGATCCAGCTGGTCCGCTTTTCCCAGGAGAAATTCAAATGCTCATCCTCGGACACGATGTCGATATAGCAGATCCGGTTGATGGCCATTCTATCAAGCACAGTGGCGAAAGAACCTTTTCGCGCAATCTCTTGGAATAATGTGGCCAGAGTCGAATCAGCCTAGAGAGAGTTGACACCATCCTCTGCATTGACGGGGTCTGCTGAGGATGGGTGTAAGGATGATGTGCTGCCTCCGAGGGATGGTAGTTCTCGTTCGCGCGCAGTTCATTCTCGCGTGCGAACGACTGCCCAAGATGATCGATCTCGAACTGACACCTCCATCGACGCTCAGATCTAGATTGCTTATCAAGGATCGACACTCCGATCAGTGTTTCGATCGCCCCCCCTTCCGGAAGACGGCGAAGGCAATATGTTGTTGCTACAAGAGCAAGTTGTGTTGTCGGTCACGCTCGGCTCTCGGTTATTCAAGCTCAGTCCCCCGTGTTCAAGCGCCGGCCCAGGACAGGGGTGGCTCGCTCAAACAGCGCAGATTGCTGTCGCGGTCGAATGGTGGATCTTCTCGGCATCCTCGCAGCTAACATGCCCCCACGTAACAAGATAATGCCAGATTCCTTGAGCACGAAGCCGTTTCTGGAGGGCGTGGCTCAATGAGCTGACGAAGTTCAGTCTTTCGATTGCCACGTATCGACTGAAGAGAGCCCTCTCTGTCAATGAGTTTGAAAAAATCAAAGCCGAGCATGAGGAGAAGGAGAGACCTCTCCGGTGCTTGCGCTCCCTGCACCGGTACCTTGGCCCTTCGAGCCCAAAACCGACAGCCGTAGCGCCAGGAGTCAGAAAGCCCACCCCCAAATTGAAAGTCGATGCAGAGGGGGCCACACAACCTGAGTTGACATGGTCTGAGTTCACATTGTCCCAAGTTCACACAACCGCGAATCGGGGCCTTGAGGCCGTGGTCATTTGGTTTTATTTGCAACTGAACTGATAATAGGGTTGAATCGACCATCAGCTCCGATAAGACTGGCGGACGACCAGTCAAATGCGAGCACGATATCAAATATATGGAGGGCGATGATGACCATTTGTGAGCTTTCCTAGCTGAGGTTCCACCACCACTCTCGGAGAGTCGGTGTCGTCGACGTGACTCTTTGCCGTCCGCAATGCTCGCCCGTTGTTGCAGAACCTGCCAGCCCATGGTGCCCTCTTAAAATCGTACAATTTTCCGGGTGATGAATTTCTTGGCCCACAAGTCCATTCGAACACCTTTCGCTATCTCATCCTTTTCTTTTCTTCTTCGCGACCCGCGGCCCGGATTGCCCCACGCATATCACACCTTCTAAAGATTTAGCTCAGTGTCGTCCAATGTGTGAGCACGATGTCGCTCTGCCATAATGGCGCCCTCCAATGTTTCTGTCGTGGTCCAATATCACAGTCACTACCGACCAAAAGGCCATCACCAGAGGAATTCAGATGTCGGTTTTTTTTGGCAAACGATCGCTCCAAGAGGCCGACGCGAGCTGCACTCTCAAGACAACCTCGGTGCACACTGTGCTACATACACTGACACATCTGACTGTCAAAAATCCTCTTCTGGCATTCCCCAGTTCGTCACCACTGCAAACAAGGGAAAAAGAAATTTCTCCCGGTGTGGCATAGAAGAACTTGCTGTGCTCGATTGCTGTGCTCTACTCCCAAACCGCTGAGCTCCTTGGCTCTCCTTCCTTTTCCTCGTTCCATTGCCTTGTCCCTTGGTATGCAGTCGGGTTGTCGGCTACTGCTGGAGCTGCTGCAAATCACCACCGCTCCCACACCTTTATTCTTCAGCGAATTCTCGGTACTCCGTAATCCTCGAGGCGGCTAGTCAATTGCAAACTAAGATATCGACGAAAATGGAACGTGGCGGAGGCCCATTGGGACGGCAAGGAACGAGGAAAATCAGTCGAACGCAGACGAGGATCGGCAGGACCAAAACACAAAACCGGAACGCAAGAAAAGAGTGGACATGTGAATGAATTAAAGCGAAGAAGAAGTAGCCAATAAGGTCGCGCGCGTCTGAAGCAAGTCGATGGCGTAACAACAGGTGGACGTTTGCGCTATTGCGGCCGAAACACCACCCCTCCCAACAACAACAACCATGACCCGACTCTCTCTTTGGTCACACAGGCGAAAGCGCACAAAGACCCTGGCCACCCAGATCCAACTCATCTCAGGTTTGCCTGTTAGCAGACTGTCCATTTGACGTGGTTGTCCGAGCGGTATCCGTCTAAAGGTCTTCCGCAGCCGCCCCTAACGGGACGTAGTTGACACCCTTGGAGTGATGCGCCACATTGCGCGCTCGCTAGCACATAGCAGCACAGGGTTGCATAGAGCAGCCAGAGTAGCGCTTCGCTGACGGAGAAATTTTGCACCTCTCCTTCGCAGGTTGGACGGTGGCTATCTCTCCACTTAATGTCTGGCACTGGAGGCTCGTATCCCGGATCAAGTGGGGGCCAATGGGTCTCCGCTACAAAAAGGCCAACGTCACCCACCCGGAGCTGGGCGTCACGGTGCAGTTGCCCATCATCAGCGTCAAGAGACCTTCGTCTGTGTAGTATTCTTGTGGCCTGAAGAGCTTCAAGTCTTCGAAAAGCAAAAGACCTGCGTTCGCCAAAGTACAGGCAGCAAATGCGCTCAACCTGACCTGGGTGCTCCAGCAGCAGAAGAAGAAATGGGAACAGAACTGGGGAAGAGAAGGAAACGCGCGCCTTATCCACCCTTGACGGGAAGGGTTATTGGATATGTTGGGTATGATTGTGTCCGATACTTCGAGCCCAAGACCGCTCGGCCTAGCGAATGTGTAAGGCAGCATTGGGGAAGGTGTTGCTGGTTTGGGGTAATGGTTGCAATTCCCCGAGGCGCTGCATTTCCACAGCGCCTAAAGTGAACGAGGTGTCGAGAGTCGCCCAATTCGCGACATCGGCCGTGTTGGTCGAGGCGCCCGAGGCGCTGGAGCTCGAGGAAGAGCCGGAAGAGCTACTGCTGGCGTTGGAGAAGGCCAAGGAGCTGGCGAGCCAGATGAAGAACATTGCCAGCGTGGACGTCGTGGCCGGGAGCCACTATCTGCAGGAAGACAATCCACACCTGATCGGGAGGGAGACGAGGAGCTTTATCGAGCGAGTCTGGAAAGAACGGGAGCCGAAGCCGGCCCTCTGAGTCCCCGTAGTAATTGTCCCTACAGCCCTTACAGAGAGGTGGGCATCGTTTCTGGCGCGGTAGTCTCTGGCAAGACTGTCGTCGGGGACGCCGCTGCCCCGAGTCGGTCGCTCGCTAGAGAATGCGCAGGCCGCGATCGATGGAATGGCATTGGGCTTGCCCGAGCGGCTTCAAGCAGGTGGTAGTTGAGAATATGGGAACGTAGGCGGAGAAGTTGTAGACGAGGTATTGCTTGTTTTCCTGTCTGATAGAGTCAGTCAATGGCGTAAGAACACCCAGCACGTTCCATGATATTGAGAGTGTGAGGGTGCTCTTGGGCGGCAGCGGTCCGCTTGAGAATCCACTTGTAAATGTAACAAGGCAGATGTTGCGTAAAGATTGAGTGATGATGTGACTGGCAAAATTCTCTGCTGGTGCCTGCCAGATTTGGGATTTGTAAGGGGCAGGCGCGACTCGCATGCTCAGCCTTGTCGCAGATGCGCGGAAACCAGTCATGCATTACAGAAAGTCAGAAGTACCAGGGCGCTTTATATCGCGAAAAGCCCTTCAAGGCCGCGAAGAGGAAACCTGCCCCCCAGCCCCTGCCCTGACCTTGCACAAAAGACCTGGCCCTCACAAAGAGCACATCTGTGGGTGAAATGCAGAGTATCTTGGACGCGGAAACGCAAGAGACTAAGCCACATCATGTGTGACAACTCAGTGGAGGGACCTCTTCTGCGGTCTCTCAGTCGCATGCTCCTTCTTGTTGTTTGTACAATCGCACGTCTAAGCCTCTCAGGTGGATGCCGTGCCTCTGCATTCGTCAATGATCAACACGTCTGAAGCTCTGTGTCAGTATGGGCAAGTAGAATATCGAGTTCAAGAACTCGGGCGGTGTCACCCTGCGCGGCTGGTTCTACACGCCCAACAATGCCCCTGCCGGCAAGCTCCCGACGCTGGTGATGGCGCACGGCTTCACAGCGCTGAAGGAGATGACGCTGGACTTTTATGCCGAATCTTTCCCTGAATCTGTGCCTCAAGTATTTTGTCTTCACCTTTCTCTCGCTGCTCTACTTCTCTGAGGAGAAGGCTGAGGGTTTCACAAAAAGTACGGCCTGGTCATCTTTCCGCCCTCCATCTTTTCTTCCATTGCCATCTCTTCGTAAGTACTCACTGTTTGGTCCCGGTCTCGAGGACCACAGGCGCAGACACTGGAGTACTTCCCGCTTCGCACGAAAACCCGTGGTCCGGCCTAAACCCTCCCTGCTCTCCCGCCCAATGTCGATCCCCTCGACGTGGACCCCGACTCCGAGTCCTACGACTGCCTGGACCAGATCCTGAGCCTGTTCCGCGCCAACACCTTCTTCCGCAATTTTGAAATCAAAGGTTTCTCCCTCACGCCCAAGCCCTTGGACAACTAAGTACCACGCTGTTAGTTGTTGCAGATCTCGTTGGAAATTGCTGAGACGCACATCCAGTTCAACCACCTTGGTACAATCTATGATTTCGAGTTCAGGGTGTGGGCCGGCATGCAACATGGCAGTTCCGTAGAAGGAGAGTCACATGGACGCTGCGATGAGCGGATTCAAGAGCTCCATTGGCGCAACCTTGGCACTCGAAATAAATTGTTATGTGTGTTGGTCAATGACGGTCCCGTCCATCAAATGGATGACAATCGAGGGGCCATTCCGTCTCAGCTGTGAGGATTGTTGTCTATTTGCCGACGATGAATGCTGGGGGCTAGAGAAAGGAGAGTCGAAAAGAAGACTTGGTTCAGGATTAGGAATCAGCCCGATGGTCGCATTCCGACAGGTTGGAATGCATATGTGAATGGCACGACGTATTTTGCCTATGGCGCAGGCAACGACGATTCTCCCGGGGGTCTCGGCGCCGCAAGACTTTTGCTTCTGAACAACGACGATGATCCTATCCCCTGAAACAGAGGAGACAGCTTGAGTTTTGACCCGTACTTCGTATTGTATGCCCTGGTCTGCGAACAGTCTCCAGACTTGATAGAGAGAGGTGGTAACCTGCAGCCTTACGGGATCCTTGCTAGGACAGCGTTCGAGGCATTATGTGTCCGCACTGCATCAGTCTCTCAGACTCGAAATTCGCAAGCCATTCTCTTAGAAACCCATCCTACGAATACCAACAAGACAGAACTATCAGTTGGCTCAATGAGTGAGGAGGAAGCAGGATTGACAATTTCTGAAGAAATGCGCAGAGACTGGCTCTTTGGAAGGGCGTGCAGGACAGCGCGCAGTCTGCCGCGTCGTGCAGACACTCTCCCTCGAGCCATTGAACTGAAGAGCCTGCAGGAAGAGAAGGATATACACGAAAAGCTGGCGCTGCTGCTGCAAGAAGGTACCAGCCTCCAGGTCTCGCAGAAGGAAGATACAGGCCAGAGACAAATCAGTGGTATGGGCGAGTTGCATCTTGAGATCGCCCACGATAGGCTTGTCAATGATTTGAAGGCCAAAGCCCGCATGGGCAAGATTGCAATTGGTTATCAGCTTCTGATGGACTTTCTTCAATGCATCGACTCGTTTCTCAAGCTCACTTCGCGTATCATCCAGAGGGTCGGTCCTCTCATGCGAAGCTGTGATAAAGGTCAAGGCAGGTTATTGACATGCAAACGCTTTGGCCTTCCAATTCTGACAAACAGGCTTGCACTCGCCAACTGGATAAAAACGAGCGTCGTTAGTTGGAGTAGTTCGAGATTGGGCTCGCTGTGCAGCGCAAGCCCCCTTAGCATGCCTTGCCATCATTTGCGTCCTCTTGGTTTTCTGGGTGAGAGGTACATCTTTAGGGGAAGACTCACTGTAACCGAAAGTGACGAAGCAGCTATTTGCATCAACGTTAAACTTCGGATTTGTGATGGGCTGAACCCGTGAGATGATTTGGTGTCCTCTCAGGCACCTGCGTTTCCGTGGCAACGGGTTGTGTACAAGTAGATGGACAGAAGGCAAACTACAAGAGCCCGCGCAAGGGATGTGCCGGGACCAACAAAGCTCGGGCAATAAAATCATACTCCTGCCCGTGATGTCTAAGTGTAGAGCTGATTTCTCTGGGGTTGGCTGACTGCGGCAGTCTGGTGGGCAATCACCATGATGATCTCTCCAAGTCGTCAATTTCTCACAGCTACCGTCTTTGTCGACCTTTATCTGCACATATCGATTGCTACCACTGCAGTCCAGCATCTCTCCACAAGAAAGAGAGAGAGATGACATATCGTACCCTCTAACCTGTTCAGCGTCTGAGAATGCTCAGAACACTGTGGAAACCCTTGCATTCCGCGGCAGCTTCAGTCTTCCACTGGATACGAGTCATTATCTCGGCCACGAGGATAAGGTCGATGATTAAGGGCGAGCTCGGCCAATAAGGAGTCCTCGCAGACATTGAAAATGCTGGTCGTCTAGTGGCCCCCCATGAAGATTTCGGTATAGTACTCGTCTAGGGTTCGCTTATTGTCTCCAACGGCGGGCATGCACTTGATGACAACGGTGTGGCCGCCTCTATATCATCCCGACTGAATCCAATACACCGGACCAGTTCCCCGAGGACTTGCGAGCACTGAGTAAAGGCTATATATGCTAAGATGAACTCTTTGCCTCTCGAGTGATGATGCATCATGCCTCAAGCTAACGTCGGTCGCTGTGGGTGTCGCGCCGGCCGCGACTTGGTGGCCCCCATTGTGTCCATTCCGGAGAAGCATTAGGCAACCCCCGCTCATTTCGTGTCCCATGAGGATGGGCTAGTCAACACCGTGGTTCCAGAACATTTCACGAGGGTTGAATATGTATTTTGATGCTCGCGGCTGAAAGGCCAGTTCGCGATGGGCGCCGCCATCGTGACGGGCGTCCCGTCCGGGGCTTTCGCTCCAGGCGTCGTCGCGGGGACTGAAGAGTATATAGCCCCGTTCAGGCTCCATAGCCCGTTCGGGTCCATCTGCGGCCGGAGAGATGCTTTCCTGCTGCTCTTTGTAAGGACCATATCTATATCACCAGGCCGTGTACCCCCGTCATTAATAAATCCGCGCCTCTGATATACGAGCCTACATCTGATAAGAAAAAGATAATGGGCTTCGGTCTGCGAGACCATGCAGCGGAATTACGCAGTGGCAGGCGTCCATATCAAAGCTGTTCAGGCCTTTGGGGAGAGATCAAGGCATCGTAAGACAAGTTGCCTCAATCCATACTAGACACGATGGCGCCCATCGAGCGAGCCGTTAGATTTTCTGGGCAGAAAAGTGCATCTCGTGTTCAATGTGTCGTGCGCTGGATTGATGGTGACCAACCTGAATCAATTGGGGGTTCGAGGGATGCAGGGCGCCTCCTTGAGATAATTCCGTCAGGATTTCAGGTGCTGGTCATGGACAACCCACCCAGGACAATCGCGTTGGCTCCCGAAGGCACGGTTCTAGCTTGGGCAAAGTTCCGCAATATCGGCAGATAACAAACTACCAAACCACCGCGCTTCTTCACTGCCCTGATAGTCGCCATGCGTGGAAGCCCCGGGGAACAAAGCTTTGTCCAAGCTTAGCTCTCAAGGCCATTAACCCAAGCGCAGACTGGGTCGGTTGTCATCAGGATGAAAACTTCGGAAGGAGGTACGCAAACTACACAGAAGAATGGAAAACCGCTGCTGAGCCACTAAAATGAACAGGAAGAGGCTGTGATGCACGACTATCTCAAGCAAGAGAACCCATATAAGATTGCGCTGCAGGTGCCACTCGGAACGGTGGCGGCGGGGGCAGTTGCAGCATAGATATGCGCCTCTGATTCGAACATCCTGCCGCATAGTCCGAACTCGTTGGCAGACGGCTCTTTAACATCCGGTTGACAACATCTTGTGTCACGGTGGCACAGGTTTTCGAAGCCAGAGTCCTCAGATCAACAAACTTATAGGTTCAAGGTGGAACATGAATGCCAGTTGCAGAGAGAGGCTCTTGTAAGACAGCTGTAAAATCTTTGGCTCATGTATGGGCTAGGGCCTCTAGCATATTGGACGCTTGGTCTGGTAACCCTAGAGCCGCGAAACAATGTTGATGATGCGTCAGAGCTCGAAATATTAACCCTCATCACTGAATCCTTTGATAAAAACGACCTTGAGCTAACGGACTCGCCTGTAGCCCTTTAACATGTGCATCTGAAAAAGCTTTCTCTGCACCGCTCTTCAGACTCTCCAGATCTTCGAGGTAGCTCCTGTGGACCTATGCGCCGAGCTTGGAGATTGTCTCTGCAGATACATCGCTTCGTGCGAGTCCCAGCACCTCGTGGCCGTGATCCAGGAGTTCTTTGATGGTTGAGACAAGCCAGCTTCGCGCCTTGGATGTCGCGAGCAAACTGAGCAAAGACGGGCCTCTCCCGGGCCATTTCCGCAAACTGGGCCTCCGTACCAGTTCAACTTCATCTTCAGCCGATTCATGACGGGTGCGGTTGCAGATTGGCGCGGATTCATTCGGCAATCCTACGAGTAAGGAGGGTCCTTATTGAGCCAAAGCGGCTAACATTGCCGCCGAGAGCCTACATTTGGAACAAGGTAGTCCAAAAATGAGGCATCTCAGCCAGAACCGTGTGCTGCGGGTGGGTACGCGGTCCCAGCCCCGTGCCGCTACAACGTGCAGGTGATTATCGAGGGAGTGGATTTCTTCTCGTGCGGGATCTGGCTGTTGGGAGGTCAGGCCAGACGGAGTATGAGGAAGTTGTGCGCCATTTCGAAGACGGCCGGAAAAGGGGGGGGGGGGGAAGAAAAAGAAAGCCCCTGGCCTAGGGCTCCTGCTCGCTGGAAGCCCGTGGGCATGTGCGTCGGAGGTATTGGCTTATTTCAGCTTCTCAGCGCGACAGGGATCCTCCGGGAAGCGGGAAAAAGACGCGTAAGACAAAGGACCACACGCTTTTGGCCCAAGGTCGCCAATCCTGGTTCCGCGGCCGTATCATTACGTGTTCTGCAGCCCCGTCGCGTTGTGCCAGGCTCCCGGCGGCGAAGTGCAGAGCGCAAAGCGACGTGGCCGAAGCTGGTCCATCTAGCCGAGGTAGGTGGCATTCGAGCCCAACAGGCTGCAGGAGCCGGCGCCGCAAGCAGGCCAAGATTCGGAACACTCGTTGTGTCCCCAGCCGGGGAGCGACTTCTTTCGGCACGAGCTTGCCTGACGCTGAGAACACCTGCAGCTTGACCTGCTGCAGCTTTTACCACGGGTTGGTTCGACGTGAGCCCCAAAATGACGGCGACATCGCCGTTGCGTCAAGCCGACGTCGTCTTTCAAGGTGGCACGTCCTTGGATATCATTATCGAGAGCCCAGACCGCGACCGTCGGTTCGAGGACATGAAGGAGGTAATCGAGAAGCATTTGGCCGCCATAGCTGGAGGGAAAAGTGCCAGCCAGGCAGTGCCGAGGTCAGGGGTTTCTGGGACTGTATCAAGTCCAGAGTCCAGCACATAAGGGCACGGCACAATGCAGCCGCCAGCCATCCCGCCCTTAAGCCGCGGGCGTCCGCGCAGCTCAGCTCCGGGGAAGGTGTATGCACCGGCCAGTGAGTGGGCTGCGACGACCAGTCAGTCACGCTACCAGGCGCGTGTGGGTCCAGGTCCAGGTCGCGCAGCCGGACCGGATAACCTGAGGTCCCTGAGCCGCTTCGTTGTGCCGCCACGCCCAAGTCTGAGGCATCCCCCTTACCGGTGGCACGCACCCTTCAAGTTCTCGCTGAATTGCCCATGTGGTCCGCCGTCTCGTCTCGGTGGCGGCCTGGACCCTCCCTGGCCACGACTCACTCCGCTGTGGGCCGCTCTGGGCCGCCATGGTGTCCGCCGCAAAACAACCGGGAGCCCCGACCGACGGCGTCGCACGCACGGCAGCCTTTGCCGCGAAAACGAATGCCCAGGCCGATTCCGTAGCTCGCAGGCAGGCAGGCAAGCAGGCAGGATCTCGACGAAGCAGCCCAGCAGCCCAGCAGGTCGCTTCTCGCCAGGCCAGTTGAGTTGCCCCAGCGGCATTCCGCGCAGGACACGAAGATGCAAAGACAAATTGCAACACAAGGCCCCTGTGGCCGTGCCGTCGACCGCACCGATACGCGCGCGAGACAGCACGAGACGAAGATCCACGAGATGCTTCGACAAGGCAGTGCGTGTGTCGAGTTTGAGACGGCGAGCGAGTGTGTGCCACTTTTTTCCCACACGCCAAAAAGTGGTCGATGCCAAAGTGGCCGATGCTAAAGTTGCCCAAGACAAAAGGTGTCAAAGGGCAAAAGTGGTCAAAGTTGATCAATGTCAAAAGTTGCCCAAGTCCCAAAGTTTGGTCAATCAAACACTCCAACACACCCACACACTCAAGGAGTACAAAAAGCGTGTTTTTGATCGACAGTTGGACAAAAGTGGTCAAAGAGCAAGAGAGCAAAAGTGGTCAACGTGCAAAGGTGGCCAACGCCAAAAGTTGCCCATGCCAAAAGGTGGTCAAAATGCCCAAGTGCAAAAGTTGCCCAAGGGTAAAGTGGCCAACGTGCAAAGGTTTGGCCATCAAACACACAAACACACTCGCGGCGGCATCGGCAAGTAGTTTTGCAGTCGACAGGTTCGCCAAAAGTGGCCAAAGTCCAAAAGTTGCCCAAGTGCAAAAGCTGCCAATGCCAAAAGTTGGTCAATCAAACGCTCCAACACATTCAAGGAGTACGAAAAGTGTGGTTTTGGTCGATAGTTAGTCAACACGCAAAAGTGGCCCAAGACAAAAGTTGGTCAAAGTGCAAAGTTGCGAAAGTGATCAAAGTTAGTCCATACTAAAAGTGGTCCATGCTAAAAGTTGCCAATGCCAAAAGTTAGTCAATCAAACACTTCAACACACTCAAGGAGGACGAAGAGTGTGTGTTTGGTCGACAGGTGGTCAAAGTGCAAAAGTGTGGCTCCCAAACACCCTCACGGCGTCCGACCTGCAGTGTTGCGGTCGCCGGTCGTACCGAGGGAGTCTGTCTGGCCTTTTACGCGGTGTCTTCGAACACCACCACATTCCCAAGGGAGGCTCTGCCACCCTGCGTTCGCCGGCCCACGGCTCCCACCCTCGACTCTCTCTCTCCCCCCCGAGAATGATAGGTAGAGCCGAGCCCGCGTACGACGGTGAGAGAGAGAGAGTGCCCTTTGAGCCTAGCCTGGGCTGATCCAGACAGAGTTCGGGGTCATCCGCCTCGTTACCTACCGCCCTTGATAGCCTAAAAGTCAGAACAAGACTAAATCGTCGATCTCTAAATCTCGGATTTCTAGATCTCGGATACTTAAATCTCGGATCTGGGATCGGAATCTCGGATCTCAAATCTCGGATTTCGGATTTTTTAGATCTCGGATACTTGAATCTCGGATTTTTAAGTGGCTCTCTAGATCTCGGATCTGTATTTCGGATTTCGGATTTCGGATTTCTATACCTTAGAGTATCTAAGGGCGGGGAGTTAGTGGGTGAAAGTTGAAGTTCTGGAAGTGGTTTCCGACGTGCACAGTGCGAGTGCGGGATATCAGAGTGCCCGGGAAAAGTTTGCGTCTGCCTGCGCTTGCCCAAAGTCTCAATTCTGCGAGTGCCCTTCTCCCTCTGCCCTCTCCCTTCTCCCTACCCCGTTCTCGCTCTACTCTACTGTAAATTGCGCTGCACTGCTACAGACTTCACTGAACTCCCTCAAAGACATTTAGCGTCCGATCCAAACCGCACTTTCTTTGTCCATGTGACTATTTGACACCACCCCTCGATACAATCATTGGCCTACCTCTTTTCGCCCTCTTCCTTCGATTAGCAGCGCCCGGACAGTCTGCGAAGCCAGCAATTCCTAATTCGTCCCACGTCCCACAAGAGTGCTAAAGACATTCCTTTCAAACCAGAGACATCAGATAACAGCGGTTTGAGTGTGAAGAGGAGGCGGAATCATCGACATAGAGACTGGGTCGTCGTCGTCGTCGTCAAGCTGGTCCAGTGGCTGATGCTTTGGGCGTCCCCTTTGCCTGCTTCTTCCCCTCCTTGCCCTAGTCTATCCTCCCCATAGGTGGAAATGACAGACCCTTCGCACGCAACTGCCCTCAAGCTGGTTCTCCTGGCGATTACGGGAGGCGGCTGGGCTGGCTGGGGCAGCACCGACGGAAACACCTGTGGTGGCGGGTCAGGTCGTCTCGAGAATACTACCGCTGCGGAGGGCAGAGTCACAGCGTGGGAAGCGCTTCCTGACCTTGAGTGTGGCTCTCGCCAACAACCAACGTCCTCCTTTTCTGCCAGTCAGCGGCGTTCCTTACAGTCCTTTCCAACAGCCGCCCGCGCCTCCTTTTCTGCCAGTCGGCGCCGTTCCTGGCGGTCTTTGATCTCATGTTGACAAATCGGCAGACGCTGCGAGTATTGGGGTAAGCGGGGCAGGACGATAGAAGGTGTCGAGGAGCATCTCGTCCTCGTCTCCGTCCTCGTCCTCGTCCTCGTCTTGCTCGTCCTCCTCTTCTCCAGTCGCCGAATTCTCCTCGGCTGCGGCCACGCTGCCGCCCTCGCTCTCGGAGCACTCCCACGGTTTACGTGGTTGTTGAAAGTTGTATAGGCACCAATTGCGCATTGCCCCGCCACTCCTAGGCCACTCTCTTGGCTGAGATAAAGATGACGCCATCGTCGTCATCCTCGTCGCCCTCGTCGTCGTCTTAACTAGTTTGGGCCTCTCGCGCCCGCTTGTGCTCGAAGGTGTCCAGGAGCCTCTCATCCTCATCCTCATCCTCGTCCTCGTTCTCGTTCTCGGGAGCCCGAAGGCCATCCTCGATGGCTTGGAGCCAACGGACCACTCTTTCCATCGGCTCCTCTGGAGCCTCCGCCGTAGCTGGCGGTTCGTACGTATCGAGAAGCATATCGTTGCTCTCGTTGCCTCTTTGGCTGAGAAATGTATTTGAAGATATGTCTTTCGCGTAAGGTTAGTTTCGTAATTCTTAAATACACAATTAGAAAAAGGTTTGAATGGAGGCCTTGGTCTGTAGGTGTTGGTGTTATAGAGGTACTTACTTACTGGGTAGTGATGATTGTGAAGATGTAATATTAGTTATGGTGGCTCGGTCGACTCACCTACTTCTGGTGGTGCGGTAGACTCTTAAAAGGAGGTTTCGGTCTGTAGGTATAGATACGGATGTAGTTAGGATTGCAGAAGATGTAGAACGGATAATCGAAAGAAGAGGGCGAAAAGAGGGAGGTATTGTGTCGAATTATCGGACACTCGTCGTACGCTGCTAATCGAAGTAGAAGTGGCAGGCATTGGGTCGATTGTATCGAATTGTCAATAAACGGAGAACCGTCGAAGCGGGAGGGCGAAAAGAGGCAGTTATTGCGAAGAGGTGGTGTCAAACAGGGATCGAACGCTGAGTTTGGGGGAGTTCTGTGTAGTGAGTGCACCGCAGTCACAGCGCAGCCTACAGCAGTGCAGCGTAGTGTAGCGCAGTTGTCACGGACCACTGATCCCTTGGGACTGTCACGTGCCACCTAGGATCAGATGTCTTGGCACGATCACGTGCCATTTGAGATATTGTTTCGCACACAGAACCTCAACCTTTTCAGATAGTCCTTCGTACTGCAATTTCATCAACTCATTGCCTGTTGAGGCTATCACATCGATTGGATCTGTGACTGTGATATCCCGGAAGTCTTTTCCGGCCGGCATAGTGCTGGGTGCAGAGTGAGTGCCTGGAAAAAGTTGAAATTCTGGGCGTAGCACAATCTCATCGTACTTTATACGCGCTACCCAAAGAAGATTTGCAGCATGAGACCCCAGCTTCCGTCCGCTCTTCCTCTCGAGCCTCCGCCCTGAACGATGATTCATGGGCATCGAGAAGCATCTCTTTGCTCTCCCGCTCCGATTCTGTATTTTGAGCCCGAAGGCTAGCCTCAACGGCTTCGAGCCAACGACTCACAATTTTCATTTTCTCTTCCTCCCCAGCCTCCGCCGCTCTTAGCGCTTCGTACGCATCGTGAAGCATCTCCTCGCTCTCGTGCCCTTGTTCGCTGCTGGATGGGTTTGAAGACATATCTTTCGCGCAGGGTTAGTTTCGTAGTTCCCAAGTACATAATAAAATAGTGTGAATGGAGGCCTCAATCTATAGGTGATGGTCTTATGGAGGTACTTACTGGATAGTGAGGATTGTGAATATGCAATATTAATTATGCTGGCTCGCACTCTCCGGCTTCTGGCGGCGCGGTCAACTCTTGAAAGGAGGCTTCGGTCTGTAGGTGCGGATACGGATATAGTTGGGATTTTAGAAGATATAGAACGGATAATCGAAGGAAGAGGGCGAAAAGAGGGAGGTATTGCGTCGAAGAGGTGGTGTTTAATAGGGATCGGACGCTGAATTTGAGGGAGCTTAGTGTAGTAAGTGAGTGCACCGTAGTCACAGCGCAGTCTATAGCAGTGCAGGCAGGGGAGGGTAGGGTAGAGGGAGAAGGGGGCAGGGAGAAGGGCACTCGCAGAATTTAGACTTTAGGTAGACGTAGGAACTCAGGCACCCGCAGAACTTCGAACTTTTTCCTGGCACCCAGCACTCAACTCTCTGTAGCGCACTCACTCACCCACCCACCCACATCTTGCAAACTTGATGGCGTACTTGTCCGAGTTCCATCGCCAGTTGAACTTTGCACTTGAACTTTGTCAGCGAAAACAAAACTTGCTCACTTGAAAACTTGCTCACTTGAGAACTTGCTCACTTGCCAACTGGAAACCCGCATTCCGGCACTGTTATCATGATTGCAGTCTTGGCCTGGTTGGCAGCCTCTTCTGCTCTGCTTGCTCTGCCTGCTCAGCCTACTATCCATGCCCTGCCCTGGTCTGTGCTGTTCAGCCTGGTCTGCGCTTCCCTTGCAATGTGACCTATCATATTTTGCCGTTCAAAAATATGATCTGCCAGCTTCGTCCTCAAAATATGACCTGTCAGTTTCCCTTCCTTGGAACATATGAGCTGTCACTTTTTCTCCTCGAAACCGTCCCCAAAGTGTGATATATCGTATTTCTTGACGGAAAGACAGCGCCCAAGTGTGACAGATCTTTTTTTTTGGACGAAAAACGGCATTTTGCACCCCAAAATGTGACCTATCGCCTACGCCGACTCTCGGAGCGGCCGAAGACCTGCAGCGGCGATTGCTTCTCTCACTTTGGTGTTGCAGAGCTACTTTGCGCAAATTCGCGCAGTTTTTAGCCAGATTTGCCCCAAATTGCCCGGAACTTGGCCAAATATGCCCTATTTTGGGCATCTGAGCTGCCTACGTGGCTGGCAGCCACCACATTTCGAGCCAGGTATACTCTTTCGGCCACGTGCAGAGAACGACCGTCTTATTGGCTCCATATCAGCGGGGTAACTTGCTCTCAAATTTTACACTCGCGCGACTGGCGCAGCTGCTCGATGGGTCTACGGGCTCACTGTTGGGACTTCTCGCTGCCGCTACTGGCGCATACTAACAGAGAATTAATTTGCTCAATATTTTTTCGTTCGCGCGGCTCCCGCAGGATAACGGGGTGCAACTCCCGCATTTGCAGCTGTTGATTCCGGGGTCACTAAGGGTCGAATTGCCCTAGCATGACTGGGCCATGGCACGCTATTCCTTTGGCGGATTTTGGACGCTAGCAGGTGCTACTTACACGCTGGAATGCCTCACAGGATTTTGCACACTAGCCAATACGATGATCCCTAATAGAACTTTTACACACTAGCGTATACATTATGACCATCCTGATAGGACTTATCACGCCAGCCTATGCATAAAATATCCCTAATAGGCCTTTTATATACTAACGTATGTAGTGTGACCATCCTATTAGTACTTTTATACACCTTTTTATACTTTTAAGACTTTAGACGCCCGCTTATGTAGTACAATAATCCCAGGACTTTATACGTTTACACATTCCTTCGTAGACTCTGGCCTTAAGAATCCCGTAGCTAGCTATATACATACTTAATTTATTAGCTACGATAAGGGCCTTAGTGCTAATCTCTATACGACTACCTTTTATAATTTCTAAGTCTAGCTACTAACTCTAAGCGAGCTAGACTATCGGTTCCATAATGTATTGTATACATCAGCTCGATTCCTACGTATGGACCTTACACTAGCTCGACGAATTATACTACACGCTGTGAGCGGTGAGTCTGCGAGCGCTACCATGTCGATTGCATACTACGCAAGTAAAGACTCGAACCCTGACGGGTCCATAACGCCACGTAAGCACTCTTTGCTTCTAGAACTTCTCTGCTTCCAGAACTTCCCCTCCGCCTCCAGGACGCATCCTCTCTGCTTGCCAGCACATTTGTGGATATGCCAACGCATTTGCCAACACATGCACCATGATGTGCGACGCTATTCCATACCGTGAACCATCTCACGCCATTCCACGCCATTCCAACCATCATGTGAACCCCGTCTGCCCAGCCAAACTCAACTCCAGTCCAAGTCGACATGGCCGTAGAACGCATCTACATTGCGGGGACAAAACGAAGCGCCCATTCCATGACCGTCGCGGCCTCACGACGTCCTCCAGATTCACCGCTACGACGCTGAATGCCGCTCTCAGGAGCGCATGTCAACTACGTGCAGCAGCAGGATGCGGTGTTGTGTCAGGGCCAGGCCTGATTTGTCCGGCGAGACCAGCTCGCACCGTGACCGACGCCTACAAATGCATCCCAGACCCTCAAATCTGCCTTGCCGTCGCTGCTCCTACCCTATGTCTAATCCTTTGGTCTCACCTGGTCCCTGGCATCGCACTAGTGGCACCGTAGTTATGCTTAATATGTAACCTATCATCTCGGTATCATCGTGGTTATGCTTGCTATAGCGTACTTCGGCTTTCGGTGGACGTAGTGGTGTCTCGCATACCTAGGTATTTTTAGGGCCGTAGGGCCTGCAGCTTATGCTATCGCGCTTCGGTGCCTTGTGTTCGAACTCTATGCGTTCCATTCTTATGCTGTCACTCCATTAGTGCCTTGGATTCTTACTTTCCATCTGTATCTTCGCTACCGAATCAGAGACAGCTCGCTCATGTAGACGCATGACCATTAGCACAGTCCTCGGGTCGAGAGCCACTCAGGCCGGCCAGAGGATTGAAGAATTCGCGCTGCCCACGGCTAAGCAAAGTGGAAGAAGTGAAAGTGGATATGATGTAAGGAATGGATATGCAAGGAATGTTCTTTCCTCTCTCCCTCCCCTCTCTCTCTGTCTCGGAAAAAAAAACTGTGGCCCCGTGAGGCAGTTCCCCCCACTCACTCATTACATATATGTCGTTGGGAAGCCGGCCAGCCTGCGTCCCCGCCATCCATCAAGACTCCAGGGCCATCTATATGATGTCACTGTTTTAACCGGCCCTCTTTGTCCGGTCGAGCCCCAAATCCCCTCTCAACCAACTCGAGTAGACTTCAGAGTGCTCGCCCCCCCTTCTTTAAATCGTAGCAGAACGCTTCGGGCCCCCATCGCACCCAGGCCCCGGCCGAGGTGGTCGCTGTTCAACATACACTGGTAGCAACTGCTGTGGCCTGGACCGGACACCAAGTCGTATTTGCCGCAACCGCCGTCCCATCTGTTGCAACCTCTGCCCCGTCTTCTGCAACGATTGCCCCATCTTGCACTTCACTTCCTTCCAAAAGGTCTCATCCGCCTCCCACATAAACTTGTAGCCTTGGTTGAGAGACAAGAGCGCCTGATCCAAGGTGACGATGGCCTAGAATACGACCGTCTGCTGAGCAATAGAGTTGATGAACTTCTGGAACACCCCATCGAGGCTCTGACAATCGCGCCAGAGACGGAAACATAAAGGAATGTCACGCGTAATGGCCGATATGCCGAACACAAGCAGCTGAAGGAGATGCCGTCGGACCACTTCGATCCACCCTTGCCTCTGCCAAAGCGTGAGGACCCTGCTGCAAGAGGTGCTGAGTTGGGAATCGGCAACGATCTTCGGTGTCTTTTCTAGGAAGGGACCGGCCTCGCTATTGATATAGCTGTCGGCACCGGGAGCATAGTTGCCATCGAGGTAGCCATGAATTTTGGGACCGGCCTCGAGGGTCGGACTAGACTTAACGGGAGCCCTCGGTCCCAGTTGTTTGATGCTACATCATCAGAGGTCAGTAAGCGTTCCACCCATTCATAACATAAGGTTTGAGAGGTGTTGGGCTGCTAACACGTTTTGGTAAAATGTCGATCGAGTCCTGTTGAGACTCTGTGTTCTCCCACGACAGCCACCACTGTGTAACGAACAGGCCCGCGACGAAGACTGCAGTCACCCCCATGCTGAACGGTATCGACAAAACCCTGAACTTCGGCCATGTGATGGAGCACACGCTGATGAATACCGAGACCGAAACCTGAAGACCCTTGGCGGCGGCAAAAAGAAAGTTCCCAGGACCGTCCGACTTTCGAAGCGACTCCTTAACAAGCGCGAGAGACTTCTGCCTTGGCGCCTCCACTGTCTTCTCTTCGATCCAGCCGAATACGTGTTCGACAATGTGGGTGGTGAGGGCCGCCCCGAGCGCTCGGACATGGCGGCCGATGCCGAGCTCGACGATGGAGTTGATGAACTCCGAGACGCCGACAGAGATAAAAAAATTCAAGAGCACGCTGAGCTTGAACCATGGAAGAAAATAGGACTGAAACATAGCATTGAGGATGGCCAGTGTTAGATACCACACGATTTCTCTAAGCTTTCGGACGGTGTGCTTGTCCAGACGCTTGTCCATTCCACACATCAGACGCACCACCAGGCAAATTGCGCTCCAGGCAAGGGCGAGGCGATGGCGGTATAGATGGTATCGAGGTAAGGTATCGGCAGCCACATCGCCGGTAGGGGGTTCCATGTTGTCATTGTTGTTTGTGGTGTCTTGCCCATTGGTGTCATCTTTGCTGGTGGTATGGCCGTTGGCGGTATGGTTGTTGGAGGCACGGCCGTGGTTGTTAGAACGGTCGTCGCTACTGTCGCCTTTCGTCAGACCCAGAAGTGACGTTCGCTCGGTCACCATTTCGATCGGTATGGACTATGGATGGGTAGTTCGCTGGCTAATGGCACTGTCGGTACTGGTCTGTCCAGCAGTGCGGAGCGAATGAAATCGGCCGGGACAAAAATGCCCGTGGCACGCAGCAACGCGGCGACAGGAAGACGGAAAAACGAGGTTTTGGAAGACGCAGAAACTGAATAGAGACAACGTTTCAACCGGCGAAAAACGAGAGAGACCACGGGAACGGGGAACGGATAATGATAAAGAAATCGATCTATTGACGCATACATACCACACCGATAGCCAGGTGCGAGGAATTTGAGACAAGTCCCCTCTTCAACAGATATATTCCCACCCTTGCAGGCATGGTCGGTCGAGCCTCGAGCTGATGCAGGCACTTGCGGCCGCCACTCATTCCTAATTCACCGCACTCATAGCCGCACCGTCATACCCTGGGTGGTGGTAAACTGGTCTATTCAGCAACTCGCGGTGTTAACGTGGCTTCCTCATTTATTAGCTGACGTGACTGGATGATCTACGAAGGAGAAGGGAATCTCTGACGCGACGTTGGTGGATCTTACTGGGCAGACCTTTCCAACAGGACGACGCGCTCCGTGTCGGTGGCCCAGTCGACGAGCATCCATTCGTCCTTCGCCCAGTCCCTCGCCGCACACGCCCCCTCCTTCGTCCAATTCCGTCCATTTCATTTCCCTGTCACTGCATATTGGGGATTTCAGCCCTGGCCGCACGCAGAACTCATATACCAGAGTATATGCACGCACCGTCTGCATGCATTCACCATATCTCAAGGCGTTCGTTCGTTTTAGCGAATTATTCTCGTGGCAAAATAATGCTAAGGCTGGTGGTATAATCGCTGATCAAGAGACTATGTCGAACTCATGTTCCTGAAGACCTGATATGGTTGGATTATGGTCCATGGATGAGTTTGTCAAGCCCGAGTGGCCCGCGCCAGAGGCCCGCGCCAGAGGCCCGTGCCAGGGGCTTGTGTCAGAGGCTCGCTGCACACGTCTGAGCAGGAACACACCCATTGCTTCATTTACCACGAGCCTCTCGTTATTATCTCGCGCTCTTCCTCCTCTTTCTTCTTCTTGTCACGCGCCTCCTTCACCTCCCAGATCTTCCTCTGGATCTTCCTCTTGTTCGCCTTCAGCTGCGCGGTAGCGGCCAACATCTTCTTGAGGGCCTCCACTCCGAGCGGCATGGTGTCGCAGTTGTAGCGGTATGACAGCGAGTCCGGCGCCTTCATGCTTCTTTGGCTCCTGTTCTGACTCTTCTCTACGACGACAACAGGGTTTTTTCCTTCTTCCTCGTCTGCTATGGGGCCCGTCCACCGCGGCAGGGCGCCGACGCCGCGGCGCCACGCCAGCGCCGCCTTCTCGTCGCCGGCCGCGAGGGCGACGGCCTCGGGATCCAGCACAATGAGCTCCCCCTCCTCGGTAAGCGTCGCCATGCCAACCCGTAGGCGACCGTGGTCCGGCTCTCGCAGGAACACGAGCGTGTGCTCTCCGTGTACGATAGGGTAGGGCCCGCGCATGGGCAGTGAGTGCATTTCCGTGATCTTACCGCCCATCAGCTCCCGCGTGGCGAGGCTGAAGGCCTCGGGCGGGAGGGGCCCGGTCACGATATTTTTGGACTGTTCGCTCCCCGTGGCCATCAGCAGTGCGAAGGCCAGCGTCCACCGCTCCGATATACCGTCGTACCCATGATCGATGAAGGATCTGTCGGACATGAACCTCTCGAAGCGCGCGATCGACGTGTAGAACTCGGCGAGGGACCCCCAGGCAGCGTCGTGGTACGGCAGCGCGACAACCTGGGCATGGGCTTTGTTCCCGTCGTCATAGTCGTGGATCCCACCGATCGTGCTGTAGCAGCAAGGGTGTAGCATCACGGCCAGTGTGTCGAGGTCGACGGCCTCGAGGCTCAGCTTTCCCGCAGGGATCGACAACTGGCCGGCCAAATCTGGTTGCGGAGCTAAAGGGTCTACCTCTGTGGTCCCGAGCATCATCCACATTACCTGGCGGATCCTGACTGGCCACGGCGATACAATGGGCGGCGCGGGCTTGTACGGGTGCAGGCTCTTTTGGGAACGATGGGTATGGTTGTCCTGCTCGGCAAACGTCTCCAGAGGCGTGAGAAAGCCAGCGCGGGTTGTGACCTTGGCAATGCGGCCCTTTGAAGCCTGGGCGACATCCTCCCGGGACAGGCCCGGATTGTGCCAGATGATGAGCTCATCGAGCGTCGTTTCCGCGACGATGGCGACGATGTCGTCCTTCCCGAGCAGCCGGTTAAAGGAGATGTCGAGTACCCGGAGGTCCTTGGGCGCTATTTTGTACACAGCTGCGTTATGGGCGAGGGCGCCTTTCACAAGCTCGACCACCTGCTTGCCGGATAAGTCCCGGAACTGGTGTAGGTCAAGGTCTTTGATGCCCGTTTTGGCGAATATGAAGGCGGCCAGGATCAGCGGTACGGCTCCCGGGTGCTTGGGGGCGAAGTGCTCTGGATGCTTGTCCATGAAGCACTTGAGGAGAGGCCGATAATTCTTGTGCTGCCGCTTTAGGTTGCCCAGAGTCTGTGGGGAATAGGAAACCAGCAGGTGCTCTATGAGGTTCCAAACGCGCTGCTCGTCCTCGTTCGGCTCCGCACCCCTCTGGCGCTTCCCTGACGTTGATGCAGTCTGTTGCTTTGTCTCTGGTTCAGGAACTTCAGGCGATCCTTCTGTCTGGGCCTCTGTCTTCTTCAACGCAGATGCTTTTTCCTCTGCTACCTGCCGATTCTTCTTCTTGGTCTCGGCGACGTCGTCGTAGTCGGTTGCGTCCGTGTCAACGCCCGAGTCGTCGTTGTCTGAATCGACTGATGGCGGCGGTGGTGGAAACTTGGGCCACACCTCGTGGATCGCGTCGATTGACGTCACCGGGGCAGGCTCGTACTCCCCTTCGATATACACACGACCTCCGTCGCGGTCTCCTCTGTTCGTCAGGTCTAAGGCCTTAAGCCAGTGGTGCCCGTCCAGCGGCTGAAGCCTGAGGGTGCGGTATAACGCTTTTTTCCCCCCGCACGAGTTTTGAGCGGGCAGAATCATGGCGTAGGAGTGGTCGGTGATATCGATGATGGTACATCCGGGCTTCCACATGTACTTGCCGCCCCAGTCGGGGGCCGCGTTCCACCGCCGCGTGCAGAGCTGATGCAGGAACGAAGAATCCCAGCTTGTCGTGGAGGCACCCAAGTACAGACACGTTTGGATGAATGGGAACCGGGGTGTGTGGGCCTCGACGCACTCCTTCTCGAGCTTGCGTATCTTTTCGTTCAGCAGTCGTTCTTGGACATGACGCCAACGCGTGGGAAGGGGCCGACGCTCCTTTTCGGCAGCCCAGTATTCCTCGTCCGGATTCCGCTCCCATTCCTCGTCGGAGATGTTCTCTGCGTAGGCCAAGTCGAGGGCGACATATCTCGGATTCTTCTTAAGCAAGGTCAGAACTCTACTAACCACTGCCCCGTCCGGCGTCAGCAGCTGTCTTTTTTTTTTTTACAGGATATATAAAGGAACAGCGTCATACCACAAAGCGTTGACCAGCTGGGTTCGGCTCTCGGTATCTGAATGCAGGCTATGCAGCGGCGCCGCCCGTTGATCGTCGCGATGATGTGTATTGGGTGTACGAGGCCCATCGTGGTCAGTGGTCACAAGAATGGAACCAGTAGAATGATGAATCCAGCTATATCACGTTGCAGAGATGGTGGCAGGGAAAGAGAAGGCGAAGAATAAATGAGAAATAAAAAGGGAGGAGACAACAACAAGGAGACAACAAGAAATGCAAGACGCGGGTGGTGCTGAGCAACGTGAAGTTGCATTCCCTTGGCGCATTCCCATGGCGCATTCCCGTGCCGACAGGGATGGACAAACAGGGGTCCCATCGTCTCGATACGGAAAAAAGGCCGGGGAAAACACCTGCGTTGTCATTGGTGAGGATCGTTTCCGATGGCAACATTGCGAGCAAGAGGCTTGGGGAGCAAATGGTCATGACAGAAATAAGCCGTGACTCGAGCGTTCTTTCTTGTTCATCGCTCTGCGTGTGGTGTGGCACGTGGCCTCCGGGACACAGCCTGAAGTTGCATCCCGCAACGTGGTAAATAGCTTTCTTTGACAGTGGGTTTCAAAATCAAAACTAGTATTAAACTAGTTTGTACGTTCAATCTCCAAAGGTAAGGCTACAGAGGTAAGGAAATGACTAGTGAGACATCATTCATTCATCCATCTATTTCCATCTTCTCGACATCGCCCTCGTACCCTTCATCAACTCCCTGTGCGTCGTCCTCCTTATCGGGAAAGTGAAACCAATCCCATTCCATCCTACCAATTTGCGCTCTGTAGGACTCCTTATCGCCATCGGTCATGTAGTCCGCCACGTCCACAGCCTTCCTCATGGCTGAGAATACATGCTCCCAGGGCTCTTTTCCCCCCGGGTTCTGCGCGAGCGCCGGCACCTTTGCCTGCAGGCGGTGCAGCATCAAGCGCTCGAGATCGTATGCGTTGCGGCTGTGGGTCTCGAACGGGAACGGATCCACATTTTTGCGGACCGGGACCTCGTGAAATGGCTTCTTGTCGTATTTCCAGGATGAGATTTCAATGTCCCCCGGCTCCTGGAGGGGTGTCCCCATTAGGCATAAGAGGCTCAGGAGGGAGGCGCCCAAGGGGAGCGTGACGATGGGAGGTGTCGTCCAGAGCAGCAGGCCGACGATGCCCTCATGGTCAGACCGCACGATGATGTTGTCGGCGTCGATGCGGGGGTTGTGCAGTGCCATGGGCCAGTCCTGCGACTGCTGCTGCACGTTGATGTTGCGGCGGCGGCGGCTTGGGAGTTTTTCGCCTTTTCCTTTTTCGCCTTCCGACCCCAATGCCAACAACGGCGCTGCGACCAAGTCGACCAAGTCCCACAGGATGCTGGCGTATTTCTGGCGGTGCATTCGCATGCCCAAATAGCTCGTGTCGGTCGAGAACGGCTGCCCCGCGGGACATTCAATCCGCCATACAAACAGCTGCGGGTACCCGGGCGACAAATCCATGGACCCGACGTAGGTGTAGTCGGGGACGAGATCGCCGTAGACGGCCCGAGCGCAATCGAGCTGGCCGTCCTTGTCCAGCTCCTCAAAGGTGAGGTAGAACAGGGTCATCATGCCATCATCATCTTCGGCCTCGACTTCGGCCTCGACTTGAACCATGTAACCTTTGTCGAACTGGAACTGGGAGGGGTATGCCACGATGCCGGACGGTTGCTTGAAACCAGGCCCAGACGGCCACTTCCAGTCCGATCCCACCTCGTACGGGCTCGTCTTGTACCGGCTTTTCATATGGACGCCCGAATATTCGCTCTTGCAGAAATCTTCACAGGCCTCTCGCTTCACGTGCGGGTTGCGTCGGAAGAATTCAATCACGCGTTGGAGCGCCTTGGGCTGAAGCTGCGGGAAGTTTAACAGGTCTGCTCCCGCCTCCAACTCGGCCTTCGTAGAAGAAGTATCATCGTCATCGTCACTGTCGGTGACACCGTCCGAATTACACTTCTGCTCCTTCTTCTGCTTGTCCATGGACTCCAGTGAGCGCGGCTCACGTCCCTCGTCGATACCGTACAGCTGCTTGAGCAGCTTCGGGTAAAGCTTATCATTAGTCCTGACCTCTTTGTCGTATTTATCCACGTCCAGTTCGCCCTGATATTTTTCGACCAGCATTTGGTACTTGTAGCTTCTTGGATCTCTCCCCGTATCCTCGTCGGAGGAGGAGCGCAAGAAATACCCGTTGTCGAAAGCCGGATCAACTGGTTCCGGCAGCTCGGGGTCGGACGAGTCGTCGTTAACCACGTCCGGGTCCGACAAGTCCATGTTGTCATCGGTCAGACCGGCGTTGTCGCCTAGCTGCAAGAGGAGCGCATTTTCACATTCCTCGAGCACAGCATCGCAGTGGGTTTCCCAATCGTCCCTGCCGCAAAGGAACTCGGTTTCCAGCTTGGGGTTCTCATCGCCCTTGCTGTCTCCCTCGGCAGCTAGTCTTTTTTTCTCTGCAGCATATGCAACGGCGAAAGCCCGGGTAATAGGACGGTAGTCACGGGACTTGGGTTCAGGCGGCATGTCGTTTTCTCGTCAAGACATAAGCTAGATAGAATATATCAAATGAATAAAACTGAAGAGGAAGAAGAAGGAGTTGGTTTGGGAGGCGTGGGCCAAAAGAGCGGCCAATTAAAACAAAAAAACTGACGAATCAGAAACTGACTTGGTTTGGAGCTAAAGAAACGCAGCGTGCCAGACAAGCTTAGGGGGAGATCGTCTGCAACGGGATGTTTACGACGCGACGTTGGTTTGTTTCCCGGACAAGCATGCTGACCACGCATACTTGCCCAACTCGGTGGTATGCGACATCAATAAATATCCAGAACAGGACACGGTAACTAGCTGCGTTCTCGAATTCCCGATCACTGTTGCACCATATGTTTGCCGAACCACACAAGTCGTGAGATTTACACTATTAACCGAGCGTGGTCAGGAAGTTGTTACAAAAGAGCGCGTGGTATGCAGCCAATACCCGTTCGAGATGAAGGAGTTCGTTCCACCGGAGACGGTCATTAGCGGGACTAACACGATTAATCAGACGTTTATGAACGTGTTCTTGTGTGTGCAGGTCCCGAAAAAGTGGAGAAAGTATCATAATACTTCCGATACTTTCGATACTTTCGATACTTTTCGATACGGTATCAAAACCACCCTGAAAACGTCGACTTGAGGGAGATGGACATCCAGGCTATCCGCTGCAGCAGTACTATATGTACCGCCGTGTTGACGACTATCGCGCCAGGAAAGGCTCAGATTGCGGGCCAATATGTAGATGATCGGTGTAGGCGAGCGCAAATTCTTTCAGACTTGGATTGCGGACCTAGCTAGTCAGACGGAAGTCATCGAGTTTTGTTCCTAGTGTTGCGACTGCTGTCAATGAAAGAAATTATGCTTTCTACTTGGACATTCCATCGATTCGAGATTTCGCCACGAACTATGTCATGCTGGCCGACTTCCCGTTGCATGACCCGGCCCAGTATTGCACTCGACCAGCATTGGGACGTGGGCTTCAAAATCGCGTAGAAGGCGGCCCAGACCGTCTGTGCACAGTCGACGTTCGGACACTGGTAGAAGAGAATCGAGTAAACGTGGCGGGTGCATGGCGATCAAAAGATTCGTAGATACAAGGTTGAGTCGGTTAAGGGGAACCAGACGTGCGCTCATCTCATGAAGATTCTTCTTCGACGGCGTGTGAGTGCCGCTCACGCACAGCCATGTAGGAGAGGACTCTCGAGAACTCAAGCTGCGCGAGATACACCGCTTCGGCTGGGATGGACGCGAGATAAGATGCTCTGATGTCTCCTGGCACATGGCCGTCAAACACAGGGCCTGGAATGTTTGTCATAATCCTGTCATGGGTCAGCTAGGCAGCCGTGGCAGATCGTGACAAAGACGCACTATTACAAAGTAAAAGCCGGCTTGATGATCGGAGCTACTGAGCCGTCCTCACGCAACAACTCTAGTGATCCTCCCAGCTCTGACAGGTCCTTGGCCACAAACTCGTCTTCAACGGCAGGGCAGGCCTTATATGAGCAGAGGCTATGTGACTCAATACATCTCAGGGAAGGATGAGATCCGATACACTGTAATACGTACGCGGTGAGCTTTTAGTCTGGAGCATACATTTTTTTGGACCGACATACCAGATACCCTTTCCTTTCGCAACGTGTGCAAAATTGATCCAGGTGAGGAGGACAACGCATCGAGCGTTGCAGGTGTCGCGGAGATGGTGTGTCCAGATCCAGATACTTTGAGGCATCTGTAGCGGCAGTCAAATGACCCTTAAGTTTGGCAGTTTTCACCACAGGCAGCTCATCTGGCGCTTCGATAGTGTCAGTGAGGCCATTCCCAGTCTGCGGTCCAGCCACCCGGGGCATGCTCTTTGTGCTAGCCTACGTCGCCACGCCATAACGCCCTCCCGAGTGTGCACACGATTTCTTGGAAATGCCCCGTGCTCGACGTATGTCGTGTATCTTCTCTTCCAATCGCGATCGCGAGCGATGAGTCTGCTGCGTCTGGGGCGATGACCTTCCCCGGAACTTCATTGGACTCGGTACGTTCGCACACGGAAGAAACGAGGCAGCTGAAGCGTTCTAGAGGCGGATGCCGAAAGGTCTGGGAGGCAGTCTGGAGGATTTCTCGGTGAGAGGTAAGGTTCACAGTGGAGCTCATACGCCTTGCGAGCATCGCCTGTAAGGAGTTCTGTCGTGGACATCGTGTACCTCACGAAGTTGGTGCCTCAATCCAGATAAGAACGAAAGGTTGGTCATCCTAGCTGTCGGAAAGTTCAGCATAATGCTAGCCCACATTGCCAATATGAGTTCCCAGTGACGATGCTGATCGAGTTCATTGACTGTCCGCTTTCGACTACTGTGCCACTGGAATTGACGTATAACCAGGAGCGAGATCCATTCTGAGCCTCACGGTTTGACGGAGAGCCCTTCTCACCCTTTGTTCCGCCTTGATTTCAATGTCGATTAGGCAGTATCTCTCACTGTCCTTCCGCCTCCGCTCGACACAGGAAGGCCGGATCACTGCCGGTAGCCAGATCAGCCCTGAATACACTTGGAGAGTCATTGTTCATCCACGTCTCAGCATTGTTCTCGTTCAAGTTTAGGCTTCTCATAAGCGAATATTGCGAGACTTTTTGGCTTAGCGTCATAGTCACGACCCCCAGTGCGTTTCAGAAGTCGAAGTTGCCGGTTTCCAGCTTAATAGCCCGCTTGAAGTCCGTCATCGACGGCCTAGGTAGTCTACGAGGTCTCTTGCCTCGTAGGTCGAAGGAGGCGCCGCCCAAGACGTACGCTTGATGCTCCGCCTAGCCGAGGTTGTACCACGAAACGGCTTGGGCGAGTTGGTCGGACGAGGACGTATAGACGATGCGTTTCTGCGCTAGGATTGCGGCCACGAGATACTTGTCCGCTTTGTCTGTAGGAGTTGGAGAGTCGGTAGCGGCCGTGAGGAATCCAAGGTCGACCTTGTCGTCACCGGCGGCGTGATGTGGAAATTCCTTGGAAGCATTGTGCCTGGAGCACCAAGTTTGATTTATCGCGTAGTTCCAGGGTTGTAGATAGGCGTGGATGCGGATGTGTAATTGGAGCATTTATTACGTGCATGTGCCGAGACCAGGTAATCCGGAGGGAGAATAGGAATGACCATATCGACGGCGAAGTCGGTGGCGCCGCCCTTGTCCACCGCGGCCATAGACCTGTGAGCACAACGCGCGCCCTCGCAAATCCGCCGGACCGTGTCTGAACGAGCCTCTACTTCTTCGACGTGGGCCCAAAGTCGGCTTCCACAGGCTGACCACAGCTTTCTGCCCGGCGTAATCCACAAACACCTAAATGCCGTGCCCAGGCTTTAGCAAGAGAACGGCTACTCCTGAGAAGCCCGCGGAGGATATGTGTGCTTTGATGATAAGTGCAGCCGGCCGGTTGGAGTAGCCTCGTGGGCGTTATATTCGTCATTGTGTTCCCTGTGGGCACCCTCAGGTTACAGTGGCGCTGGTCGATCGCTTTCAAGGTGCACTGGATGGTCGAACTCTTCGCGATTAGCAGGTTTGGAGGCACGCGTTGGAGTGACAGAGGTTTGGTGGATTCGTCAACAACGCTGGAATAGTTGTAGGTGCGGATACCGATGTGATTAGGATTGTAGTTATATCACCCCTGAATACACTTGGGTAGTTACCGGCGCGTAATCTGAGGTTGGAATAGTTGCAAGTGTAGATGCAGATGTGATTGGCATTGTAGCCAGGTTGAACACGCTTGGCTAGAACTTGCTTGCTGATCACCGAGGAGGACAGTTGACACTTCGCTTGACGCTTTGTCAATATCATCCATATCATCCATATCGTCAGTGACGGTACCACTGTAGGCAGTCTCATCATCGATTCCAATGTCTCCATAACCGCCTTCAAGGTCTTCGTCCATGTTTGGCGGGACTTCCTCATCGACTTCATTGTCATTATCGGAAGGAGTGGCCATGACAGAATAGTTACGCTTGATACCACGAGTGCGACGAGCAGGGCTAGCGAGCTCTTCTTCCCCAAGCTTGACAGCAACGTTCTTTTCTGCAGGGAGCCACAGGCCTTGTGATGTGATACCTCCTTGAAATAGAGGTATTGTTACAGGCGTGTCCTGATGCCCAACGATAGTTGCAAAGCTAGACCGCCTTGTCGAAACATGTCGCACACAGCCGGCGGCCGATGGTGGTGCGAAGAACCCCATAGCTAGCTAAAACTAGGAAGGCGACAGATGTAGTGGGGGACTCGCTCGTCTATTGGGAAAAGGGTATTCTGTGGAAGTATCTGGCTAGGTCTGAGGTTGGAATAGTTGTAGGTGTGGATGCGGATATAGTTGGGCTCGGCGACACTTAGAAGGTTCTTCGTCTTCCCTGCCTTGGGTCTGACGACCACCCTATCCAAGATACGGTGGCATTGACTGGCAAAAGAGTGGCGAGCCCTCGGGTCGATAACATTACTCCAGCTCTCAGCTTGCGACCTTGTAAACACCCGATTTGCCAACTTCCAATACATCTTTCTTCACCATAGACGCCAGAAACTCATTCAGCTCCTCGTTACTAAAGGGGAACCCCCCCCCCTCCAGGACCACAATAGATAAGGCTTTAGAAGGAACCATCCATCGTTGTGCTCTGTGCCGGGGGGTCACCGGTGGCGTAATCTGAGGTTGGAATAGCTGCAGGTGGAAGTGGATGTGGATGTGATTGGCATTGTAGCCAGGCGGGATACGCTTGGGGAGTCACCAGCGGTGTGATATAAAGCCTTAAGAAATAGAAGTATTGTTCCTGGAGCACCAAGTAGTCTGGAGGGAGAATGCCCGTGTCGGCGGCGAATTCAGTTTCGTTCCAGGCATAGACTAAATCTTCATCGCGCCAACCGAGGTAGATTTCTTTGAGAGGGACCTTAACGCCGAACTTTTTGAGCAGTTCACCGACTGCACCCTGATCTTCTAGCGGCGCCGGAGGGAGGTTCTCTTGGTCGTGATCTGGTTTGTGTTGTGATCTCGAAAGATTGCGAGTGCCACGGAAACCACCTCCGCCTGCAGTGGGAACACCGAGGCTGGGATAAATTCAGCTTCAGCTTCAGCTCTAGCGGAGGAGCAGCTAGATGACAGCAGCACCCACCTGCCATGTGATGTTTTGGGGGGAGGGGGAGGCGGGGGTGGAAGGCGCGGTGTTCCCAAGTAGGTCGTGGAGGACTTTCGTGTAGGAAAAGATTCAATCAGTTGAGCCCGCGGCGAGAATACAAGCACAAGTGGCAGGTGTTGTTCCACGAGACTCAAAAGCGCGACGACGAATTCCCTGTGCATAGGATGGCGGAGCCACAGAACTCAGTTCCTGGAGGTTGTTGATGTGTACTCCGTAATTCCGTGCCTGCGCCTCTCGGCCCCTCATTTCGCAAAAGATCCCTCAGCCTCGTCGCCACAAACACTGCCTCTTATTGGTTACCGCCACCCAGCCTCGTCGGCGCATGCGCAGCCCAAACATCATCTTATCGCCACCAACACTTCCCCTCATCAGTTACGGCAACCCAAATATCATCTCCAGAAAGGTGCTCCCTGTTGCTGTTCAGCATCTGGGCCATCTCATGACATCAGCAGCAGCATCGCCGTCCTCTCTACCTCGAGGATCCTCTCAAACAGTCGCTTTGAGACTCTACCTCCGCAAACACCACCGCGCCAGCTCTTTCGGAAGCAGCTCAAGACCTCCAAGAATGTTTCACAACCCTCGCGAGAACGCCTCTTTCCCGATAGACGAACGAGTCCCCTCCTACATCGGTCGCCTTCCTAGTTCCAGCTGGTTGGCCATGGAGTTCTTCGCTGCAGTAATCGGCGCTGTGTGCGTGCGGCGTATTTCGACAGGGTGTTCTGGCCTCTCAACTATGCCACTATCCTTAGCCATCAGGACACGCCTGCAACACCGGAAAAGACTACGCGAGAAAGACCTGGTGCTCCAGGAATAATACTTCTATTCTCAAGGAGTTTTCACATCACGCTGCACCGGTGACTGCCCGTATTCAGCCTGGTTACAATCTCAACCACATCGGCATCTACACCTACAACTATTCCAACGTTATTGACGAATCCACCAGACCTCTATCACTACAACGTGCCTCCAAACCAGTGTGGTCGGCGCTGGTGCCACCGACTTCGCCGCCGACACGGGCATTCTCCCTCTGAATTACCTGGTTGGGATAAATTCAGCTTCAGCGAATGCGAAGGAGAAGTTAGAGCTGGTAGGGGCGCTGTGCATAAGTGGCATTTTTTTGCCGTTTTACATTGCTTGCAGGGTCGTTCGCCATCGCAATCAAGACTTTCGCGAAGACATCGGTCGCACTTGCCGTCTGGTATAATGCTAGGGACATTAAGATTAGACGGTACCGATGCGATAATGAATTCATTCAAGGAATTATCATCTTGTTCTGCGAACAATCCGGGCTAGAACTCGAGCCTACTGTGCCTTTTTTCTCATTATCAGAAGGGCACCGCGGAACGAGGACACCGAACAACCAGGAATAAGGCAGCAGCCACGATGCAAGACCAGACTGTCTGTACTCAAATCACGAATATTGTCACCGAGAGAGGCAATAAGCTGCTCCGAACGGGGAGGATACCAGAAATCCTCTGGGTGGAGGCAAGGGTGATGTGAAACAGCCCAAATGGCTGATCAAGTCGACCAGAAGTACTTCAAGGAGCTCGAAGCATACAAGTTCAACCTGAAACTCTACGAAAAGCAACAGGAAAGAGTTCGCAAGGTCAAAAAGCCCTTCATCAAGCTTATCGATCCCTCGATCCTCGGAGAGATTTCGGGAGCGCAGCCCCGTTTCACCAAAGGCACAAACATACATACGGCAAACACTATGGCGCAAAAGAGGAATATGAGGCAGAAAAGAAAAGCAACACTCGGAAATAAAGAGGCATGGCTTACCCTGACTAGCCACTATCAGATGAACCTGACTATGCAAGAGTCCCTGGTGCTCAAGGAGATCCGAGAAGTCAAGCTGGCGGATTTCAGGAACATGCAAGATTACATCACTAAGCTCGACAATATCAATGCCGACCTGAAATCACTCGGTCCGACCCACGAGCTTCTCAAAGAGTGCTACAAGTTTTTTTTTCTTGGTAGGCGTTGCCGGCGGTGGTCTTGTCTGCAGCCAATCAATACAGGTGGCTACAGATACATGCCAAAGGGGAAGTGTTTGGCCAGGGGCCAACAACAGTCGGCGGCTCAGGTGAGCTCGCTCGCTCAGCATTATGTAGATTCCATGATTAGGCCGGCTTCAAAGTGTGGATTGATCTCTTTCTGTTGTCTTCAACCACAGCTATCCCGACGTCTTGGTCTCTGGAGCCCTTCAGCCGGAGCTGGTAGCGTTGACACCCTCTTCTGCTCTACACTGGTCTGCCAGTTATAACCTTCCTAGCGAGGCGTGATCTCTTCCTAGGTTTCTTAGGGACTTCCTCTTCACCATCTTCCTCTCTTACGACTTTGCGGTTTCTCCCTCCAGCCTTCTTTGGTGGAGCGGACTCGTCAGACTAGGCATCTTCGTCCTCGTCTTTGACCTTGCGGCGTGAGGCTTTCTTACCTCTCTTCGCTTTGGGTTCGGATGGGGTCTGCTCACTCTGGTCTGTTCTGCGAGATCCCGACGTCTTATCTCTGCAGTCCTGGCCTGGTTGGCAGCCTCCTGTCCTCCTAGATCCTACTGTCTTGTGTCTTTGGGTCCTTTAGTCGAAGCTGGCAGCGTTAGGCAGCGAGACCTATCGAGAGCGCTCGACACCGACAGCGGTCCCAGCCCTCTTACGGAAGGCCGTAAATAGCTGGAGTTCGAAACGCTGGCTTCCGGGCTCAGCCTTTTCAGGTTCGACCATTTTCCTCCGCTTCCCCTTTTCTGTAGAAGAGAGAGCTGGCGCTTTTCTTCAACTTTACGTCGTAAAGCATTCGTGGCCAACCACACTCAGTCAACCCCAAGGCACGTATTATGAACACGACCACTCCAGGAGAGACAGCGCCAGCGATGTATCAACAGACTCCGTTGTCCACTGGGGTCTTGCTCCTGCAAGTTATTTCTCCCCGGTCCCTCCTCACAACCTAGCAGCGCTCACATCATCTTTCCGCATCATCTGTTCCTGGCTCCTACGCCAGGCGAAGGAGAGCGATGGGAAAAGGCCGGAAAGGTTCGTTCTCCCCTTCTTGTTGTACAGGGTCTTCCTGTCGCGGGACGGGCTGCTGCACCGGCTGCCGCTGCCGCTTCCTCCCAGTACTGAAGGCGCGGGACAAGAAATTGCTTAAGTAGTTCGTGGGGTGGGCGGCAGCGAATGCTTATTGCCATCGGATTTCAACTCGTCTACTCCACAGGCGCCTACAAATCCTAGAATTCCCTGTTAGCATGGGAAGCGGAGACATAGAGTTCCTGGAGGTTGTTGATGTATAAGCAGCTGTGAAGGGTAGGTTTTTGCCAGCCTCGCCGCCACCAACACTGCCCCTCAAGCCGGTTGTTCATCCAGCACCATCGCGGGTGGCCATGTCAGAAGTTGAGTTAAAGCTCCTCGCTCATACCGGTTACTAGGATGGGCGCTAGGCCAAGGGTTTTCTTGGAGGATGAGGCGGAGGACGCAAACTCGAGGAGGCACAGGCCTGTTTGGCCGAAACGAAGGAGGGCGCCGCCGAGAGCCATGGTGTTTGGGCGTCGATCGAGAGTTGATTATCAAATGGAGGGCTTATCCACCTGAGCTAGAGGATGATATGAAGAAAACGGAAGTACTGGTCTGGGTTGAGGTGGCTGGTGAGCCGGAGCCCAGCCAGCGCCCCGGGCTTTGGGCCGGCAATGGCTGCGAAGGAGCAACCACACAATGTTGCGGAGTGTGCCGGCCAGTATGTCGTGTCCTTGATTCCAACGGAAACTCTTCAAGGAAGCTTGAAGCAGAACCAGACGTCGCAAAGGACACAATTAGAGACTTGGTTGCCGTCCTCCTGGCCTACCAGAATCCAATCAATATTCGTTGCTGATCGGCACATAGTCCGAGTGAGGTTTGTCCCGGGGAGCATTTGCCACACTCCCGAGCTGCTTCGTCCATCCCGCATGGCTTTCCCATACCACGATCACCATCTCCTGCTTGGGATTGGATGGTTTTTTTTGCAGCCACCCAACTTCCACCGCCCCTGCAACCCATAGGAGTATCTTGTCGGCATTATTCTCCCAGACAAAGGCTCTCGAGTCTCCCGCCTCCGAAACCTAGCCTCTCATTCTGCTTTGGTGTCAGGGAGTGGGTGAGAGTCCGGGACGGTACCAGAGGCTGAAATCACCAGCAAGATGTTTGAACTCGACACGAGCATGTAGCAGTGGCTTGTCGGGTCTTAGACAATCCTCATACACAGCAGTGGTGGCTCAACTACTTGGTGCTGTTTCTCTTGACCTCACTGCGCGGTGTTTCCCTCGTTCAGTCTTGCAGCCTACAACCACAACTTTTACAATTGCTCCTCGCCTGCCGAGGAACCACCGCTCCAAAACGGAGAGGATGCTCTGGCTGACTGATGGTGGACCAAACAGATCCACGCCCTGCCCGAATACCAAAACCAGGAGAAGGTCATGGGAGTCCCTGTCCTCCCGTTCGATAGCATCGTTGAGATATGGATAGAAAGTGTCGACAAGTATGTACGGCACGTCAGCCAGGAGGATATTATGACGGCGCTTGCTGGTGAAGAATGCCCTCCCTCTGTCTCTATCAGACCAGCTTCTTGTGCCAATGCTGCATCTCTGCAGCCGACGAACAGCAGTTCATGACTCACGAGGACGCTTTCATCATGGTTGGTTATGAAACACTCGAGATTGGTGTTCAGATCTCGAAATCTTCGCCTTCTAGCCACTGTTTGCACCGCCAATATAGCAGATCGTGCTTCTCCCCGCAAGCCAAACTACCCCCAGGTGATCCTTTCTCCCGCCTATTCCCAGGCATGTCAAGCAGGACCCTCACCCCCATGGTCTTCTCTTGACAGTAGGCCAAGTACCCAGTAGGTGGCTTTGCGGGCGGATATGGTCAGCAGAACGGTAACCCATTTGGAGCCCGACCGGTGGTGCAACAGGGCGGAAGCCTGATTGACTTGTAGACCTGGGGAAGTACGATTTTGTTGACATTTTGGGAGGGGTCCCTGGCTAAGAGACGGAATTCTTTTGCATATCGATCACCGAGCTTGAGATCTATCGATATAAGGGCAGGATGCTCGCGATCGACCATCATTTATGCCAACCCTCTGATATCATACGACTATTGGCCTGCCGCGAAAACCCTTCGACCGCGTCGACTCAATAAGTAGCCTCTAATGCAAGAGAGATAATACAATTCATTTCATACCTTATAGAGTACATCCTTGACGTATAGGATCAAGTACGCATACCAGCAACGTAAGGAAGCCGTGTCGTGGCAGAATATTCCTCTCGACCCTCAGTAACATTATTTGCAAACCTACCCGAACTTTGCCGCCAAATCCCAGACGCGTTAGAATATTAACAAGAGAGGGAGCAAAAGGATCACAAGATGAGCATCCAAAGAGACATAGTGGACGGCTCTAGCGTAGCCGCGAGGGCGAAGGGGAAGGGAAAAGCCATCTAGATGAGGCACCTCTTTCGCTTCACCTAATGAGAACCACGGCAATAAGAGTAGAAGCAATGGATACAATGATTCATGTTATTAGTTATTCAATCCCCGCAACAGCCAGCGACATACGGCCAAACGCCAATAAAATCCCCATCGTCAATTGGAATGTCTAATTTACTACGATCTCCAATACCAGAGCAGGATAACCCCATATACCGTGACCACATGCCAGCATCTGTGTAACACACCCCTCCAGCCCTCCAGTGTCGACCACTCCATGCACGTTTCAGCCGCGGCCAAGGAGATGCGTTGGCATACCAGCTTATGCCAGCCTGATGGCGCATACAACCATCAAGCATCTACCTCCATCCCCATCGTGGGCCCAGCCTCGAGTTGTGTTGATCATTCCGGGACCCGAGAATATCTTGAAATATGCTGAATTCTCATCCTAGCCGCGAACCGATACCTATTCTTCCTCGCGGCTGTGCGATGGGTGCGACAGTCGTCCCGACTGTTTCTTCCGCCCCTTGTCGCCTCATTGTCCCACCATGCCCTTTTTCTCGTTGCGACTATACCGTAGCTTGCATCTACCCCATGGGCGTAGAGCCGGTTCCGGTCAAAGCCTTGCTGGACGAGATCCACTCGTACCTACCGACCGAACGCGATCAAAACAGGCATGTGTTGTGGAAGATCGGAACGCACAATATGGTGATCGCCGTGCTGCCGGACATTGGGAAACAAAGCGGCCGCGACTGTGGCGATCTAGCTGTTGAGTGATTCTTCCCCTCCATTCACTTCAGCCTGTTAGTAAGGATTGGCGGTGGGGTGCCGGATGAAGAGGAGGACGACGATGATATTCGCTTAGGCGACGTAGTGGTGAGCAAAGCCACGGCCACCTTTAGTAGAGTGGTGCAATACGATCTGGGCAAATATTCGAGCGGTGGTGGCTTTCAACGAATAGGCGCATTAAACAAACCTCCTGCCCTGCCTGCTCCGGGCGAGCATCGAAAAGCTGGCGGCCGATCACCGAATCCATGGTTCCAGCGTTGTCACAATATCTGTCCGAAATGATCAGAACATATCCCGCGAATAACGGAAGAATCCTCCCACCCGGGCGTTCAACGGGATCAGCTGTTTTCAAATGGACCATCCCCATCTAGATGGTTCTAACTGCAAGAAGTGCGACAAGCAATGGATTGTCGAACGAGAGCCTCTCCACAACCCTGCACCCGAAAATTCATTACGGGACGATCGGCTCGGCGCACGCCGTGGTCAAGGATACGGCTCTGCGGGAGAAGCTGAGACAAACCTTAGCGCTCAAGGGAGTGGAAATGGAGGCGGCGGGATTGATGGACTCCTTTGCCTATCTCGTGATTCGAGGCATCTCTAACTATGTGGACTCGCGCAAGAAGTTCATCGGTATATCATGGGTGGGTGAATCGATGCCACTCCCAGCCACTCAGCCACCCGCAGGCACTCAACAGCCACCACCCTGGAATTTAAACCTTTTCCCACTACCCTACGCCCACCACCCACGCCGGAAACCACTTTCATATATCGTTCCACCCGTCCATCCGTCCATCCACCCGTGCCATACCGATGAACTGACCCGCCACACCTAATAACCCCCCCTAAACATCGGCATCAAGGACTGGCATCCATCATGGCCAGTAAGGCTACCGGCCTCCTCTTGGGCCTCCGAGGACTCGCTCAAATCCAGGAAAAGTACGCTACTCTCTTTGATTGGACAAGGGACGACGACACTCGCCACGATCTCGAACAGAAACTGTTCCAACACATGTTCGATGTGACGGGTTGAACCCTGAAGGAGGCTCAGTTCGGAGGAACCAGCGCCCAAGCCTAACAGTCACGTATGGCGGAGAAACAATATTCCGTACGCAAGGGGAAGAGAGACAGGATGTAACGATCGCGTACGCAAGGGATGGATAGCATATATAAAGATGGAGAGAGGGAGTGTTCTTCCTTCTTTCCATCCTCAAATTAATATCATGTCGACCACGAGCGGAGACCATCAGGATTCTCCCGAGGCGAAGAAGAAATCCAAGTGGTCCGCCGAGGAAGATGCCAAAATCATCCAACTCCGTCAGGATGGCATGAAGTGGGACGACATCAGCAGGCATCTGCCAGGCCGCAGTGCCAACAGTTGTCGGCTTCGTTATCAAAATTACCTCGAGAAGAAGGGCGATTGGGATGAGAATCAAAAGGACATGCTTGCAAGGTTGTACGTGAGGTATGAAACGTCGCACCGGACCCCCGAAGCTTTGGTACAAGGGACTGACTGACTCTTGTCCCAATCAGGTTTCGAGAAGACATGTGGGCGAGAGTGGCAGAGGAAATGGGCACCCCGTGGCGAGCCGTCGAGGCCATGCACTGGCAGATCGGCGAACAAGAAATGGCGGAGCGGACCGGCGTGACACCATTCTCCCTCAACAACGCAAACGGCGGCATCGACCCAACAGTCCTCCCGCGGACACCGCAACGGCGCCGCAGTGGACCTCCTCACCACCCGCCACAAGAGCCTCCGCCGTTCAGTGCGACGCTGCCTTCGTTTGCAGATGTGTTTGCAGATTTCAAGCAAGGACTGCCGCGAGCCAGGTACGATTATAATCGTAACTAGATGGAAAACTACGGGCGAAGCTACGCGAAAGATGGATCGCGACCCAGTGGGGCGCCTGTACTTGGAGCGATAATTGGAAGTGGTTTCCGGCGTGGGTGATTGGAAAAGGTTTAAATTCCAGAGGGGTGGCTCTCGTTTTAGCCCCCAAATACTTCTCCTAAAGTGTTATAATACCTCTAATACTACTAATACCAGCTAATACTAGTATCATAGTGATACCTTTTGATACCCGAGGTATCGAAAAGCACGCTGCTTACAACTATCAACACCACCACCACCTTTTCACCTCGCCCACCCGAGTCCTGGGAACAATGTCGTTTGCAACTGTACCTCTTGGTCAATAATGTTACAGTTGAGCTCAAGACGAGATTTGTTTACCGTTGGCCTATGCATGGCTCGAGGTATGGAGACAATGAGAGACGCTGTCAGGATTTAGGATAGTACCTCCATCCCATTCCTTGACCTGACTTGCATTCCAGCAGCCAAAAGGACGGAATGTCTTCCCCCCTGGTGACGGCTCATGAGCGTGGTCAATGGGCCAGGTATGCGAGTCAATCAGTTGTCAGAAGATCACTATGCTGTGCCCAAATGCTCCTCAAGAGGCCTCCTGGATGTATCGAGTGATTGCACATGGTGGCCCTGCTCTTTCCCATGATTGGAAAACGATAGGCTGACCCCGAAGTCCCCACTATAGCTTGGCCTAATGGTGTCGTTTCCGGCAGATGCAGCTCCCTTAGCCTAGGGCACACAACTCACTCATCGCAGGCTTGCAGTATTTTCATCCTCCTACACCGACTATGGATTTGAGCCCTGACTGAGTCTCTTATTGTCTTGCTGCAATGGTCTGGGGTGTGTCTAGCTGGCTCTGGACCACGAAAGAGTCCCACAGAAGTTCTCCTGTCGAGTTGCTACTCGCACCACTACTGCCACGAGCAATCTCGATTCTTCAACCTCAACGAAGACCGCCGTCCCTTCTTCAGCCTCGACGAAGACCTTCAAACCTCGATCAAGGCCTCCCTTCTTGAGCCTCAACAAAGACCTCTCCCCCTCCTTCGGCCTTGAAGAAGAAACCTCAGCGAGACAACCTCGACGAGACAACCTTGAAGAAGACAACCTTGAAGAAGACAACCTTGAAGAAGACCTCTCTCCCTTCTTCAGCCTCGACTAAAGACCTCTCAGCAACCTTCGACTGTCCATACTTAAGTCGTTGTCTCTTGCCGGTAACCATAGCCTTGGACTTCTCTTCATGGATCAGATGGTCTAAGTCCTCCAGCGTGGCGTCGCTGCATACACGGCGGGACACACGAGATCCGTCCAAAAAGGAAGCAAGCCTCAAGCAAAGATGGCTGAACGCAGACTCATTTTACTCGAGTCTTATTACACCAAAGACAACAACAACAAGCAACTCTGGTACATCACAAATCTTCCCGGCCTGCCGTTTTATGACAATGTCAACGACTATGGATTTGTCCGCCTAGCGGCCTGCCCACTGGGTCGCTGACGTGGTGTCGTACGCCGATCCCACACTAACGGTGGCGGGCGTGTCTGGCCTCTTCAATGTCATGCATAGGAGATGGATTCAAGTAATGACTGCTCATCTGGTCGGCCTCCTTCTGGGTCTGTTGAGCCAGGAGTATTCTGCCACGCCAGCATATCTCATCAACACTCTCTTCGGCGTACTACCCGAACCAACCAGTGCATCACCACCAGCATCATCATGAGCGACTCGATCCGACTCCATATAATCCCCTTGAAGAAGGCTGGGAAACAGAGGTCGAACGGAGTCGTCGTTGTGGGAGTGTGATTAGGATCAGTTTGCACACCAAGCGAAGGAGTGCGTCTGCTGAAGGTCATCCGCAGAGACACAGGGCGAGGAGTCTCAAGACTCGTGGCAGAAGAGAGAGTGAAAGCAAACATTCAGACGACGAGAGGCTTCCTCTACTGCAGACGACTTGACACGATGCATGGACGAGACAAGTCGCTGGCGGAACCAGGCCAGAGGAGATTGCTCTCCGCGGCGCAGTCTCGGTAGAGACCTATGAGTACGGAGCGACGAGAGCCCGAGCTCGAGAACAGGATTCCCAATCCGTCCCACCGCAGGTTCATCGACACCATCTTCACCAACCCCCCCCCCTCCGAGAACCCGAGCCGGTCATCGAGGAGCCCGTACCTCCTATTGAGCCAAACGCCCAGCCCCCGATCGAAGCGGTGGATTCTAACCGAGAAGGACTAAGTGAGCTGCCATTACCATTGCCATCCGCGCCGCATTCGGACATAGGAAAAGATCCAACACCACCTCAAGATGAACTCCCAGAACAGAAATTTGGACAAGCTCCCAGACACGCCCCACCCTGAATCCGCCACTGTAGCTGGCGCCGGCGTTCCCCGACTCCTCACCGTCGAGCCCGAATAGTTCGTCTGCACCTTGGTCTCATCGACCACAACATGTACACGATGGAGCCCCCACGCCAATCCTCGCGGTGAAGGTGTTGTTGCAGTCTATGAACTGGTTCCCGATCAAGGGGTGACGCCACGGGTGGGTGCAAACAGGCCCAAGTGTGAAAGTTCAAGTGGAGTGGCCACGAAGCCCACGGAATTCCGAGAAGCACGTAATGAAGTTGGCTACAAGATATGCGGCGGGCGGGCGGGTGGGCGAACATGATGAATATGGTTAACAAGGCAAAATGAAACCATGTACAGCACAGCGCAGCGAGTATAACGAGTGAGCGGGTGGGTGAATCTACGTCGAGAACAAAGTCAAGTTTTAGCGACTGCGCTGCTGGGTGCTAGGTGCTGGATGCCAGAGTGAGTACTGAAACTGAGTTCCAGGGGAAAGGTTTCAATTCCAGGCGTGCCTATCGTGTGCCCTTCTCCCTTTGCCTTTTCCCTCTGCACTGATTGCGCTGGACTTCCCTCTGCCCTCTGCCCTCGTTATCCAACTATTGACCAACTTTCCACCCACTGTGCAACAATGTCTCAGCTCACGATTCATTTCAAATGAATATCGGCGAATAAAGCGTAAGGGAAAGATGAGATAAAGGTCAAAGACTCCAATGGAGGTTTGAGTGGACCTTAAGTCGTTGTCGAAGAATCAGTTATGCAAGCCGGACCACCAAGCAGAGTACCACCGGAGCCAATTCGATCGCCCTTCCTCCTCCTCTACGTCAAAGCCCTTCCCGACGTCTATAACCTTGCAGATATAAAATCTAGTCAGCATAAAACTGCATTTCCACCCACTCTACAGCAACGTCTTAGCTCACGATTCATTTCAAGTGTCGGCGAACAAAGTATAAGGGAACGGTGAGAACTACTAATGGATGCCATGCGGGAAGGTAAACGGCGCAACGGACGTCAGTGCTACTGGCTGGGGCGGTAACCTAGCTCCTACTTCCGCAGTAAACGAATCTGTTCGTCGACAGGTTCGTCCCATGACCGACGATCGGAGCCTACATACACATCGAGTACATCTCTTCGTTGGCGCAGGCGGACTCGTTCACATCTATCTCCAGGCTGTCGTTCGACACCTTGACCACGGCCAGGCGGACAATATTGTTCGTGTCAGTGTAGCACTTGTCACACCAAAAGCCGCCCTTGCAGTAACAACACCAGCGGTAGCAATATCAGCGCCGGCAGCAAAAGCAGCAGCGTCACCAACACGTCTATAAAGATCCGCCACCGAGCCGCGCAGCACCACAGTCTACTTATATTAGCGCGGCTCATCTTCCCATACTCTTAGCCATCAATTCCCTATCCGACAGTTTCGCCAGCCGCTGTCCGTAGAAGACATAATATCTAGGTATAATAGCGGACCACTAGCTCTACAAGAGGCGACTTTAACCTCGAGGGTAGTCGGACCATCCCGTGTCCTAGTTCTCATCTACAATACCGTCCAGAGTATTTAGGATAGTTAGAGACTAAAAGAGAGCTCATCCGAAAAGCGAGACGTTCTAACTCGGCCGAAACGGCGGACTCTCCAGCCCGTTCAGCCCTTATAAAATTCTAAGCTCACCCACACCGACGACTAGGTTGATGTCCTCAGCTTTTACGAGCTCAAACTCCTACTATAAGAAAAACTCTAAATCGGGTTTTCTACGATATCCTCTCCGACAACTCAGCTATCTGGAGAAAAAGCAGAATCAATCGTTATGGTACGGCCTTGCTAGAGTGTCCTAAAGGACTCACAGTTCATTCTCACCTTCCGCCCTTGCAATCTTCACAAGCGCAAGATGCAGCATCCTCCACTCTGTCTCCTTTCCGCCGCCTCCACACCATAACACCCCATTCTTGTGCTATGCTTCCCGCTGCCGCCACAGGCACCCTTTGCATGCTTTGCTAACGTCTGGTTCCTTTTTTTTCCGGCTCCAGACTCCGATGGAGAGTGTGGTAATGAGCGAAACATGGCAGCGACCACATTGATCCAGAGCGTGATGAGGACCACACCGTCGATGAAGTCCCAGACACTTCGCAAGGGGGCAGGTGGCGTGAAGAAGAGTCCATCCGCCAATGACATTTGTCATGTCATGCACCATCGTAAGATTTTTCGCCACCCATATCACCGCCATCTTTATCGAGCGACCACTCTAACTATCTATAGATCATGGAAGCCTACTGCGTCGTCTTGCTGGGAAACTTCATTGCTCTTCCTCGATTTGCCCAAGACTTCGGCCAATACAATGCCAGCCAAGACAAATATTTCGTCACAGCCGTATGGCAGTCTGCTTTTCAGTGTGGCGGGCAAGTCGCTGCCTTCATTGGAGTTTTCCTTGCCGGACCAATCACTAGTGCTATCGGATACCGGTTGGCAACGACTCCAGGAAGCATCTGGGTTGCAGGGGCTCTCAGTTCAAGAGCAGGACCTCGCTGCAGTACGCTGGTGCATTGGCGATGAAGACGCCCCAAGGAACGCTTTCGAGAACCTGGGATCCAAACAGGACTCCCAGTGAATTGCCAAAATAAAAGACATAAATGAAGCCGTGCAAAGCCACGAGGCCGCCGATGGTTGGCCGAGGACGTGAAGGGGTTGGCCTCGAAGATTTAAGAGCGGGACGACAAGATGGATCTTCTCCTCAAGCGACAAAAGCAATAAGATGAAAAGATCAACCTGTTACTTCATCATCTTATGAAGGCTCGATCAGAACCACCTACGGCCAATATCGACGTACCTATGGCAGACCGGCAAAGCCAGGTCGTGGCTACAACGTCCTCGGTTCCAAGCCCGGCAAATCCCAGTCCTACTCAGCCCCGGCCTCCACCTTCGCTGTTCCGCCGATAGGACAGTAATTCCGAAGTCAGCTCTGGATCACAGTCCCAGAACACATTAGCAGCATCCATCCAGCACCTACGAAATTCGGAAATAAAGAGTATAGATAGAGAATCTCCGGCATCTTGTTCTAGCTCTTGTACCAGCTGAACAATAGTTGCTTTATGTGATAAACGACTGTCTCCTCTATACGTTCTCCTTGCCGCTCCCTCAAGCTGGCCCCGAACTTGTCGACGCGCGTGATTGCCTCCAACATCTCCGTTCGATGCGCCGAGGCGTGGCAGGCCGCACCATCTGCGATATGGCGTGCCGCTTCAAGCTGAGGCTGACAGTCGATGCTCTGTCTGAGCCAGCCCAGTGACTCTTTCTGCTCTGCCTGTCCGAGGTCCGGGGCATTGTCAAAACCGAAGGATGCCTCGTAGGCTTCGTCTTTGGCGGGTGTTTCGTCTAAGGTATGCTGGAGGACCGTATTGACCAAATTCTGAGAACCATTGTAGGCAGAGACGAGCTCGTCAAGCGCCTGAGTCTTGGAAGGGTGGAAAATGGATCCAAATTGTGTGAATTTCCGATGTATCGAGGACACATTTGCCACTGCGGCACGTCTCTTGGCCCGAACGAGGCTGCGATGAACTTGGTCTAGCATGTTGTCCCACTGTTGCATTTCGCTTTCGGTCCGAAAGCTGAGGTCAGCTAAGCAATTGGCCAGCTCTGGCAATAGGATGCAAGACTGACGAGTCTCGACGACCGCGGCCATGACGCTGCTTGCGGTACGGAGGTGGTTCAAATGATGAGAGCGGGCGGCAGATTGGAAGCGAGGTTGCCGCGTCGTACGGACCCGCCACGAGACCTTCCGGGAGTCGACGAAACAAAATGCGTCCGAGGGAGAAGGTCCCGAGCACCATGAGGACACAGAACAGCCAGAGAGACGTCGACGGCTTCAACAACGGCCAAGCGGGCGTCGGCGGCGGAGGGCCTTTCGTCGACGATGTGGGCTCGTGCCAACCACCGTTTCGCTCCTCCACCTTCAGTCTGTATTTCCCCATTCGTCCTGTAGCGGGGAGGGCCATCGTGTGTTGTAGGTTGAGCCATCGTGGGGGAGTGCAGCAAGACTCTGTTGCGCGGCAGATCTCGAGCGTACCGCCGGTGGTAGGACGACCATAAGGGGTAACTGACAAAGACGGCTACTTCTGGGGATTCCTGGCGTGGGAATGGGAAGCTCCGTATTTGCAGAGATCACTGCCTTTGCCTGCTGTTTTGCTACCCGGCTGCCTGAGGCCTCAGACTCCTTACCACCTTCAGACCTGAAGCCTCTGCACGGACCAAAATCCACAGACCTTCTCTCTGCTCACTTGCCTCTTTCTCGTTACGGTGTCGGCCGAGGGGTTGAATTTTTCTCCCGGAACGTGGGTAGTCGAAGTCCGTTTTGACATGAGGCAAAGGCTGATGAGCGGCACGGGTTGTTGACACCTTGCTCTGCTGCATTTGGTGGACACCCTTTCTATACAATGTTGGCCGGGCCGCAGTCGGTGTCGTGGCGTGGCTTACCCACGCCTGGGTCAACTATGTCCGCCAATACCTCACCCTCTTCGTTAATCGGGGCCTCGTTGCCACAGCTGAGGTGGCCGTCGCCGTATGCTTGCTGTACTGTGTGTCCAAATGCTGGCTGCACCGGGGGGACCGCAGGGAAGTCGGGTGAGCGATAGGCCATCATCGGATGGAGGAAATCGACTCTGATGGCACCGACGGCAGTGCTGACGAAGACAATGTCACACCGGCTCTTCGGGTCGTAACGAATTCAGACACATACTTGGCTTGTTGGATGTCGGGTCTGGCGAGACTCCCGGAGTTGACTTGTGCTCTGTAGTTGGCATTGAACTCACATGTCCTCTCCACCCGTTCCTTGAGCTTGTCAAATGACACACTGGGAACCAGGCCGTATACGGCCTTCTCGACGGTGTTCTTGTCTTTCTTCAATATTTTTGTTGAGCCCGGCGACGTCCATCGAGTCGATGGTTAGCGACCTCACCAGTCTCTCCACGATGTCATAGGTTTCTTTCTCTTGAGACGCGCCATGGGTGTCGACCGGCTGAGGGATACTCTCTGGGGGGAGGGCCGCATTCAAGGGAGGATAGGTACGTGGGGTCGGATTTTCGCCGGAAGCAACACGAGTAGTAGGATCGGCCGAGATGCGAGAGTGTTTCGTCCTTGCCGCAATTAAGGGAGGATTCACGTTGACCGGCGACTGGAGTGCTAGCACGGTGGTTATGGGAGAGGTAGGCTTGTCTTGACTCTTGAGAAGTCCCTCTCTTGGTGGTACCTCCTGTAAATCAAAGGTCAGCCTGTTCGACATCCTTGATCACGTTCAAGCCCTGCTCTTTCTAAGTATGCACTATACACCGGATCGATCCAGAAGGACACCAGGAGCCCGCGTGCTCGTTGAAGGTGTGGAAGGGCTGGCGCTCGCGAGGGCAACGGTGGGATTCGCTGTTGGTGGTGGAGAGGACGGAGTTGCAGTTGGACCCTGAATAAAGGGAGCTCGCGGAAATGGAGGGACGATTATATTCTAGAGGCACGTTGCGGTAAGCCAATCACGAGTGAGCTTCCCGATTAGGCTCGTGTGTGGCTGATTAGCCTTTGCCCTAACATATTCCGGCGCTCGTTTGAGCCACAAGACGTCGTCTGCAGTTTATTCATCCGCGACGCTGAACGCGAAGTCGTTGACTATGGCGATGGATTCTCTGCTCTTGTGCTGAGAAATGCCGAATCGTGGATGGGCAACTTGTCCGAATTCACCCAAGCCGCGCATCGGCAACTGGACCGACCGTGGAAGGCCGGCAAAAGATCCAAAAAACCTGGCAAGCACATCCCATGCCACACAAAGAGTGGAGATTTCGAACAATTCCATCCAACAGCGTGAATTCCTTCCGCACAATGCAATTCGATCTTCGCGTACTCCTCAGGTCGCGATCTGCATGTGCAACGACACCACCCAGCGGATCATCAAAAGCATCCAGACATCGAAAGCAACCCACAAAGAAAGATTGAGTGACCATATGAAGTGGACTTGACGGACTTGACGGACTTGACGGCATCGGGTACTTTACGTTTCCTCTTTCCCTGTCATTTAGTGGCCACGGGAGAAGAGCATGGAGGAGAGGAAAGCCATGTCAACTGGTAGATGATCTAGTCATACGCAGGACCACAAGGGAAAATATGACAGGATTCGCTTCTGAGAACCATCCCATACTCCCTAGATGTAGTTCACATCATGAGCTTCCTAAGAAGGAATCCGTATCTGTGATGATAACTAATAAACCGATGGGAATGGATGAATAGTAGAGAGGGAAAGCGGCAAACATTAGGACTTGTTCAAATCCTCTCTGGGTAGACTGCCATCAAAATGGTATCGAGAAGCTTGGAAGCTCCTGCCTGGAGTATCGGGCGGAGCTGGAGCTGGTCACAGGCGCTGGCTGCCGTCTCACACAGCCTAGCTCCTACATTCGAGGCGTGTGGGACCAACTTGATTGATTGTCTATCTATCTAGTGGCGGGGCAGCTCTAATTCACCACCCAGACCAGGTGAAAAGAAGGCACATGAAGGTGTCTAATGGTGAAAGAGGTCTCTATCCCCTAGCTCCCTCCCCTGTCTCCCACTCATTTGACCGATTCGCATCATCCTTTATTATTAACTGCTTCTTGTTTTGTCTTCTCTTCTTTATGGTGCCCGTGTGTCTTGATTGTTTGTTGTGCTACCTCGGACGCCGCTGCGACATATTTCTCTCCTCTATTCCGGTTGTCTGTTACCCGCCTATCTGGAACGAAAGGGCATGACGATAAGTCCTCCCGAGGCCGACCGCAGGCAGATTTAGGTGTACTAGTTAACAGTCTGATGTATTGACCCTCCTGCTAGCTTGAGTTCAGTCACCTCGAGACTCCGCCCTTGGGAGTGATTACTCCTCTAAAACTGACTCTTTAAGCCTGAGCATCACTTAATGCCCTGAGGAGAATGGGCGAACATACTACGCATACCGGCCGCCGGAACACTATCTTTATCCGAAAGATGAGAAAGAATAGGAGGGACTCGAAATCGGCTACTATATCTTGTATAAAGAGCTTGTCTTCCAGCTCCTCGAGCGCTGTTCTCGACATCATCCTACAATATCCTCATACCATAGATGGCGAGGCGGTCCTCCTTACTCACAGAGTCCCACGAGTTTGAAAGCCACAGCATAACATTTTCGGCTTGAAAAAAAAATCTGATCCCTTGATTTTCTTCACACTCTAGAACAGAGGAAGCCTTAATAAACAACTCGCCGCGGCGAACTCTCGCCAATGAGTGGTGCAATTGTTTACCCATCTCCATAACTGTCCATAATCTCGCTCAGATTCTTGCCTGTCGCGAATGTCCATTACCTCCATTCGCTCCTCAAAAACACCTCCACTTTCCCATAGGCCTGTACTGACGACAGTGTGTCCTCGCGAGGTCTATCTTTCGGTTCAAGGCAAGTCAACTAGCTCCACGGCTCCTTCGGCATTTCCTGGCGGGATCATTCAGCCACCGATGTACAGAGTCTAGGTACAAATACTCGAATTTCACTCCCAGGGCGGCCGCGTTATAGTGCTGGTGGCATTACCTCACGTTGTGAAGTCCAGTATGCGTGAGATTGACATGGGCGTCAATGAAGAAATGGCTGGAATTCATATCAGAAGTCGGACCTGGCGTTCTAGAGTCGAGGGTTACGTCGATGGTGAATTTGCTCAAGTGGATGTCACTCGCTGAGGTCTGAAGACAAGTGTCATTTGTCCGATAGCTGGATCTCGCTGTCAACTCCATGATTCTGCCCGGCTACGGAGCTCCGGCAGATCGATTTTGAGTCCTTCACTTTTTTCTTCAGCGTCCTTTATGCTCCTCACTGCCCTCTATGGTAGTTTTCGCTGGTGGCTGTGAGACCATCCAGAAGTGACTAGGAGGACTGGCGCAGTGAGTGAGTGAGTCTGCGTCGAGAATAAAGTTAAGTTGTGCGAGTGCTGAGTGCCGGTGTGCCTGACTGCGCTTCTCTTGCTACTCGACTGGTGTTTGATGGCCAAACTCTTTTGACTTTTTGTCCCAACACCACTTTTTGGCAACTTGTGTCCAACTGTCGACCCAAACACCACTTTTCTTGCTCCTTGAATGTGTTTGAGTGTTTTGATTGACAAACCTTTTGGCTTTTGCCACTTTTGGGCTTTGGCAACTTTTTGGACTTTGGACTTTGAACCGCTTTTTATGTTGGACAATTCTTGGGCTTAGGCAGCTTTTGGGCTTTTGGTGGAAAAGTTGCACTCCAGCCTGACTTCACACAACACAAGTTCACTCATATCGTCCAAGTGGTACATAACCCGAGTTCATATGACTTGAGTTCGACACACTCACTACCTTATTGAAGCATCTCGCATATGATATCTATATCTTGTCTACGGTATCCTGTCTGCTATGCCTCGTCGACTGTACTCTCGTCGGTCTTGCCGCCAATCTTCCATCTCGCGAATCTGTCTCGCGAAACGGTTCCGAGGATCTTGCATATTTGTCCAACTGTTGACTAAACAACCGCCATGATAAGAAAGCAGAAACTGCATTTTCACCCACTGTACAGTAACATCTCAGCTCACGATTCATTTCAAGTGAATGTCGGCGAACATAGCACAAGGGAAAAGTGAGATAAAGGTCAGAGACTCCAATGGAGGTCCCGTCCTCCCCCGATCGCAGCGCTGCCGGTGGCGCGGATCGAATTCTGCAATGCATACAAGCCACAGAGGTTTGTTGTTTCGTAACCCTAGTGGGAATGGTTTCGTGGCCTTAGGGGAAGGAGTATCGGTACCGCTGTCGGGCCTCCTCCAACGCAGCCACCCGCAGCCCTTGACAGGTACCCCCTGGAATTTAAACTTTGGGCACTCAACGGGCACTCAGGCACTTGGCAGCTCCCCCCTGGAATTCCTTGCCAACGGCCACCAGCCTCGCGGCCTTGCCAACACGGACGGCACCATTCGACGGTCAAAGCTTTGGATGCAAGGGAGATCGAAGTGTTAGCGCCGGGGGGAAGGGGGGGACATGTAGAGATGCTCCGGACGGCCAATCATGATTTTGATTGTTAGCACAGGGAGGAGGTTTTCGCAATCAAAGTCATGATTGACCGTCCGGATCGTCTCGATCCCTTACACGGCCAAGAAGGCTACGAAAAGCCTTTGGCATGACACTCACGACCAATCAGCAGGAGAGGTTTATAGGGCCCACTAATCGGGGCTGTCACAGAGACCTTCCGTAGCAAGGGATGGACCTAGAGGTAAGGGATGGACCGAGAGGCACTCGAGCCTACGAAGGGGGTATTTTCCTTGTTTACAGGATATAATGGTAGACGTCGCTCCTGACTTGACACTTCTTTATCTTGACATTTTTACTTACTCCCACCCACCTCCAAAGACGACCAACCTCCATTCTGACTTACAACGTCACGCACTGGGCAAGAACGACACGGGCCTCCGACCGACGAGAGAGAGAGAAAAAAAGTACTCGCTCGCCTCGAACAGCAGCAGCAGTCTGTTGGCCCCGATTCGTAACCTCCGGTACATTTAGCGACATAATCTCAACCCTAAAATGTCGACCATCCTCACTATCCAACCTGGCAACGAAGACGCCTACGCGTTCCACGACAACACTAAGAAAGTCTCTAAGGCAGAATCTATGGGATGGCTGAAAAAGTATAAGGCGGAACTCAACGGGGTGAGGCTGAGTCGGGCGGCCCAACCGGTCTGCCGCGGTACGTCCTGCGTGCCGATCGAGGCGCTAGAAATTTTCGAAAACGACCTCGAATACGCGCAGGTCCAGGTCAAGTACTGGGCGCACCACGACGTACTAGTGGAGGTGGTTGAGATTAAGAGACAGGTGGACCTAGATATCTTCTTTACCAGACAATAGTGGATATATCATCAATACATGGACGGCTTTGCGCAAAGCGCCTGAGGCGGCGGCGTCGCCCGGTCTCACTTCCTACCCTTCTCCCATCCGAGCTACGAGTTCGACACAGACCTCTGTCTACGGTCTGGGCCACCTCCTAGCGCTAGTCGCGTCCCTTCTCCTTCTCTTGTGTAACCTACGTATCTGCTTCTGAGTGGTGTCAAAGTCGGGCATCATGGAACACAGAATCTCAGACATCTCTGGCAAACTCGGCACCGCGGACGAGAATGAGAAAGACCTGTCCCCCATCGTGTCGAATGAGCAGCAACATGACGGGGTCAGGCATGGCAGGATCACTCCGATGTCGGTGGCCTTCATCGTCGCTTGGGCAACCGATAGATCCAGATCATGGCCATCGGTCAGTCCATCGGCACCGCCGTCTTTGTGAGCATCGGTTGTGGGCTCTCCGTGGGCGGGCCTGGCAGCTTGCTCATTGCATTCTTGGTCTACTGTGCCTTCATCGGTATGATTACCGATTGCACAGCTGAGATGATGATATACATGCCTGTCTCGGGTGGCTTTCTACACCTGGCGGGTGAATGGGTGGATGAGGCCTGGGGCTTCATGGAAGGCTGGAACTTCTTCTTTTATGAAGGTCTGCTCATCCCATTTGAAATCACCGCTCTTACTATCGCCTTGGGCTTCTGGTGGGACAATGTGCCCCCCGAAGCTATCTGTATTCTGGCCATCTTTGCCTATGGGTATGTCAACCTCTATGCTTTTCCTGCCCATCACTGCCTCGAAGTCGCATCCTGGCTTTAACTGTACGAGCAGGGCTTTGAACTTCCTGTCTGTGCGATATTATGGTGAAGCTGAGTTCTGACTGTCCACCGGCAAGATCCTGCTCTTCTTCATTCTATTCTTCTTCACATTCATCGCTATGGTGGGAGGAAATCTTAAACATGATCCCTATGGTTTCCGCTACTGGCGATTCGGCGTCTTCTACATCGGATCCGCAATTTGTGTTGGCATTGTTATCGCATACAACGACCCGATGCTACTTCGAATCCTCAGTGGCTCCCAGTCTGGCGGTGGTACTGCCGCCGCATCACCCTACGTGATTGCAATGAAGAACCTGGGAATCAGCGGTCTACCGCATCTGGTTAATGCCCCGGTCTGTACTTCTATCTTCTCGGCTGGAAACAACCTGATATTTGCCGCCTCACTGTCCTTGTACGGTCTAAGCATGCGAGGCCACACTCCTAAAATCTTCACGAAATGCACCAAACGAGGTGTCCCAATGTATGCGCTTGCAACGACCATGGTCTTCCCAATTTTATCGTTGCTCGGTATCAGCAAGGGATCGGCCAAAGTCCTGACCTGGCTGATCAACATCATTACCTCCGGCGGAATTATCAACTTCATCGTAATCGGTGTGACCTATATCAACTTTTACCGTGCGACTGAATCCCAAGGGTTTGACCGGAGGAGCCTCCCTTACTTTGGATACTTTCAGCCATATTGTGCCTAGATCACGACTGTGGCCGAGATGATCATCGTCTTCTGCGGCCTCAACGAGCTCGCCACCGATGCCACTCTGCTTGACGCCGCCTAAAGGGACTCGGAAGTCTCAGTCCTAACTGCTGTTGACACACATCATGCCTAACTCAATCTCAGCCGCCACCTTGTGCGCTTTCACCAGGTGGTTAGTGAAGATGGCAACCTCTAGCCACTGGGTAGTATTGTTTGCTCTTGATATAGCTTCCTCGTCGTCCTTGAATGAGAAATAACCACAAAGGGGCCAAAGATCTATTCTATATGCATCAGATCATTAGCGTCGGTCAAGACCTTCTGCTGTATGAAACAGCCGTTCTTCCTTTCAGTCTGATAGGGTTTACCGCTCATGAGCAAGGTGGCACCCTCAGTTTTGCCTACCTTTACAAATGACAGAACGTGGTCGTATTGAGTCTTGGAGACTTACGGACCTTGGAAATTGGTTTCTTGCCACTGAAAACCCACGGCCGAGATCTCCTTGACGGCTTGTTGGGACTTACCGAGAAGTGACTCGTAGATGCCTTTGTGTGTATAATCAGCGTAGTGGCTGTACAGATCTGACCTTGGTTCGACATGATTCTAAAGTGTGACTATTTGACTACCTGGTCAAGTTCGGTATCTTTGAACACGACCGAGGGCGATTTGCCCCTAGTTTGCAGGTGATGTTTTCCGGCGTCTTAGCCCCAAGAGATACGACTAACCGAGGCGTGGTGGTCGACCCAGTGAAGTTAATTTTGTTAATCAGTGGGTGCTTCACCGGAGCTGAGTCCGCCAACCAACCGTAGCCGTTGATGAAACTGACCAACCCCGGTGGAAAGCCAGCTTCCTTGACGAGTCGGTAGAGGACGGAGCATGCTCAATGGCGTATGCTCGATGGCTTTCAGCACCACCGTGTTGCCAGCAGCGAGAGCGACCATGATTCCGGCAGGTGAATCGAGCTTACCATCGACAAATGATAATTCCATGGGATGATTGGCGAGTGCACACCTATCGGCTGACGGATTGTATACGTAAACCTTCAAGGGGTGGTATCAATCGTCCTGCCGGAGATCTTGCCTGCTCAGCCACTGTAGTAGCGGATAGTGTTGATTGTCTCGGGGAGATCTTCAGTGAGCGCCACCGTGTATGGCTTGCCTGTGCTGGACCAAGAGCACTTTGCACTGCGTCCAGCTCATAGACCGAGGTAGGCACACCGTTATCCACGCATCGATAGAAGCAAGGAGCTCTTTTGGCCTCAATGAAGTCTGCTAGCTTGATCGTCAGCTTGCCCCAGTCTGTCTCCGATATGAATTTCCAGGACGGCCGAGTCAAGGCTGCGATCGCAGCTTTCACTGCCCAATCAACTTCTTGAGGATTAGCTGCTTGCATGATTACGATCACCTCCTACATACTCACATGGAGTCCATGGTCAGCCATTCACATGTCAGAGAGAGTGGGAGTTTGACTCACGCATGATCAATGGAGCCTATGGTTGACTGCCCTGAATCAGCCACGCTCTTATTGTCGATGAACAGCCCCATCGGCTGCTAGCATTTGTGCCAGTTGGGAGTGGTGATTTCTTTGATCAGCGACATTCTAGTCCTGGTTAGCGTCGTTGAGCTGACACCCAGGATTCACGCAGTCACGACAAAAACCGTTCTATCTGCGAACGCCTCAGATGCGACTGACGAAGAGACAATAGTACCTGGTCCGAGTCAGAGGAACCACATCGTCAATCTTGATCTACAGTGAGCCCATAGATACGCTCGATTATCGCACTCCTCGAACGAATTGGGTAAACCGACGCGGGAACTATTTGCCCAAATAGTGCGATGATGAATGCCTAGCCTTCCGGAAAGATTGAGGGGCGATGGATTCTGTTTGATAAACCCGAGCCGGGTTAAGGATGGCGGTTTTATATACTTTGTAGCCGTTTTTGTATTGGCAGAGGCTCAAACTAGCAGAACACGACCCCCAAGTTTCCAAGGTGCAGCACATCTAGTGAGTGTTTAGGTATGTAAGTTCCTCGCTCATGAGTGGACACTGTACTTGTCACGTAGTCATCGGCAATCGTGGCGATTCCACGTCCAGGTCAGCCCTGGATTCACCTAAAGATGACCACGCACTTTATAACGGTATGTCAGCCCATGCAGGAATACCAATATATTTGAGTCACTGTTTGCCTTTGTCTCACTGAAGCACACTCCCATCGCACGACGGATCACACCGTGGCTGAGGTCAAAGCATATCACTTGCCGCCGACTGCAAAGATTCCGAATTCACCATATCCTCTCCTCCACTACCGAAATGCTCTCCCAGGGGGCAAGGAAAGGAATATGCAGCTAGCATTCTACGACAGGTTCGTCAAGAATGGGTGGTCCGTACAGTGGATGACACGATATGGAAAGACTCAGAGCTCTCGTTACCACTCATCCGCCTATGAGTGCATGGCGGTGCTGAATAGCACTACAATAATCCGCTTCGGTGTGGCCGACACGTTCGATGACCTCGAAGAGAATACTAACGGTTTAGGAAAGGAAGATGGAGGAGCGGACCTGAAAGCCAAGCCAGGCGATGTCTTTGTCAATCCGGCCGGCGTCTCGCATAAAACGTACAATACCCCACCGTTGGAAGAATTCAAGCTCCTGACTCCGGGGGATACACATCGGATCACTGCCGAGGACGAAAGGGCTACGATCGAGGAGGTTAAGGTGTCCGGATTCTGCATAATCGGCTGCTACCCCAATGGAAGCGTGTGGGATTGGGCCTTCGGCGGAGACAGTGAGGGGAACTACGAAACGGTCTGGGCAGTGCCCAAGCCAGAGAAAGATCCCATCTTTAGTACCACCTCAGAGGGCTTAGTGGGACTGTGGAAATGAGCTTACAGCTCGCAGGGTCAGCCTTGTACAATCTAGCATGTAGACCCTTGAAGCTCTACCGCGGCGGAAAGTCTCTACCGTGTATCTTTGTACTTTCTATGTCTGAGCTCCACATAGCCGCCACAAGCCCACCACGGTAACACGCGCGACGTGACAGTGGAAAGCTCGTCCACTGGGAATACCAGTTGTACTCTGCGCCGCCTGCCAGAGCGGGAGCCCCGGACTTAAGATATTCACAGATTCACTGAGGCTGGGTCGAAATTCAGTACAGCCATGACATTCACTCTCTGCATGCCAGGAAGCAGCTGCAGGTAGGCCAGAAATTGAGGCGCCGAAGCACCACCTGCAGTGAGTTCATCGGATACATACGTGGAGTTTCCAAGGGGGCTCCTATGATGGGCCTTAGTGTTGTATTGCCCAACATCACAGGCAGTGCGTGAGTCACCAGTTTCACGCAACATGTACCGGATCCTACAGACCCTTTTCCTGCTGGGCTCCGCTTGGACGATGCGTGGCATATCCCCAACAAGGCGAATAGCGTTGCCTCATATGGTCTAAGTGCGCGTTCGGGCCTGTTACTCGCTATATCAAAGGGTGATCGATCATTGTTTTCCTGACATCTCGCTTGGGTCCATGCTGTAGAGAGCAATACCACCATCGTATCTAGATCTATTCTGCCCGACTCCGCTCTTCTCACTCCATCTCTCGGTCGTTGTTGTGACCATGATGGGCACCTCTAGTGGCAACATAGATATCTAGAACGTGCTCGAGATCCTATAATTTAGCCCGCATGCCGAATGCGTCGTGAACCGCTCGAACTGCCTCTTCGGCACAGCTGTATGATGATTGATATCCGCCACTGCCGTGGCCGTAATTATGCACCACCCATAGACCATCGATCTGCTCCTTTTCGATCCTCGTGCCACCCTCTCTACAAGTTCGGAAGCCCACCGAATGCCGCATGACGTCCAAATGCTCAATTCCCTTGCCCCCAGTCAGGCTCGGGCACAGAATCACAGCACGTTTCATGATCCTTTCGGCCAACTCAGGTTCAGGCTGTGTGTTGCGATTGCCTTTTTGATATGTGCCACCCAAGACTGTGCCACCTCCTGCGGCACGAGTCATCAAGTAACATACTATGGCTCATCTCCGGAGTCGTGGGTGCCAGTGACACCCATGATCTTGTCGGATTCATTGCGGACGAGAACCACCTGGCCTCGAGCGGGATACATTTTGTCGTCTTCCACGGCCCCCAATTTGGAGGCCATCAACCCCGAACAATTGACCACCAGGTCGACCTTCTCAGCGGGATGGATGCTTGGAGCCGCCGCATCCCGGACATGTTTGAACTGCTTCCGCTTGAATGTGACCTTTCGTTCGAGGCACTGGGATACCAGCCACGGTAGGTAGATGGCAGTGTTGATACACACAGACATGCAAAGGGTAGCCGAGTCAGCATCCGAGGGTGTATCGAGCTGGTGGAACTGGATTTACACGTTAACATGAATGAACGTACAAGATGGAGGACTGTCCATCTAACATTTAGCACTATTGTCTTGAACCACGGGTCCACCGAGGAGAGCTCAGAATACCCGTCTCCCGAAGGAGTTCCCACATCTTTTGCTCGTTGATGAATTTCGCAATCTAAACACTTATGTGTTAATAGTTGCCCGAATCGAAGAAATACCTCACACATTTGCGAGCGTCGGAGTCAGGGTGACTTGCCTTGGAAGTGAATGCCGGCACCAGGGCGATTTCTGACGAGATCCTGGAGCACTTTCCAAGTGCTTCCCTCCCATTTTGACTCTTGACTGCCTCGTAACGATAGGCTGTGGCATCAACGTGAGTGGAGCGTCTCGATGAAAAATTCGCGATGGGGGTTCTACTAACGTCATGTAACTGGCACCTGCCCAAGGCGACGCATACTCCTTGTCATAATCGCCGGGCATGTGCTTTGCGGCAACGACGATTCGATATTGCGGGTCTTGCGACAATAGCAGCGCCGTGGTCAAGCCAGAAACACCTGTGCTGGTGTGCGTCAGCACCTGTGTGCACCATGAATGCTAACCTACATAGCAAACTCACCCGATAACCACGATATTCTTCTCCGCCATGTTAAAAATGCGCAGATCTAAACATCCCACAATGGAAAGTTTAAAGAAACGACAAAGCAACGCAGAAATGACAAGCTATGAACAAATACAAGAGAAGGTCCCTGTCAAATCGCAATTGCTGGCAGATGAGGGAAAGCATGCGCTGAGTCTGGAGAGACCATTCGAAGGAACTCTGACCTGACTCATCTCGCCTGCTGAGGCTCCAAAACAGGCTCTCCATGACAGACAGCCCACGAGACCCGTCCGATCTTCTCAAGCGGTCCCCTCATCCACTACCGAAAATGGTTGTCAATTCCGTTCCCCGCCCTCGCATAGCGGCGGCGTGTCATTCACCGCACCACCGTTAGTTAGACTCCTTCGTCTCAGAATTCATGTTATAATTGCACCCTTAACAGTGATCTTTCCTGTTCTAGGTTGCGCCGTGATACCAGGCGAGGCGAACGCCGGGTTCATCGGGTCCGACCCTATGCGTCGCATGCTGTAGTTGATCGATGCCGCTCTACGACGGCGGCGCAAACGCGGATGTTGTCGCTGAAGAGCCGTATTTCGGAATGTTATCGTGACCGGAAAGGCGCTCAAATACATCATGAGAACGTAAGAACCACTCGTCCAGGAGTTTTTGAAAGCCGCGCCTAACTTTCCCGGTCTAATGGATTTATTCAACTTCGACTATCTCCCTTGATGATTGAGATGATTTAGTGGTGTTCGGAGGACATAGAGTAGATTGGCTCATAGGATCGTACCCTTTTAGGTAATGTACGTGACTGTTAAGAAGCTTAGTTTTGTTAACTATCTGAGAGGAGAGAACGCTCTTATATAGACAAAGGAAACACTACTAGATAGTGATAGAAATACCTCGAAGGTAGATTTCTAATCACTATTAGTAGTCAATCACGTTATAGTAACGCCACCCTTAACGCCACCGCCTATATCACGTGATCTAGTATAGACTAGTAGCGTTAACTAGTCACGTGATAAGACGCTAGGCCTAATTAGGCCATACGCCTAAATGGCGATATTCCACAGGTGGGACGGCGACTTGACAGAATCCTGGCATGAGAGCGTCCAAAGAAGAAATCCACGGCTTAAGTTCTCCAAAAAGCACTATCCAGAATCGCAGTAATTTCAAATCTGCATCTGCGCTCGAAATGATCCCGACACATTCGCTGACGACATAGTTGCGGATCTACTCGTAGAGCAACCCTCCCAAATCGTTTGTCACGACTCCGTCATTTGAACATGCATCCAGAGAAATGGCCGAAGAGGTTGCCAAAGACCCAGAGAGCCAATGACGGCATCCTCAATGTCGTAAAGTTCCAGCAGTTCAATGATGTTGTTGTTCTTCGACGAAGCGACGTCGGCGCTAGATACTTATACCGACCAGACGCTGCTACAAAACATCTGACCACCGCGTTAATATAGGGTAACGAAGCCTGGTCGTCAAAGCTCGGTAAGCGATCGTTGATTTTCTTGTTTACTGATAAATATAGAACTGTACTTTCGTCGAGTTTATTATTCTTATTTCTAAGTATCGAGCGCCGCAATCTCGCTAATCTAAAGTAAGACCCGATTTTGGACGAGAGGAAGACAGCGGGCCTTATCTTACTACTGATATACTATAAACGTAGAAGTTAAAGGAACTCTCGAATTGCGGAACGTTAAGTATATCTACCCGTCGTTAGCTGCGGATTGAAGTACACAGTTATTGAACCGGTCCTACCATCTACTTACTTGTTAGTGAACTATATGAATCTGATATTTACGCTGGTGACGCTATCAAAATTCCTAATAGTATCAGTCAATAGATCGGAATGACATAGTTATCTCGAAATGATTCTTATCTACGTCTAAGAGGGAGACGTATAGGGTGTCAGAAAGCTTTTATAATCCGGCATTTATTCCCTTAAGCCGTTGTGAGGGGACCGTCTAGCGTCGAGTTCGATTTTAGATACGAAATGTGAATGCTACGAATGATTTATTAAAAAAGCTCTTAAGCTATGCTGGACCGACATATATCGTTATCGATAGTATACGAGGATTGATCGATTTAAGTAGTAATACTCTATTTCACCTTGTATAGACTACTCACTGTTTAATCCCGATAAGTAGTAGCGAGTTCTAATTGTCTTCTGGATTATCCGTTCGGGAATACTTACCAGCATAAGCACCGTGAAAACCTTAAGTGCTCCCGTTTCGCGAATGAATCGCGCCTCTTGATGTCCCAAAGGCCACCACTACTTGCAACAATGGCTCTTTAACGAATGCATTGATAGCAGGATTCTTTGTGTCCACGTCGCTATTTATGCGCCCGGTGTGGTACGAGACGATGATCCGTCTGGTCGTTGAGCACTTAGTTAGCTTAAAGAGAGTGACTAGGGCGCCTCCTCGGTCCTCTCGTCGCACGGAATGATGTTCATGAGCCCCTCCTTACAGATGAAGTAGACGCTGGTGGCGGCCCCACACACGCTGACAACCCCGCGAAACGTGAACAGCAGCCTATGCGTGTCCCTGTTGGTATAGGTCTCCAACTCATCATTCGAGTTCGACTCTGAATGAGCTGGCCGGTCTAATCGTCCCACTTGTTCATGCGGATCATTATCGACGCATAGGTGTCGAGGCTCCAGTCTCGGAGCACATTCATGCTCACGCTGGTGCCCGACCAGCTGTACGTGTTAGCGCGTCTATTGGCAGTCAGACGCCTGACCATCTTCACGATCCTCTTCATGGAATGGAACTCGCGGTAGTACATCATCGATAACTCGCCACTATACCCGTCCCTATACTCGTACCACTCCTTGGGCGTAGCGCTGGGGCCCTTAGTCATGCGCTCGACGATGTTGTCGAAGTTCTCGATCCTTATTGTGTCTTAGGGGTACGAAGACGAAATCCACCGCGAGGCGACGACGAACCTATTCAAATCCTTCTAGTATATTAACCCTACAGGCGCAAAGCTAACCCCCGACTACGTCCTTCGAGGTGATCCTCACGTTCTCAAAGCTCTTATGCACCCTCGCCCTCCCGCTGGCGTAATCAAGGTTGAATCATACGGCGTACCATACGACCCTACCTCATAGGGACGTCATCAGACCGACGACTATAGTGCCGCCGTCAAGATACAGGAGTTCAGTCGCATTAAGATAGAAGCGTTAGGTCGTATCACAGTATGGACAAAGCTTGGAACTAGGAAGAGATAACCGGTGGAGGGCAAAGATCAAAGCGAGTCACGAGGAGGAGCAAGATTGATCCAGGAAGATACGAGTTGTGGGGGGCCGTGACCAGCGTTGCCAGGAATCGATTGCTCGATAAATCGATTCCCTATAACCTAATTGGCTAGAATGACGTTATTCCGTACCGACTTGCCTAATGCGGTATAGGCCGTAGCTATCCCAGTGTTTCAGGTAATGCGCGGCCTGAAAAGTCGACACCGCAAGACGATTACGATCGTCTATAACCGTCCTCTTTAACTAACTAAAGACCCTCTCAAGTTCAGTAAATGTTATAGGTATTGATAGAGTGTTAAAGGCCCACTAGCGAAGAGCGCGATACTCGTAGGTCATCCACCAGCGGAATAGGTTCTCGGCCTTCTAATCGATTAAGGGGGTCGGGCCGCCATTAATATAGTAATCGAAGACGTCCTCTAGTGTACGGGGCTCAGATCTCTAGATTTAATTAATAAATGTAGATAGAGAGGACCGAGGCTCCTTAGAACCGTTCTCAGGCGAATTTAGCTTATAGAGTTTCTCCTAAATCCCTCTGTTCTTTTCGATCATAGACTTAATTATGGCGCGCTGGAATGGACCCCAGGGTCGATGCATCTAGGGATCTCGAATTTGCGCCTGCGACTTCTCGTGACTGGGAACTCGAGATGTTCGAGTCATTATGTCGTCTGTTACTGATCCACAGTCCCTTTTACAACAGTAGCAACTTATTGCAGGAGCTCGCAGTTCAACTATTCAATGACATGCCAGCCGAAGAGACCAGCTTCATTGACTACTTTGACGGGATCTTCGAATCGAGCGCTCAAGAAACCAACTCTCTCTGCATGAGGCCACTGTTCAAAGAGCCAGTCGAGAGAATACTGAGGCGCAGTATTACCACCATGGAATCTAAAGCTGGGGTTCCGGCCCCTAATCCCCAGATCTCGATTATGTTGTGTATTTATTACTCTCTCGCTAGAAGAGTCGATCGTGAAATCTGCCCGAGAACCCTCTCACATAACCGCTTCCATCTCTTACCCAATAACGCGTAGTAAGACGACGAGGGCGGCCATCACTGTCATTTAGGGAGAAATTCATCATCACTATCGCCTAATTATTACGGTATGGAGATACAGGATATGTTTATGCGTCGTCGTCTCGGGTAGTCGCCCTTAAAATGGCCGATGATGTGTATTAACGCCCCTCCTACGTCCATCGTTAGTCCCTTAGTTATAGGACGATTAGTCTAGCATGCGACTGAAGGGAGCCCGTAGCTTCTAGGTGGAGAGTATCCTACGGCTCTCGACTAAAATACACCTATCTAGTAATCGACCCTATACGAACCGATAAGAATATTTTACGGAGGCGTAATTGTAATATAGCTAGCATTATTAGGTGTAGCGGATATAATTACTCTATTAATTCTAACGAATTTACATAAGGTATATCCTTTTATAACTCCTATTTAAGAGACTCTAATATTATTATAATTACCGACTAAAAGGGCCGGTGTTACGTATAGTGTAGATCGAGGTCTCGCGTCTATTAATATATGTCTAAACTTGAATAATCTGGAGCTCGTAGCTAAAGGCGCTCTCCCTAAGCGCGTATGGATTTATTACTCCTCTATAGCGTAGGATAGGCGGACCTACGCTTATAATATAGACGATTAGTATAGTGAGGCTAATGAAAGTCGTACTGTAACCCCCTATCGCTAAAAGTAAAACTCTACTAAGTACATCGATTCACTTTACGGCAATATATTCTTATGAAATCTAAACGAGACTAGCCTCTTCGTATTCC